TGGTAGCTGTTGGAACGCAAGAAGATGTATACGCGCTTACCAAAACCACGATCACGAAGAAAATGATCAATATCCATTTTACCATAATTTCGATAATGTGCTACCAAATGACAATGTTCCTCCTGACATTCCAAATCAGAACAATCGGCGAAATCGTAATCGAGTAGTTCCAGTTCGTAATCATCCACAAAGAATTCGGCATAGACCTGCCTATTTGAACGATTATGTTTAATTGAGTGTTTACAGTAATGCATGCTATTTCATAGGACTTTAAATCGTTCACAGACAGTGATGTTAATTGTTTAGTTTCTCTGAGGTTTCTTTGTGTTTATTGATAGTGTTTAATCATATATGTGCTTAACTAAAAGGGGGGAAAATATGTTGTGTCTAGGTTCGAACGTATGTGACGCCGAAACAGTATGTACGCTTCTGGTTGCTTGCTTTGCACGAGGTCACATGACGTCATTCACTTTGTAGTAGGTCGGCGGGCTGACCGCCATTGTTGTAAGAATTTCATGTATAATAAATTTAAGTTTTAATCAACTATGCATCTTTATGGCCATCGCAAACACAACAGGGCAAAATCGTCAAGGGATGTTCATAGCACCAGGCATATAAGATCTCATTTACTGGAAATTTGATAATTGGGGAGGGGACAGGCTAGCTTCATTCTTTCGAAAGGGGCCAGACAGTCCGTAGAATACCACTGTATAAGACTTGCATGGATTGTTGTTAGCAGTATATAGTGGTTTTTTATCTTCGTGTTAACATTTGGGTCAAAATGGACTGTAATTGTAGAATGGCCGAGAGCAGCCAAATATCATTTTACACTTCCCAAACTTCCATCGTTATAACACAGTCAGTTAACATTGGCTGCAATTTAAAACTATCTCCATTAAACTTGGTTATTCCTTTACAAAATCACTCACTTGCAAATTCCATCAACTAGAAATCAAATAGCAGATAATTGCACTTACAGTTGTAATGTACTCTAAACTACTGTTAATGCGAACCCAAATTTTGAAGATGATGGTTATAGATCTAGAAAAATATGTCAGACATGTAATACTATAATATCTGTTCCGATTAAAAAGATCCGAACACGTTTTCCTTGCGTTGATGTAATATTAGGTAAGGCAGAAGAGTGCCTAATAGCAGGTACTACACAATATTAAGGTTTATTTACAAGATAATATATTTGTAAAGTATCTCTATACCATGAAGAGCTTAATTTATAAGCATGTCTATAGGCATAAGTATGATATAAAGTACATGCTAAATTGACGCATGGTAGAGCATGACTGAGTCCGACTGACACATTTTTATATTTTAATTTTAAAATTCTTTTTTGACCACTTAATTTAGCTTTATCTCAAGCATGTCCTAAGGTCATGTGAAGTACATGGGTAATACCTCTCAAAACCTTGATTAATATTATGATTTCAAGGGGAAGTAATCGGATTCCATGGTCTTAATCTAGTTATATCGGATTAATAAGCCTGTTGAAGAATTGTTACCCTTAACTGGAGACTACATTTTAGATATGCAATTGATTTCCTGCATCTTTTTTTCTCTGAATTGGGCGAAACGGTTACATCGAGGAATTCGCCGGCTACCAGCAACTCTGGTCGACAAGATTTTTTTCGGTCGATTAGTCGATTGTGAGCAATAAGTGATACACTGCGTTTTTTTAGTTTTGGTTTACCAGTTAAAAGATGACCGGCGATTGATCAAGTGTTCCTATATTGATTCCACTATTTACTACCGTTCGTTGAATATCGAGTTGATCCTAGATTCAGCAAGTTAAATTGTAGACTAACTGAGACCAAATTTATGCCTTTTTAATTGATTCGTGCATAATAGCTGCCAAGTGATATTTTTGTAGGCTGTCTGAATTGTGACCTTTTTATCCAGAATTACTTTCATTGATTACTAATTTACTTCTGAAAGGTTTTGATCGTTTTTACACTTTTAACCTTATTGGTAATCGGGCTTGGGATATATTTAAATTAGAGGCCACGATCTCCAATCACGTATTAGCCATGATCAGCTGAATGAAATCATTTAAACTTTCACACCGAATCTGTCATGTAAAGTTTCAAGTTGTAGTTTTCGAATTATAATATTTAGCGAGACACGTTTTACTTATTACATTGAAAAGCGAGAGAGCTGACGGCAGATCGTTGAAGTTCTATGTAGCAAACAACTTCCCGGAAATTAATGACCCGATAACATCAAAGTCTTGAGATCTGTTGAATAATGGGTGCTGTACGTTAGATAATCTTCCGTGTTGAACTGTCGATCTGAATTCATCATTAATACCGACCATTTTCTATTTATCCCTGTCACGAGAGAAGGATTGATAAGAGGTTTTACTATCCGCTCTTGGCTGGGCTAATAAAGACGACCAATGTCGTGTTCTTTAAGGCATCATCAAATTAGTCAACGGACAACCGAACTTGAATGATTACCAAAATACGAAGGTGGTATCTAAATCTATTTCGAACCGTAATCATAATGAAACGACTGTTAGAATCTCAGAGCAAGTTCTGTATTTTTAACTGGCGACGTCTGGCAGACTAGATTCAGCGGGACTTGAGCGCACAGACGATTGGAAAATCGCAGATGCTCATAAATTACCTTCTAAAAAAAGTCGGATTTGGTTTTCGACCTGAGTGGGTGGGTGTCTGCCATCCTCCAGTTCTGGCCAGTCTCGATACGAGCCTTTTGCTCACTTCCTCTTTGATGGATTGGTTGCTTGGAATAGTTTGAACCATTTCGGGTGGGGTTGCGGGGCTGTAACTCTGAACTGTTTCAGCTAGACAGAAAATCTTACTGGTGTATAATGTAAAATTTCCCGGTTGTTTATAAATGATCACTGATCATTGTCAGTAGGTATCGTAGGTTGTAACATGTGTCTTTGAACTAGATCATTTTTTGTTTATCTCAAGACTATTTTAAAAGGCTTTTAAATGTGCAATAATATCACGTTTATTCATGTTACCTCATGTCGAGACGACAATTTTAGACATTGCTTTCTATTTTATGACAGCGACTCTTCCTGCTCGAGTTATCATAACCTTATTGCTTAGGTCATTTAGGTGAAATAAATTGTGATATTCAAAAAATTGAAAAGTTGGGAATTGTGTATAACGGAAGAACAATTAATCCTAAAGTTTTGAATTAATGAAACTAGCTTATAGAAGTATTTCTGACATTTTTCACCCCATGCATGAGTATTTAAGTGTATATTGTTGAAGAAATCACAGTACCAGTCTGGAATTCCAGAATAGTATTTCGTGATAACAAACATGTAAAAGCCCATATATGCATTTCTTGGTTCATTACATTTACAATGCAGATATTCTACATGTGTATCTATATCATAAATCCATGATTCTGAATCACGAACGTCGCCAAAGGTGACACGTTGAGTGTCGTTGAGACAAAACAGTGGCAGTTAATCCAAAATTAATGTCTGGTTTCCATAATTCCAACGAGAATGTTCTGAGATTAATGAACCATTCTTTATAATTTCAGGAAAATGTTCAGGACGGTGGGCAATACATGCTTGTTTTGGAGGTAAGTATAGTACATTGATTTTTGTTAATAAAGGTATAAACAAGCATTTATGCAAGGATAACAGATTGTGTGATCCTTTGAACAAGACGACCATTGGACAAACCGCTTACCACTGATCTTTCCTAGAGTATCCTTATTCATTATCGGCTGAGTTTAGAAGTCTATATAGGGCAAATGACTTGTTTAAGACCAATGGTTACCATGTACAGCTACAAAACAGTATTGCATTATACGTTGGTAACTGATTAAATGAAAGTACTTCATGTGCATGATGTATCCGTCTATCATATTGGTAATAATGATTTTCATACGCGCTCTGTCCTTCCATATACATTCTTCCCAATCGTCTGTTATCTGGGGTACAAACAACCAAAAGGCATGCCCACCAAGTTTAGATTGCTTAGTTTTAGCAAGTTGTGTTACCTCAGCCTCCGAGGGTCAAGGTGGCAAATCAGTTTAAGGGTAAACGTTGAGATATTGTGGTTTGCCCAGCTCACAAAATGGATTAAATAACATATTTTGTTAAAATTTGTCTCGTAGAGTTTTACTTGAGTAATATTTCGCAATGACACTGAATCATTGGTTATAGTCTGTTGACTGTTAATATAAGACAAGTGTTTGGTCAAGTCTGTAATATCTCATAAAAAATAATATACGGTCGCCATCGGCTTAGACTGTAAAATATTATGAAAAGTTGACAATATTTAGAAGACGTTTACTGTTGCATGATGTTAATTTTAGCCCTCTAACCAAGTATGTCTGACGAATATTATTACCGAATAGAAAGAATCCGATTTGATTGGGATTTTGTTTATAAGCACTTATTTGAAAAAAGTTTCTTAGTCTTGGCCATTGAATTGGATATTTCAAACAATACAATCAGCCTCAGTCGAGGTTGCTAAGTGGAACGACTAGGTTTACCCATCTTATCTAAGAACTAGATACACTTCCGAATGTTTCCTATGTAAGTCTTTTGGTACCAACATGACGTTTCTCCCTTCGCCTCCACACCGGCAAATCTTCTCAAATAATGCCTAATTGTGTGGGTTGATGGACATGTCTACCTTAGATTTGCACCTTATCAACTCCCTCTGATAGATTTTGAAAAAGGTTACCAATTTCCTTTTATGGCTTATTATATTGTGTGGTAAACCATTTACATTACCGATATACACGGCCCGGGGGCAACAGTTATTGACCAATTTCCTTTTACAATTTACTTTTTCATTGATTGTTTGAATAATAAATTGTAATGGCAATTAATTGCAAAATAAGCATCTATTTCACTATTTCAACATAGAAACCAATTAAAAAAACATCTTTTGCAACAACATTTTATCCGATAAGCGTTTCTTTAGAATTAGTTCATACATAACTCAAATAAATAATAATATGATGATGGTGCTTATAGACATGAAATGGCTTCCAATCTGAAACACAGAAACGTCAATTGTTGTTCAGTAACTGTGATAAAACACAGTACGGCACATCTCAATGGCTGGCCACATTCTCCGTTCGTCACTTTTCAGTTAAAAGCTTACTACCACCAACGTAAGTTGAATGGCCCCGCCATGCCTGAAAGGCGTTCTTACCTCGCTGCTAATGCGACGGAAAATTGGCTCATAAGATTAAGCCACCAAGACATCGTGCAATTGTCGCCATTGTCGCAACTATTCGGACAAAACAAACGCCAAAGTTTGGAGATCTGCTGTAGAACACGCTGAGAAAGCCATGGTATCAAGAATGTCGACTCAACGAGAATGTGCGGTATAGAAGAGCAGTACACGCGCGGCAAAAACGCTGCAAAAACGTTAGAACGCAGTAAGGGCACCTAACTCGTGATATGAGGTGAAGCAATGCCTCAGTCCCACTGGGAATTTGTGAATGGGCGATGGGGAAATGTGGAAAAGCTTTGCGATGCCTTGTGATGAACAGCGACAAAATTTTAGAAACGGTCCGCTTAATATTAGGCAACAATTCTGCGATCTTCGCCGATATTTTGAGATGGATCTACTGACCATGACCAAAATTGGTCGGCGATAGTCTTTCACACACTTTTCACACACTTGCGAAGCTGTCGCGATTCAATGAGAAGGCTTGTGATGCTTTGTGATCATCGCAGATGCACGGTGAACATTCTGCGTATATTATTGCGAAGCATTGAGATTGTCTACTTTTTCCGTCGCCAATGGTTCGCAAATCATCACAAAGCTCAGTGGGACTGAGGCATAATTTGTTATTGAAGACACTACTGATTCTATGACTACATCTTCCCATATTAGACTCCTTACAGTTGTAACAATTGCAACTCTTGGAGTAAAACAGGGCATGTTGTCCGCAATTTGTTATTATGCTTCTATAAGATATTTAAAGGTTACCAGATTCTAACAGGTGGATTGTTTTTAAGATCGCAATTTTTTAGGTCCTTTTTCTCTAGTTTTCCTCACGATTAACCGCGATCTAGTACATTTCCAATCGCTGGTCGCAGTCCGATGTGACGGGGCTATAAGCTATCGGAGTTTAAAGTGTCTTGTAAGTCCCGTTTCTTGAATTGTGGGATAGCAAAACCCAATGCAGTTTGACGGCTTCTTTGAGATTCGGAGACGAAAAAATAACAGGAAAAAAGTGAAACGAAATTGTAATCTAATTTTAATTAGATTGATTTGAACCACAGATATCGCTCAACAGTAATCTTGAAACCAGTGATTTTTATATTTCATTCATTATTGCTTACCATAATTGCCATTAACCTTTGTAATAAAAAGCTTTAGGATGTCGAACGATTTAATTTATTTCAAGATTCCAATTATAATCGGTATTTTTGAGGATTCTCATTAAACGCAATTTTTAATTTACACCTGTGATATTCACTTCACGCAGACGTATCATATTAATTGATAACCCAAAAAATAATAATTTATTTATTATTAATATTATATCCAAACTATAATTTAAAAAATCAACAGAACTATGTAAAGGTAACCATGAAATGTATAATAGCTATTCTGAACCAGGAAACAATATGGAGTGCATTACACTTCCAAATAAACTGCACCGTCAAAAGAGTCTATACTAATGTCGTCTTAACAAAGTTTATTAAAAGTACATACGACTTAAATTTACAAATAAAAAATTGGAGCCTGTCCAAAATTAGAAAATCAATTCATGTTATGTCAATCAAATTATGTTGAAATTTTAGCTGGTTCATTTAACAATGTGGAGGGCACATTAAACAAGTCTGAAATCCCATTTAAATGTTTTGACGTCTTATAAATTTCAAACTGTTAGAAACCTATGTCGTTAATATTTTACGATTGATTTATTTGAGTTAAAAATTGAGGCACACTCATAATATGACTTTTTAAAATTTAAAATTATAGCCGAGCTTTATTGAAAATTGATGTCGAGCATGTATACATTACCAAAATGCGACGTACACAAGGAAACTTGACCAAGTATTCTGATTGCCCCCCATTCTTAAATGTGCATTGACTTTTGGAGCCTGTACTGACAAGAATAGCTTAGACTGAGTATGGAAATTAAAAGTATTAGAATATTTCTAGTTATGGACATACCGACATCAAACATTATTATTTCAATAATACAAATCGGAAGTTATAGTCAGATTTGTATAGGTTATTGAATTTATTTGTATGAGTTTCGGTGATAGTTGATTAGTAAGTTAATGAGACTGTCAAGAACTAGTAACCGTAATAATATTCAACCTGATCTATTAATACTAATTGAATTACTAACTTTGTCCTTATAATCGACCCTAAAGTACTTCTTAATATCATTTATATGCAGCATTTTCAGTTTGTGTTGATTATTATAGAAGACACTTTCCTTGGAGTTTTGCCAAGAACTAAAGTTATTTGTGATGATTAGTTCGATAATTAAGTACCAAAACACATCTGCAATGTGAAAATAGACACATTCTTGCTCTTGCAAACATTGTTTTCTTGCCGATGCATCACTATATCACGACATGTATTACCAAAGTTCCCGAACTTTTTTTTGACGCTTTGCCAAAGCTTCAATTCAATTCTTTAATTATATATTTTGCAATACGTGCCAAACTTGTTCAGGTCGTCATTAAAGAACGTCTCTCACACCGCTCATTAAAATTTCTTCCGCATGACCTCGCCTCTAGTGATTCTCAATAGTAAATGTGATTACCAAATGGTTTTCTCCTGTTTATGTGTGTCATGTCCATAAAGTATGAAACCACTGAAATGTTGGTCACTACCAATACTGATTAATTCAAGAGAGTTGACAATAGTCCCCGAAGTTAGTTACAAACGAAATTGCAACTAATTGAAAAATTGCGACTAGTGACTGATTTTTTCAACTGCTATGCAAATAATTCAATGTGCTATTCAATAACTCTGTGTATTACATATATTATGCAGAACATACTTGAATGTATTCAGCTAACTGTTCAATAAAGGAACTTTCAAAGATATGTACTTAATTTATGATGGAAAATGGCACATAATAAAAGCTTGGTTGTTGATTCAAAATCAGTAATGGACACCTTCTCTTTAGGACCCTTAAATGTAACTTCCAGAAAGCCAAGCTTAAAGAAGTTTTAAGTAGCGAGCACCATGTTTTGTTATAAAATTACTTGCATTAGGGTTTTCTACTAGTTGAAAAAAAACTCGACTACGACTGGTGAATAAAATATTACTGATTTCGACTAATTGTGACGACTTCGTGGCCCAGTTGACAAGTTCACAAATATTATCCAAAGTACTTAGTGATTGAAGAAAGTACCGGTACTGAATCTATGTCTACATCTTCTGATTTGTCACTGACCTCTACGATATGATCTGATAACCGAAAAACGAAACGTATCACTTGCACCTCTTGTACACAACCAGGTATAAACATGACTAGTCTACAATTCCTGAAGTTGTAACAAACCTGTTGTTTCTTGTTGTCCTCCATTAATCATTGTACTGTTGCCAGCAGAAGAAAAGTCAGAAATATTATAGTGCGTTTAAACGGCAAAAGTTAAGGCAGTATAACTATCAACCGTTCTTCGAGATTGGTTTTTGTAGTCGTCCGAATGCGGACGGTCAAACTTAAGCTGCCTTAACTTGCACCTACTTCAGGGGTGGCATAAAAACTGGCTTGGAAAGCTTAGTATTGCCGCCTGCCGCTACTGGCCAACAATCAGCCGGATATGTCATGTCTCCTGATGCGCATTCGTCTAAACTAATTCCCGCCATTATTACATATGTCATAATGCGCATGTGCTTTGCTTTTATGACCTCTGAACTTCCGAGGTAAATGGCGAAGCTGGCGTAACTTTTATGTCCGCCTGAATGCTCACCAAAAACAGTAAAACAGGGTTGAAGAACGGTTGATAGTTAAGCTGACTTAACTTTTGTCGTCTGAACAAACTATTATTGTTGATACTCCAAAACTTAACACCCTTGAAACTCTGTATCTTTTAATATAATAATATCTAATAATTTTACAACAAGTCGCCTAATTTCTGTTACTTTATTATTTCAGGAAACGGTAAAAGATCAGACCCTAGTTTAACAGATAACACAGAAAATAGTCGCCAAGAAACATTACTGAGACAAATTCTACTACCACAAACTTACGAATACCATAAATCAAATGATGCATTACTTCAAGATGATGACATCAATACTTATGAAAAATCACACGAAGAATCTCAAAGAATGCGGGATTTACGTGCTCTGAATATTTTATTAAAAACATTGGTACGTGTTTTTTTTTCTCACTTTTTTGATAAATTCAGACTCATTTCAATAGACTTCTACGTTGGTGTGGAAGTGTTTTTACCTTGGAAACTTTGTAATATTATCAAAGGATCTACTGCGTTATTATATACACTAATAATAAATTCATATATTCCAATTGATGGGATAGTTCCCCTTCAGATAATGCCGCAAAAAATCAATTTTAATTTGATGACGCACATCAGGGAACGTTTGCTTATTCAGTGCTGTGCGTTGACGGGAATATAAGGTTATGGGGTTTAGACAGCCTTCTGTGTCATAACACAGTCATTGATGGTAGACCTAATTACTTAAAGGAATTTAAAAGAGGTCGCTACCTTCTGTATGAGTTTAATACAAACTTTGGCCTGAATAGTACATGTATATGCGATAGAATACTAGAATTATCAAGTACAGACAGGTAGGATTATATCGGCTTAGATTTGTCATCTATAATTTTAAATATTATATAGCTTACTTGGAAAAACAGAGCAAGAGCTTATCTTTGTCCGCCTTTAGTTATCTATTACAATAGAAATATAATTTAAAGTGTGTTTGATAACAAACAGTTTGATATCTGAAACCTGTAATCTCTTCTTATAATCAAACTGAATACTCTATTAGTGTTATTGATATTCGGTTAAAGAGGTATCGCCTTGTGAACTCCAGCATGCCATCGGTCTGCAAACTTTGGTAGTCTGAAAATTTCGAGTCTCATATAAACTTAACCTTAATAACGTCAGATAATCTATTATGGTTTACAAGATCTGCTTTTTTGAAAAAGAGTAAATTAAAAAAACAACGCCTACGTCATCGACATCGGGAACCAACTTTTTTTTTGTCAAATAAAAGTTAACCTAAGCTCTACGGACCTAAAAACAAAACCATTAATGCCAATAAGACCACACTGTTATCTCAGATAGTTACTATCAATGTCAGGTAGTTAATATCAATGTCAGATAGTTACTATCAATGTCAGGTAGTTAATATCAATGTCAGGTGCTTAATATCAATGTCAGATAGTTAATATCAATGTCAGGTAGTTACTATCAATGTCAGGTAGTTTATCAATGTCAGGTAGTTGATATCAATGTCAGGTAGTTAATATCAATGTCAGATAGTTACTATCAATGTCAGATAGTTAATATCAATGTCAAATAGTGACAGTTCATGTAAAATTGTTAATATCAATGTCAGATAGTGACAGTTCATGTGGAATTGTTAATATCAATGTCAGATAGTGACAGTTCATGTGGAATTGTTAATATCAATATCAGATAGTTCAGATCAATGTCAGATAGTGACAGTTCATGTGGAATTGTTAATATCAATGTCAGATAGTTAATATCAATGTCAGATAGTGACAGTTCATATGAAATTGTTAATATCAATGTCAGATAGTTAATATCAATGTCAAGTAGTCTAGTATTTTTTGATTTCGATTATCTAATGTCCCATGATATTTATCAGTAAACATCAGTGTCTTATAATCACTATTATTAATACATGTAAATAGTGTAAATATATGATAATAGTAAATACCATTATTCTGATAGTTACTGTCAGATATCAATATATCATAAATACGTTCAACTTGTGGTAATGACTTCCTACAATCAATGGTTAATTAATAGCTAATTGATAAAAGAACTGACCAGAGCGTCCTAATTACATGCTTCAGTAACGTGAAATGAATCTTATGATCCTTAAGTTAAGTGACTGTCCTGAAGGTCCATCATTCCATTCCGGAATAGATTCCTATTATTTTGACCGAGGTTTAATGGGGTGGGATGGTGGTTTTTGTCATGGAAAAAGCGTCTATCGATTCGATTCGACAATAAACCGATGTCCAGCGATGTACAACTTTGTACTTGCGCAAATGTAAGATCACCAAACAATCTGAAATCTTAAATAAGTACCCAGATACCACTGCTTTGGCACCATATTGATCACTGCACACTGTTTATCTTCATTAACCCATTCAGGTGAAGAAAGTGAGAAGGTAAAACTCCATTTTTCCTGTCTTTTTCAGATGATGGAACAGAAGGTACGAACTGAGAACTCTGTGATGGCCTGAACCTATCAGTCCACTGACCAAACCTCAACTTCGACACTGCTTGATTCCTGAATCTCGAACAGCCAACATTACCATTATATATTACTATGTTTCATTAGTCTACAAATTCTATAGAAAAGAAAAGTGATTTCAGAACAAAACTCTCTTAAGAATGAAGAACAATGTTTTATGAAAAAAATATCTCGAACATCTATTTATACAGGTTTCTACAGATATTTAAATGCGAACATTGTAGTTTTTCATGTTCAACTGTGAGGGATGTCTGGTCTCGACAGACAGGGTGATCTAATGATTCTTTAAGTTTACAACAGCATGTTCTTTTATTCTTCTTCTTTGATTTTCAACAGACTTTATTTACATACACACATGCCTCGTCTCTGTTTCTCTGATTTTGTTTACTACAAAAATATCTGTTAAATATACTGTAGACAATACAAATCGGTATTGTGAAGCTTTGGGAAAAAAGGTTTGTGCAAGACCAAGTGCAGACATGGAGAGTCATTTCTAACGTTTTGTGAAGTTTGGTTGACAATGAGAAATTATTCTAGCTTTTGAGAGCTGTTTCACCGATTACCATTTTAGTCATGATTTTTTATTTTTTAGTACATTAGCGTGACATCCTAGGAGTCGTGTATAGGTTAGGTTTTAAATTACATATCCAGTGCGAACATTTGAAAATATCGCATAGAATCCAAAAAATAATTAGACATCCGATCTTGGAAAAACACATAAAAAACTAATTATCAGGATTACCTATATCTATTTTTATAATAAATGATGTTCGAAGAATAAAGGAATCAACAGTAAAGTTTTGTTTTTAAACGCCCACGACACAGCCAGTCCGTTAGTTCTCGTGTCCTTTTAGCAAAATGCAAAATTAAAGCAGGTCGAATGAGTAACAGCGTTAATGGCGTCTGGAAACAATACTTATTTGGAGCCGATGGAGGATGGATGTTGCCTACAACTTCCAACGACGTTAACATAGTTTAGACCCACGTTACATTCATTCCATTTCATAGCATTTAATAGATTTATACAGAATGCCGGTTGAAGCAATTTGTAAACTACCTCTTATGATAACCAAAATGTTAAAATGTTTAAACTTGGTTAAAATGAGTCTTTGATCATCAGTGGACTTACCTGGTGTCATAGCAGACAGAAAAATCCCGCTAGAATTAAATAAATCCTGAAAACTAAGTAATAATTCATTAAATTAGGTAATTTTGAAACATGCTTAGAAGCGTGTTTCAATAATAATTTAGTTTAATGGATATATCATCATCTGATACGGAGATTCTATTCTGTAGTCATGGCACTTGTTAAGTCCAACAGATGAATATACTCAATTGTTAGTCAAGTTTGAATCATAAATTTTATGTCCATTTTAAGAGGCAGTGTCCTTCTGAGATCGAAACCGGACTTTCAGATTTTAACTTTAGTATCTATTCAATAACGAGAGATCTCGACAGTACATAACAATCTTGACACACAAGTAAACCCCTTATAAACAGAAAGGTTAACACCCAGCATAATGGAGCAAAATCTTTCTATATAGGACTCAGACCACTACATTTTTTTATGTAAATGATTGTATAATGTGGTGCGTGCTATTTTTAGAAATCCTCTTTCTCCCTCCTGTTTGCGTTTTTGTATTCCTATTTTTGACTAATTTTGGTCTAGATTTGGAATTTGATGTCTGAAATTGCATTTTCTTTCAGATTTTGTCAGATAATGAGATAATTTCATGCGGAAGGATAATTCTACAAATAGTCGTTTTGTGTGCAGTGTCAGTTAAGAAGATGTTAATAAGATGTAGTGGTCTACTTTCATTTTCATGTGACATATTGGAACGTTTTCAACGAGATTTCAGCAAAAAGTTATAGAAGGTTGAATTTCGTGATCTAACATGGAAACATATGGCAAATGAATTACCGATCTGAGTTCATATAAGTGCTGTCCATCTATATAAATGCTGCACTGGAAGCAGATAACCTGCAATCTATAGCTGACCAGCCAACCAATGCCACACTGGAACCATTTTCATACCATCAAGGGGAGACAACATTTTTTAACGTCCGACATGTCTCAAACTATGCAGCGCTCATACCTTATGAAGTAAAGTTAAAGTCAGACTTACTCTAAACTTTTGGTATGCACAGCTTCGTCAATGGCCGAACTTAACAAAGTATCGGTTTTGTGCCAAAATAATGGTAGAACGTTGTTGCAAGTAATACATTCCCAGAGTTTTTGGTTTGCATCCAATCACACGTGTATTTGCACTATTAAATAGTAGATATAAAATTTGCTCTAGTAGATCAAGTCATTCATTCACAACTACAAAATTACACGGAAACGAATGCTCACTTTGATACTCAACGAGCAAGACTTCATCCTAGACACTGTAGACCTGTAGACGAATATATCATCAAACACTTAAATTTAGTGGAATTGCAAGAATCACAGACGTCTGATTATAAATTGGAATGGTGCAAATTGTTGCTATCATTGTCCCCGATGCACCTATACAAAATTTAGAAAACCTCATTACAATCCCTTTCAGGAATGTCTACTGTCAGCATTACGGCATGACTTTGACTGCATCTGACTTTTAAATCAATAACTATGTATAATCATTAATAATTCTGTGTGTTGGTTAAGGTCTATTAAACGGCGTAATTCATCAAAATACTTCTGCAATTCGTGTATAAAACTAGTAAAGTGTAGCTAAAGTCACCTACTGAGGTAACTTTACCACAGCTTTCATTTCATTTTATACGTTTTCTCGCCTTTTTCCTCGCTTTCTCGTCTTTTTTGTAGCCTTTTTCATCGCCTTTGTCCTCGTCTTTTTTGTAGCCTTTTTCATTCATCATTATCAGTGCGCATTTGTAGAGAAAGCGGGGAAAAGGCAAGAAAAAAGGCGAGGGTAAAAAATGAGAAAAAGCGAGAGTGAAAAAGGCGAGAAGTCGAGACCCGGCCTTATGAAGAAAAAACATATATAGAAATAGAAAGTGAAAATTCAAATCTGTTTACATATATCAAGACCCCAACAAAAAACCCGAAAATGTCAATGGGCTTGAAATGAATTATTGAATAGCTCTCCAAATGATCCGGTATTGGGTACACATTGTAGTGATATCTGAAAACTAGAGCCTTCATTTACATGCTTATAGTCTCAGTCTTTTAGTATCGACCTATTTTCAGAAAAGCGTGTTAATCCATTGGGGAAAATCCCCATATATATTACAAAAGAGGGTTTATTTAAGTATGAATATACCGTGTCAATACGTTAGGCGATAGTATCATATTGTCTTTACGTAACCGATAAAATAATTCTTAAACGGCTACGAAAGAATTTTAATAGCGATTATGAGAACTCAATTAAATCAGCGTTAACTACACACATTTCCGACCGAAGACGCGTTGGGAAATAAAAGTAGGGATCAACTTCGTTATTTTCATTTCTCATTATTCTGATTTTGTGAATTTTTCACAAAATAATCCATAATTTACACGTAACAACAGAAGAAGCACACTGACACAAACAAAGTTAATTTTTATATTTCTGATCGAAAATTCGTCGCCATTTGTGAACAAAACCTTCTACGCATGTCCGTGGAGTCAGAATCCCTTTCCCAAACGCTAAGAAACCATTGCCGGGAAAACACGTTAAGAATAAACCGGTCTAACCCTTTAAAGGCATTAGTCGTCAAATAATCATTATTTGTTCATAGATTTCAGCTTTTCGAATAAATTTTCATAATGAAAATCTCACATATTTTCTGTTAACATTTTTACATGTTACGTTTGAATCGCACTGGAGTTTTAGACTGTTGCAATGTCCACATATTATATGCGTTTTTTGTCATCCCGAAAAGGAATTCATATCTAACGTTGAGCTCTATCAGATGGTAAAGCAAATATTCAGACATTACCACTTTATTTACTATCACATCAGAAAGAGGTCTTGTCGGCTTGTTATATATGTGATGTTCTCCCATATGAATGGGGAAAATTTCGGAATCCGTTCACTACGTAGAGGACAGACTGACCCAAAAGGGGAACCAACTTCTGGATTGAGATTTAAAATCCAGAAATCCTATAGATGCGCCATCGTTTTAAGCTCCAAAAAAATGTTTGATGGGGGTTTCACCGAAAAATATTTCTCACAAATAAAATGGGGGTACAATTTGGGGTGTAATTTTTTTTTCTTGGGTTCGGTATTCAAATGAGACCCGGGGATTCAAGACCATATCCTGAACTGATTAGTGTCGTATGAGCTTCATTCGGAAGAGATTCATAGTCATATCATACTGCATTTTTAAAATGCTTCTAAGGTTATCTTTGTGGATATAATGATCTATCATGTGGAATGACAAACCGACAATTGAGACGCACTCTTCAGTTCGTCAGTGGAAAGATAAATACATGTAAAGTCAAGTAACCTGATTTCGTACGAACCTAATTTCGTGCGCCTCGCGTGACCTCTACATTTGCATGTTTTAATAAACATGGGTTATCTGTACAATGTCAACCTGCACAATTTTTTCTATCATTTCAAAGCAATATCAAATTCATTATCTATTTCTAACATAAATAAAATGGCGGATTTCAACTATCCCCAAATATCACAATTTTTTATCAGCTAAATTTGCTTATAGTCCCCAATTGTAATCGGAATTCCATGTGTCTTCTGCTAGAATATATTTCAGTAAACAAGGTCACGTGACAAACTAGCGGATTCCATGTCAGAAGAAAAATTCTATGGAACACGATGTGGGCAATATAGACGAAATTAGGTAACGCATTTGGCAGCCGTTGTCGAGTTGGGTACTCATGAAATATGGGTCAAGGCGAGGGAATCAATTTTGATTATTTAATAGAATATCTATAAACATTTTAGTTAGTTTTGACGAAGTTAATTTTGACGAAGTTCGGTGTTGAAGCCTTATGCACGAATATAGGTTACACCACTGTAATATATAAACATACAAATCTTCGAAGCTACCAAAATTGTGGCTAAAGCAGTATTACCACTAGGACTACGCATCGCCCCCAATACGATTTCTGAAAAACATCTGGTTCGCCAATCAATAAACACCATGGTCAGCACCATTTTATATCAAATTTAAATGATTTATTCAACAACTGCAGTATTGTTAGTTGACAAGAGTTTATCGCTTACTTATTAGATATAGTTTAATATCAGTGTGTCAAAAGGTCAATGTATCAACAAACGGTGTCAGTCTGGGGGACGATTTACAAAATCTTCTATGTGGTTTATGCTAATCGGGACCTGCTCATATGTCGTTTGAAAAGGGTTCAATTGCTAACAGATCTCCGAGGATGAGGTTCGATTCGGTGCTTCGTCAAATTGGCGAATTTGGACCATATCAAAAATGGATTTATTTCTTAGTATGTATTCCTGGAATAACTCATGGTATTCGAATGATGATTACAGCATTTATGCAGTATGTTCCAAATCACAGGTATGCTCAATTGTTTCATGTATTAATCGGACGCTTCGGTCGTTACATAATTAATGAGATTAGTGATCGGTTAGTGTAAAATTCCAATTTCTCCAACTTTCCGAATTGTCCGAATTGGGTCAGAAAAGAACTTAGTGCACCATAGTTCTATCCCTAATTATAACTATAATTATGAATTTTGACTATAGTAATTCTATTTCTAAAACACCGTTATACCCCGTATTCGTTTTCATAGACGAAAAAACGCTCGGACCGCACTCCAGTCCAGAATCCGGATCTCGTCTATTCGCACTTTAATGCAGACCATGGTCAAACAAATATGGAACGTAACATCAAAAAGGTCACACCAATCTGCTTAACGTTAATGATGGATGATACGAATGTTGAGGAACGTTTTTAGTGCCAATTAACGAATGGCGTTTAGAAATCCACCTATTTACATAGATTAATGTTTTTTTCTTGAGACATCTCGCGGGCCGCAAAATATTACCGGCAGGCCACAAAAACATTACTGGCGGGCCGTAGGTTGCCCACCCCTGAGTTAAAGGGGCCTTTTTGTGGTAGGAAAAAATATGTGAAAACTATATAAAAATCGAGAGAAATGTGTCTTTTAACGTATCTTAAAGTTGATTAATGACAGTATGCAAAATTATAATTATTAAAAAAGATTTCAAAAACATGCTATTTACTTTAATGTATGTACATAGGGTAGTGGAATTGATGCTACTAATGATAGTTTAAAGATGGGTTTCCTTATTTTTTTTGTGTCAAATTAGGCAAACTATTTGATTAATTGGCGTTTCTAATGAATTATCATGTATTCTTAATCACATCATTATGTTCTTATTTGCACATAATTATGAGTTTTAACCAATCATAAATGTCCATGTATGTACAGTCTGGATAAATAAAAAAATAATTGTTGGCCTTTCTTGATCGGTCGCCTATTGAAATTCTGCTGGTAATTCTCTTCTAATTTAGCTAATTATGAATTAATTATGGACATGTAAAACCAACTGGTACTTTTCCATGTCATTAGAACACCACTACTTTCTATTCATATAAGAATTAGAAGTTTCATTTTCATAAATTCTGTGCCAGAAAACGTCATGAAGTATACAATTATGACAGACTACTGACAGACAGAAATCCTATTTCGATTTCAAACTTTCGACAGGTCTTTTATATGCAGAGTCCGAAGCGAATGGTGACTTGTTCCACCCGGGCACTTTTTTCTATGCCAGCCCTCCAACTCTCATCACATAGAAGGAAATTTGAAGGTAATATGTCGACCTCAGCTGAGCAGCTCCGGCTACTAATAGTTATCGAAAATATGCAATATACGATGTGTGCTTTCGAATACATGGTGTAAGTGAATGGAAAACATTATGGTCGAACTATCATCAGATAAATTTCTCAAAATTATGATATCAATGGCTTATGGCATTAAATAATACTTCATAATTTGATTTTATCATTGCTAGATATATATGCAATACGGGCCTGCATAATACTCTAAACTGGTCGCATTATGTCTTTTCTTCATTCAAAAAGTTCTCAAGAGTTAAATACGCCTGACCTTTCGTAAGCGTTCCCAAAACGCAAAACGATTCCGGGATCCTTGAAGGCAAAAGTCAAGATTCCAAACTGTTGCCTGCCTTTAATATAAACTTCCTGTATACCCTCTTCCAGAAGCATTTTAAAGATTATTTTAAGTTATACGAAAATTTTACTTTTTATCCCTCTCCACCGTTGGGGGTCTTTTAATATGAAAATTTTCTGGAGGCTTCCTCAGTAATATTTCACTTATTTAAATAATCTATATTTAAAAGATGCACTATTGTTTAAAAAAGACAAATATATTTACTTCCTGCAGAAAAATAGACACAATATCAATGAAATTTGAAAATTTCATATGAGCTATACGATAATGATACATACGCTGTACAATCTGAGTACCATCAACAACTCATCAACGAAACTTATACCATTAGCTAAGAAAGGTCTTGTCGATGCAAGAAATCTTATACTTTCGGATATCCTATTCCTAGTTTACAAATCCTGTTCTCTATCACACCTTCAATGTAACAAATCTTATATTTGCAGATGTGCTATACCAGGATATGATAATGATACATACGCTGTACAATCTGAGTACCATCGACAACTCATCAACGAATCTGTACCTTACGAATCTACAGACGGTCATTACCAATTAGCAAGCTGTTTGTTATACACGACTGGTAATTACAGCTATGATGGTCATCACATCCCTTTCAATGCAACGACTACGAGTTGCAGTAAATACGTCTACGACGAAAGTGTGTTTACGGCCACTGCTACAACCAAGGTATAACCGATTGTTAAGATACAGATGTGGCGTCATCCTTTGATCTTGGCGTACCATTATCAACATAATGATACTGACAAATCGCCACGAGTCCAATATTAATATCAATAATGGACTCCAAGTATTGGACTCTTGGTCATTTGCCAAGTAAATGTGACCTGTTTAATAAATGTATTCACGATTGACTTGGCTTCAAATAGTATGTGAACACTAGTTATAATACATACGATAATGTGGGACAAAGCATCGGTCTGTGATTATTCTTCAATCATATTTAGGGAAAGGTCAACTGGGTTAAAATAAGAATATAATTTTCTAGTAATTATGCCAATTTCAGAAATAATGCACTGGAATGTTCTTCATACACCACACTAAATTCATTGATTTAATACAGCGAAGGATATAATAATTGTAATAGCTCGTTCAATACTGTCATCCTCGTCGCACTAGTTTCCAACAAAATTAAGCAATGTAGAATGCATGATTCTAAAATACTTGAGCCATAACAAATTAAAAAACTGACCTGTAAGCATATATATTCAAATTGTAATCCATAAATCCAGATCCAGATGTAGTCCAGATGCCGACAAAATCAAACAATATACGAAATAGATTTAGTTAATATCCATCATTTATCATGAAATGAACGACAAAGCAATAAGGGAATAATATTATTTAACTCAAACAGGTTTTTTTTTCCTGACCACACATTTTGAAATTTCCTTTATTATTATTGCATGTAATTGGATCCCATGTGATCTATATTAAAGCACGTGCCTGAGTAGATGTTATTGTATGTGAACTGTATTTTAAGTTGGTTAATGGTCTTAAGCTTGTTAATACTATTTTGCCTTAGACTTGTATTGTTAGTTCCTTGTGATGTCTTTTGCGTTAAGGACCGACGACAAATGCTATAAAAGGGTCCAATTTTGGCTACGTCAGTTCATATCCAATTTTTCTGGAACGGATAATTGAGCAAATGTTTGAAATTGCGATTTTCAGTCGGTGACTCCAGTAATTGATCACATTCCCCTAAATGCCAACAGCTGCTTATAATGGGAAATATTTAGAATCATAATGTAGACCTGATTCCCCCAAATATAATTTATTAATTCTGATACTTAAAGAGCATGTCGTGTTCTTTAAACGAGTCCAACTCTTTTAACTATTTTCAGCTGAACATGGTGTGTGATGATGCTATTCTAAGATCACACGCACAGATGGTGTTTATGGGAGGTTTTCTTGTCGGAGTGTTCGCACTTGGTGCAGTGTCGGACAAGTATTGGATCTTTTTCTTTTCATTTTACAAATGCAATTTTATCACGTCCTTGATGTCATTTCGCCTATGGCTTCAAAGTGATTATAATAAATTCCGAGTATAAATTGAGTTCATAGCTAAATAGTAAAATACAGATTTCAGTTCCAAAAATTCCCATTCAGTAACAGCTTTCGGCACGATGTTTGGAACATTACACTAATCATACACAGTAAAATAAAACGTAAACATGTGCATTTAATTTTCCAGATATGGTAGGAAGACATCATTTTTCGTTGCTTTATTTTTAAATATTGTTTGTGGCTTTGCTTTGGTCGCTGCTCCAGAGTTCTACAGTTATGTATTTCTGAGGTTTATTAATGGCGGCTCTAGTGCCGGTATCTTCACAGCCTCATACATTATTGGTAGGTATGAAAGTGGTTAATGGTATATCAAAAGTTTTAGAAGGTGGACCTGAGAAAGCAATTATTAACCTGTTCTTATGTCCTAAATACGTATTGACATAATAAAATCAGCTATTGTTAATTAAGATGTGTCCATTATATCTCCTTGTAGAGAAACTCCTTTGCGCCGAAAAACATTATTGAAATTCTTCGAATAAAGGGAACAACAAAGTTTTGGAGGAACATATGTTCTCATGTGATGAGTTAGCGTTCCACCTATTACTATTCTAAAAGCAAATGCCTGAGGCAGTGCAAAACCCTGATGATTTATTATAACTTTAGACCAAGAATGGCCATCATGTCTACGTGGTTACACTTGGAAAATATAGCTGTAATTTATTTTAGGTGTCGAAATGACTGGGCCATCCAAGAGATTATGGACAGGGTTAATAATGAAGTATCATTTTGCTATCGGGATATTAGTATTAGCTCTGATGGGATATTTAATAAGAGACTGGGTGATATTAGAAATAGTAGCTACAGCTCCTTTGGTAACTTATGTTATATTTTACTGGTAAGTACAACTGTTGTACTCCAAATGTATGAATAAACTCCCTTTTTCTCTCTGACTACAAAAATGATAGAATTTATGTTGAACGGGGTTCACTAAAATGTATAGACAAAAGCAAACAGTTGCAAAAAACGAATAGGAATTTCTACTTAAATCCACAACAACGACCACTTTTCTCTATCAAAATTTAATAACGATTTCCAATCTGATATATTCATTTATTACTTTTCTAGTATGAAACATCCAAAAAACAGGTCCATAGACAGACTTAATTGTCCGAAGGTGCAATTAATATATCCAGAGGGGCAATGGTGAATGGTGTTTAGTTGCAGTAATATAAATGGTCGGTTGTCAGATTGTTTTCGGAGAGCAATCCATTTTTTTCTCGCCCTTTTTCTCAGCTACGGGCCTGATCCAAAATGACCCTTTCTATAATTTTAGGGTAATTCCCGAATCTCCACGTTGGCTTGTTACTAAAAATAAAACAGAAAAAGCTAAGAAGATACTAGAGAAGATTGCAAGGAAGAATAAGACCACACTACCTAATGTTAGCATAGAAAATGAAGATGATAATAAAATTAGTCAATTAGAAAGTTTTAAACGATTGTTTACCACTCCGGTGTTATTATTTAGAACTTCTATTATATTCTTTAATTGGTAAGTCACATTGCTATACTTTGGATTTTGCTATCCTATGATTCGTCACTGTTATTAATAATTGGGTTCTACACGATCCGTTTTGATTGGCTAAAATTAACGTCATTAGAAAGGGGCTATGGTAGACAGCTTGTTAGATTACAACGGAGACTAAATATATTCGTAAAAAATAGAAAACTTTAATAAGATTGATATCCCTAAAATATAAATAAATAAATATGTTGCAACACATAATTGACTGAAAAATTCCAAAGGGGACCTTAAATTCAAGCTCCACAAAGATGGCATATGATTGATTGAATGACATGTGGATGATTACAATAATCTTTGAAAATCTATGTATACTTCAAAACCCACAAGTTGTTCCACGATTCCATTGAAAAGCACAAAAGACACACAGAAACTTTGACAGTTCCATCGCTTGCTTTGGACCAGTTAACTAGAACAGTGGTTTAATAATGTACATGGATAGAAATGTCAGTAATGGAGTTTTTAACCTTAATGTGATACAAGGGTCAAATTGATGGAAACAGATCTATGAACTTACCCTCTGCCATGTCCGTTGACTATAAATACTTTATTTTATTAGGGCTATAGTTGCAATGACGTATTATGGGTTATCGATGAATACCAATAAACTTGGAGCTGGTGATTTCTTTCTGAATTTTTTTATTGGTGGATTAATGGACTTTCCGGCTGTTACTGTATGTTTAATACTCATTGATAGAATTGGTAGGAAAAAGCTACACTGTGGTTTCATGTTATTTGGTGGGATCTGCACATTTTGTACAATTTTTACTATTTTGTATCTTGATCAAGGTAAGTATAAAATATTATACTATATAACAATATACTATGTACGGTCATAATAACGGTCCCACAATTTTTGTCAATTTCCTTTCTCTTAATACTTTATTTTCAAAGACGTATTGTCATAATTCTTTAAGTAGAGTTTACACACAGTTGAATCATACCCTAAACCAAATTTCAAACTACAATATCAGAACACCATAGAGTTAAGCGTACAGGCATTGGCACTTAAAACAATATGCTGGGGAATATGAGTGGTTGTACCATGTTTGTATTCGAGCCGATGCTCACAATCGCCAGCCAAACAACCAAAAATACGGACGACCGATTATCTCATGGATTTATGATGATTTATCGACTATTTCAGAGTATCAATGGATAACTGTAATGTTAGCTATGATTGGGAAGATGGGTGCTGCAGCAGGATTTGCTGTAGTATATGTCTATTCGGCTGAATTATATCCTACAGTCGTCAGAACAGCTGCGTTTGGTGCGAGTTCTGCAAGTGCTAGATTTGGCAGTATGGTAGCTCCATATATTGTGGACGGGGTAAGGCAACTCTTGCTTTCAAAGCAATTGTGAAACATAACACTTATTATCCTTATATTACTCAACCTTGTCAACAAAATGTAAATTCCAGTCTGGACCGAACCAGTGTATATCGAAATGGAAAAGTTCTATTTCCAGGCATATTTGTAGGCATTAGACTATTAGCGAACATTTTTTCTACTTCTGAAGACTTTTTACATGTATTCAAAATGGCGATTGAGCTTTTTGATCACTATTTGATCAAATGGTTCTCGGGAGATTGAGATTGTTGTTATCACTGATCCTCTGTTTCATTATTACAGGGTCGAGTAATTGGTGGTGACTTTGGTCGAGCTTTCCCATTAATGATGTTTGGTGGATTATCCATAGCGGCTGGCTTACTTTGTTTATTGCTCCCTGAAACTTTGAAGAAAGATTTACCTGAAAATATTAATGACGGGAAACTACTTGGAATGTAGGTTATTTTATTTTTCAAGATTTTTCATCGGTCGTATAATAACCTTCGAATAAAATGAGACCATCAGCCGCTGCGAAGGTTTTGTTTATAAATTGATATATTAATCTGCATATGATGGACATCGATAATGTTAGTCTGCAACGCGTTAGTTGATGACCACATGCATTGGACGAAGAATTGGAATGTCCCAAATAGAAGTCTCCGATGCACATAAAAAAATGGCTCGTAAACCTCTGTACAATCCCTTTTAGCAAGATGTACACTAAACCAATAAAACTTAATGTTTTAGGTCAATTGATGTCAGCGTAGAGAAGGATACAGATATTAACTTTGAGAAGAAAGTTAGACCAGATGATAAAGGGGTGGCTTTTACTAATGGTAAAGCAACCTTGTTTACTGGAGAATATACCAAATTATAAATATACATTACATATTATATCTGTTGGCGACCAGGAGTTCTATGCACTGAATCTCACATTCAGTTCAGTATATTTTAAAAACTTCTACGGTTAATTTTCCTTCTGTATATCAAAAGATACCTGATGAACATTTTGAAAAAAACTATTGTTACACATAACTCAAAGAGAGGTGCTCATGTAATATGAATTTTATGAAATGAGTTGTCAGAATAAATATTTATCTGGCAACGAAAGTCGTTAACTTCAAAGAATGCCATGTTGTTCTTTTCACATAATGCTAATTTGCATAGTTATTAACCTGTGACACGAGTTCATATCGATTTTATGAATCTCTGTTATGAACTCAGAAACAGATCTACATATAATGGACATCGATAATGTTAGTCTGCAAAGCGTTAGTTGATGACCACATGCATTGGACGAAGAATTGGAATGTCCTCAATAGAAGTCCCCGATGCACATAAAAAAAAAGGCTCGTAAACCTCTGTACAATCCCTTTAAGCAAGATGTCCAAGTTGTCTCGGAATATTATTTTTATCGCTTATCATATAAGCATTAACAAATAAGGTACCATACTTAGCTTAGCTTTCTTTGAGAATTTAATAAACCTAATATGCGCTCTGAAACATACAGCCGTGTTAAATCATGTATCAGCTGTATTGAAAGGGTTGCCGAATGCTTGAGAAATCAATCATTCCAAGGAAAGTGACTTGCAAAGTCAATTTTTAACATAAAGTATCAGCATATGAACACATCGATGTGTTCGCTTATCGGTGCGAAGCTTTAGATGGAATGAACGAGTTTACACACTTGGCCTGTGGAATTGAGATAATGTAGAAATTGCCACATCAAGGGATCTAACTCTTAACTTAATATTATAAAATCCAATATCCATTATAGTGCCTATATACGGCTCAAATTGTGTGGCTTAAATTGCGCATCCTGAAGGTCCAGGGTTCAATCCCGGCATAGGTCGAGATAATACCTTCAGATTTTTCAACCCGGTTTCCCCCTGTCAGTGATGCAGGTGAGAGGGGCTGACATGGAAAAAGCCGAGGCCCCGTGTGCTACAGGCTGTGTACGTTTAAGATTCCTCGACAGTTGGAAATCGATAAAGAGCAGGCTAATGCCGCTGTCCTGGCAAAATTTCCCTCATTGCACCCTGCATGGCGTTGCCTGTCTTCATTAGCCCACATGGTGCAGAAAAGTAAGACGCAAAACTCCATTCATTTCATTTTTTTTTAATTGCGCATCAATTTCAAATGAAAACAATAAAAACGCGCTCACTCATGCTCATTATACATTACCACATAAAACATTATTTCAAAGCAGAAAAAAAACGAAACGATACACGAACACGACAGAAACTTCCATGACAGCCTAAACTACAAAGTTTTTACAAACAGGGCAATAATTCATATCATTGATAAACATGTGATCTTATATACATAAGCATACCTATTTATATCCAAAAACTATTGCATCTAATGCGTGCAGGTCCCATAGAATTAGTATATAATTCTATATTATTCACACGTCAAGTGTGTAAGAAGATCTGAATAGTTTGCCATCCTTGGGTGCGGCCAATATAATGATGTTTTTATTCGAGCTACAAATATGACTTAATGCCTATTTTACACAACAAAACATAGTACTTAGAGAATGTATAAAACCAGTACACATAACATGAATAAACAGCGTGCTGGTGTGGGTTATACCGGGTCTCATTGACATTGGTGTTAGATTGGTGAGATATAATTGACGCACTTAAAGCGATAGTAGAGAGTTTTTCTTAAAAAAAATATGAATATCGGGGGCACTGATAACATCAATTTCTACCATTCCAAATTTTCAATCAGACGATTATGGTTCCTTCAATTCCACTAAAATTAAGTGTTGGATAAAGTCACTTTATCACATACGGACTGACGAAATGAAAAAAGAACATGAAACAAGCTTTTTTTCAACTCAAAATTCATAAGAAAGTTTTAAATTCAAAGGAAGTAATAAAATTAAGTCAGAGTAAAATCAAGGCAAAAAAAAAACCTTTACAAAGGCCTTGGTGTGAAATGGAATAAGGTACAAAGTTAATGATATCAGATCACACCATTCAACACTGTCCCGTTTGCACCACAGTGCAACTGATATACGGCTATGTCTGCATTAAAATTGCCAATAACCTTGTCTAATTTCGGATCTTCCGTACTGCTCTGATAAGATCTAGTTCAAGCTTATCTGTTATCATACGATCTCGTGAGGTTTGAAGATAAGGAACAAGAAATAACAAGGTTTAAAAACTAGGTTAACTTTAAAGCTATCATGTATCTTTTAAAGAAATTTGAAGGTTGAATATATCATAGTTGTGATGTTTGACGTTTAACAAATGTTGTATTCAAGCTGCCTGTGGGCATATGTTACATTGCCTGGCAAAAGGCGATCTTTTCGATATGCCAACCAATAACAAATTAAGCTCGTAAAAAAAAATTAGTTGTAGATTACGAGGTCTTTACTCATGTTTGGGGGTGTATGATAGCTTTAATGTTATTTATAGACAGATGAACAAATAACAAATATATTTACACACAACTAATGTATTGACTTCAAGAAGAAGAGTTGTTATATTTGGATTGGTCCTAATTATCGGAGATGCCAAAAACAGGTAAAAACTTGAAGGTGATTGTTTTCTGTCTACAGTGAGCTCAGAATTGAATTGTGAAATAAAATTTGCAGTTTGCTTGCTATTTGTCTTAGAATGCCATCGGGTCCATGCATGGAAATGTGAGGTTTGGAAATTGTAGTTTTGAAATTTCCTATGAAAATGACACACATTTTGAACAGAAAACTAACATTTCTAAAATCATATTTCAAAATGATAATTTTGTCATTGATTGGCATTTACATCGACCCAAATACAGTCTAAGATTCTCGGTACTGTTTAAAATTGTCATTTTCTTTCTGTGTTAAATATTTTTAATAAGAAACAACTTTAACAGCACTTTCAGAGCTGTACCAAGAAAAACCCTTGTATGTGAAGGCTACATTTCTAATGTGGAAAATATCATTCCCTTTCTTTTAAATCGTCTTACAGGTTTCCTCGAACGCCTTCAAAATGGTGAGGCAATCATTTGTGCAGAAGGTTATATGTGGGAATTAGAACGACGTGGATTTTTAAAATCTGGTGCATTTACCCCAGAAATAATTCTTGAACAGCCAAATAGAGTTAGAAATCTTCATGAAGAATATGTACACGCCGGAAGTGACGTGGTTGAAGCTTTTACTGTAAGAGACTTTTTGTATTTGTTGTAACATTGAACTGTGCTATACTGCATGTAAGACACAGCTGCTAATAGTAATGGGAAATATTTGGAACTTTAACTGTGGTCTTTATTTCCAGACCGTTATCTTGTATGACGTGTTGTACTTTTCCATGTAGGCCTATGCTTTAGAGAGCCTTATAGCCTTAGGACTTCAGAAAGATGTTTCCCAATATCATTTCCTTAATTCAGTATTATGGACATCGTCAAAAAATGAAAACTATTGGTAGAGAAGATGAACTCGAAACTTTGAATCTCACAGCTTTAAAAATAGCACGAGATGTAGCAGACGAGACAAATACACTAATGGCGGGAAATTTATCAAACACCAACGTCTTTAATCCAGACGATCCCACAACGTATGATGTTGCAAGCCAGATATTTCAGGTATATTGCTGTTTTATATAACATCTTATTATAATACCAACTTTTAATCACCATCCCTATTTAATGACGACATCCCAGATAGCACAATGTGTAAAGAAAAATTCTGAAAACAATTTGAGGAAAATTATTACCTGTTTTTGACAAAAATTAATGTCTAAATGACCTACACTACAGGAATTGAATTAATCTTCACCAAAACAACACCACATCACATAAGATCTCTCTGGGATAGCCTACATCTTTTAGCTGATTAAAATACAAATTCTATATTTCAATTTGATTGATTTAACATATTAGAAAAGATTAATTTCGTACTTTGTGTACAACGTCCAATTTTAAACGCTCATTAAACAAAAAAGTTGTCAGATCCACAAGTAGTCAAATCAATTGGACAAAGACAAAACAATTATATAGTGAATTGTATTTTAATCAGACTTTTAATTATCTCAAGTTATATAAGTTTTCTTTTTTACTTTAATTTTGCAACATTCCAATTTTCAGTCAGACGTCTGTGGTTCCTGCAATTCCACGTGATAATGTGATAAAGCATACTTTGCTATTAGTGACGTCATCAAAAACTTATAGACGTCTGATTGAAATTTGGAAGGGTGCAAATTGATCAGTGTCCCGATACACATAAAAAAATTAAAAAACCTCTTAACAAGCTCTTTTAATCATTATTATTATCAACACCTACATGAACCCTAACTGGCATTTATTTATTAAGGAACAAGTCGAATGGGCTGTGAAAGGAGGAGCAGATTTCATCATTGGTGAAACCTTCTGTGAATATAAAGAAGCTCATTTAGCGCTAGAAGCTATCCAAAAATTTGGAAATGGTGAGATTAACCCAAGTCCCCGCAATGTGTAGGGTTTTAAAGGGTACACGATCATAGAATCATATTAAGTAGATTTGTCCCATACTCAGCCAATTGTCGTTTCTAAGAGGAATCTGGCCGAAATATCTGCCTCTATTCCAGCCTTTGATAGTTATTGTCAAATTTGTCGGCTGGAGTAGAGACAGAAAAACTAGGCACTGTTTGTGGACATTGTCCGCACCTCCGAAGTTGAAGGGGTTTAAAACCTATTTATTATTTAAATCGTATCTGCCAAACCCAGATATATTCGGACAGATGGATATTTTTGAAGTTCCCTACACTATTTTTGTCACGTCTGTGGTTCCTTCAAAGTTTTTTTTAATGAAACTGAGCTCTCGTCGGCCATTTAACGAAAAAATCAAGGCTCGCAGCTTGACGTAATACTAACAAAACGAAAGGTATGGTGATATGTGAAATTCTCCATCCGATAACTGTCAAAATATATATCAGAGGCTGGAATAGGGGCAGATGTTTCGGACAACGGGTAGTCCGCGAAAATAAACTCGTCTTTTATCAATCATAAACCATCAATCAATCATTAATTTTCCTTGACATATCAAAGGTCGTAAATGCTAAATGCGAATGTCTATGGGACTTTTTAGCTACCATTAACTTATCGAAAGACGCTATAAATATACCCCCCCCCCCCCCCTCCCTTTGAAAAATATGTGGCCCCGACACCTAATAAATCTACTGCTATTCATATACGTCCAACTGACTACAATGTATTTGCAATTTGGAAAGACACATTTCATATTTTTATGTGTAATTGTAGAGGCTTAAAATAACCTTGCTTATTGTAAAGCGTTTTATAATAATTACATGTATTAATATTAGATAACTAGATTGGGAGTTACTTTACGGAGGGCTCAGTAGCATCTGATTCACATCGAAACGTTCAATATTGACCAACTGCCTATATTAACCATGGATCTCGGCCGCCCTGGTCTACTATAAGATTAAATATTTACACAAAAAGTAGAAAAAGAGCGACTAATGGCAATTTTTAGCCTTAGGTCGACTAAACTCTGCGATCAGATTTTTACAGATGTCCCCTATTCAATCCTGATTTCAAGAAGTACAGTAATGTGATTGGTTAGTTCGTACGTCGACTTAATCAGATTCTATCCGAGCCTCCTTACAAAGTCCGGATTTCAAGAAGTAATCGGATTAGTAAAGCTGTTTCTTATATCGATCATTGATTAATTAAATAATGAACATTAAACATATTTTGTCAGTGGAGAATGTCTTCACACTTCATCTTCTATATATTATTTGGTGACTGTTGTCTCATGAATTATATGAATGATGAACGAATTTTGTAGGTTTGCCTGCTGTAATTACTTTGGTACCATATGGCCCTGATAGAACAACAGATGAATTGCCGTTTCCAGTAGCTTTACGTAAACTAGAAGAAGCTGGAGCAGCCGTTGTTGGTCTCAATTGTGGACGTGGACCAGAAACTATGTTACCTTTGTTGAAAGAAGTGAGGAAATCTTGTAAGGTAAGTTATTGTTATTATCGTCTTCCAAAGATGCTGATATTAATAGTTAATGGGTCTACTTAAAAAAAAATATATCCCGTTGGTATCAAAATGTTAAAACAGCTGATGTTATTGTCCTGGCAAAATATATCATTGCATACTGCAAAGCCGTGCACGTCTCTTATTATTCCAATCAGGTGTAAGTGGGATTCAAGGGCACGTGCTCTGAAGTTGTGATTTTGTGTTCGATTTCAGGGTCCCATAGCAGCACTTCCGGTACCTTTCAGGACAACACCCAAAGAGAAAACATTCCAGTCTCTGACAAATCCGAAGACAGGTAAAAAAAAAATAACTATTGCTTAAAAAGAGAGTTAGCATCTGCTACATGACATTGAAATCGTTTGTATTCCAACTTTAAAACTCTCACTGCACTGAAAAAAAGCTTGTGTTGAAACAACACAAGTTAATACACAAGTGATGTGTCTATATTATACAACACAAATATCAGATATCAATATGTGTGCCTTATAATCTTCCACTGATGGTATCTGTGGTTTTTTTTAGGTGAGCCTCTGTTTCCTCTCGATAATGATACCACCCTGTGTTCTCGTTCAGAAGTCAGAAAGTTTGCTGAGGAGGCGAAGAATATCGGTGTACAGTATATTGGATTATGTTGTGGTAGTAGTTCAAATCTACTGAGAGAAGTGGCTCAAGCTTATGGAAGATCTCCACCAACCAACAGATATACTCCAGATATGACCAAAAATTCATATTTTTCTGGAAATATCTCTGGACATGCCAAGAAAGTTTTTAGTTTTATGAAATGTCAAGTGGAATAAAATTCTGTAAATTTTCAGGAACCTAAAGACGATACTATACCACAGGACGGTTTTGTCATTTTGTTAGATATCAAGGAAACTGGACAATAACCCTTGATATCTATTTTGATTATCAAATTTGCCCTATGTGCACTTATATCAATGTACTTATACCTCGATGTTACAGAAACTTTTATATATGGTTATAAATAGACTGACAAAATATATTTGTTCGAATTGCACTTATATTAAGTGTGTTTTGCTTATTGATGGTAAAAGAAAGTTATAATATATACATATAGAATAACACAATTATTTTGTCTGGTTTACACTTATATTAAGTGTATTTTGTTTTGATGTTGATAGAAACTTATTATAGAAATAATAAAACAGAATCTAAAAAACATGTTGTTACTCAGAGATTCACGTCATGCGATCTTCGGACAGCTTATGATATATAGACCGATAGACTGACACAATTATTTTGTCCGGATTGTACATTAAAGGGACAGTTGCGCCAGGCATAAGGATATTTTAGCTAAGCCAATCAGAAATAGTGTTTACAGCTCACCGTCGAAATTTGAGCCTTCAAATCCATGTGTGACCAGAATTATCTGCGTTTGAATGTTTAAATGAGACTCGACTTTTTAAGATGCTCTGAGATGAACCAGCCATCTAGATAATATATTTGTATAAGATATTACAGATACTAGTGTTTGTGGTAGATAAGATAATACTGGTTTTTATTACATACACGTGTAATACTACTAGAGCAATACAGGAGATCATAAACATATACTATCTGTATCCGCATTACACATACAACAAATAAAATATAAAACACATATTGAAGACGTTCGGATCTACTTTCATATTTGTTGCTATTCCGCTGAACGCATTTCATGCTGCGGTGCAAGCTTCGAATAACGCACATGATAATGAAATACCCATCGGCTATAATATTCCCCCAAGCATTACATTTTTACCTATTTTATTTTACCTATAAAATATCGAATTTATATTAACTACTTGTGTATTTTGTCTAAAACAGTAAACAGTAAATAAAATGGTATGTAAAAGGTTTTCAATAGTGAGCGAGGGGTTTTTGCGTAGTGATATTACTCGTATGCGTGTAGCATATATTATTGTTAAAATTTCGACAAATATGTTCAAGGTCGCTATATTGTATAATGAATGATAAAGCAAAATTTTTCAAGGGATACAATCATTTATTTTCCTACCCTTGACCTGGTAGAATTTGGCTTTTGAACGCTTCAACGGATAGGCTACAGTTTTGCCTCGATTTCGAATATTATGACGCATAAACATATTTATCAGTTAAAATAATCAACTGATTCTCTTCAAAACCTGTAATAATATAAGCAGTTTTGTGAATGAATAAACTTTTACCGACATCGCACGTTAGTGAGAACAGAGATCAGATAGCAACAAATTGATATAGTCAACTATATTATTACATATAACTATTGATCACAGAACAATAGTGTTCCAGGGTTCATACCACAGGTTCAGAAAAACGATATGAACTCGCAGCAAACGTTGAAACTATGCAAATTATGTACTTGTAGGTGATTTAATTTTTTCAAAAGAGATAAACGTGTACGAAAATATAATAATCCAGGGGAGATAACAGCATTGTTTTGATAATTTCGATAATTTTCTAAGCACAAGAACATAAACAAAACATAAGTATAGTTTGCATAGATGGAATCAGAAGACTAATCACCTATTTGCCATGTAGTTAGACCTATGGATTCCAACTTGTAGTAGGCCTACCAGTACTTTAAATGATGCTGTTATTATTGGTTTTATACATATTTATAAAACGTTCTTAGAAATCGGATAACGGTATATAGTTTTCCTGTTTATGCCTGAGATAAGGGCGACAACTCCAAACAATTGAAGTCTATATTCGAATTGACTGACTTCGAAGCAATTAAACTGAAAAGCTAGCTCAAGATTTCATGAATACATTTATTTCAATTCAACGTAGATTTTAACAAAATGATTTATCTTTCTATACTGTAAGTTTGTATCATTTTGCAATGGGTTTCAGATGTTGATTAAATATTAGAAATATTATTCGCGGCAGTCTGAAGTAGGCCTACCGGCAATAGGTGTACGACGTTCTATTTGTATCTTGTCCAACAAGCTGGCACGGTAGAATAACTACGAAATAGCGGGAGTTCTTCCAAGACTAGACTGCTTCAAGAATTTTTTACTTCATGATTTATTATATAGTTTGATGCGTCAAATTATATTTAAGCTTGGGCTGTCGAATTCTCATCCTTCGAGATCAAAACTGTTTGTTTTGTAACGTGCAAGCTCGCGACATTTTAACAATCACAAGGGCAAGTCTCTCTCCATTTATAATGCACACTTGACCAAGTGATGGCAGCTGACCCCCCATTAGATTAACTACGACAAATTAATCCACTAGAGGATTGTGAGGCAACAGTTGCTCTATTCGTCCCAACAACCAAATCTGCTAAACTGACCAATCGAAATATTCTTTAGACTATAAGAAAACCTTAATGACAAGTGCCCAGAAACGATCATGATGTTTAGATAAATAAGTCCAAATCAACATTCGTGTCGATTGAAAAGCTCCAGACCTCTCACCCAACGACTTATCGACGCTCACTTAATATTGACGATTTTTACAATGGAAGGAAAACGCAACTGTAAACTTTAATTTTTATTTATTTATTTGAACAAATGAAATTGGGTAGTATTAGGATACTATGCCGATATCTCATCTCGGGGAATTTAACTTTCTCCATTGAGAGTTTCTCTATCAAAGATGTATTCACCCAGACCAGTTCCAACTCTCTTCAGTTGTGTCACGTAGTCCGATATCTCCTTAATGGAGTCAACTTGCTCCTTCAGGTATTCTCCTTCCAGGAAATCCTGCATCTGTAATTACAACATCGATACATAGTTATAGAATGGTTCTGAACTCTGCTTCAGAAAAAGGTGTCATTCCGATAGGACAGAGGCTATTGGTGCACAGTCCTGGAACAATCATTTAGAATCCACAAGTGGTGATTTGTCGTTTACTGATAAGATACAGTCGATCCCTTTGCAGACGCAATCAAGTAATGCTATTGTATTAAGGAACATACCTGAGAATCATTGTGTTTCTCAGCAACAGCATGAAGATCCAACAGAGACTGGTTTACACTCTTCTCTAGTTGTAGAGCTACCTGCATAGCTTCCAAACCACTTCCCCATTCATCTCTTTCAGGTTTCTACAAATACAAAAGTCAACTTTGCTCATTCATCATTGGATTCATTCAAGACCAGGATGAAAGGTGCAGAAAACGCCATAGGGGAGACAATGCAGGTTTTCATTGATTTCCACCCCGCAACAAACGCTTTTTTAAACATAATGAGATTAAACCACAGAAGCGGTCCTACATTTCATTGGAAGAAAAGTTTTACAGAGCGATACATTAGTGCTTAGATGTATATCTCCGCTACCATCCTCAGGCAAGACACGGAAAGTACATGTATTACATAACCGTATTTAACTGGGATGAGTCTTGAAGGTCATCAATGTGTGGTGTCCCATCTAGCTAGGGGGTTAAAAACTGCTTTGGGCAGTTAGGCGCCCGTTTTTAATACAGAAACAGTTGATATCTATCTGTCCACGTCAAATAAACGTAAGTAAACAGTCACAGCTGTTATTGAATTCAATGTAATTTATATATAAAAGGACTATTACCTTGATATCTTGAAGAACGACTCGTCCACCACGTTTATTCTGATATTTCATCAGTTTTTCAGCATGTTCCCGTTCTTCATCGGAAGAGCTCTTGAAGAATTTACTGAATCCTGGTAGAGCGACATCATCACGATCAAAATAAAATGCCTGAAAGTAAATGACAAATTATACGTCAAGCGATATTTGAAATAGTTTGATACCAATTCGGTGACAGAAAGCGTTTAGGTTTTTACAAGCCTTGATTTATGTGGAGAAACAAATCCTACAAAATTTGAACGTGACCTAAACTACAATAGAGGATTATTATTGATCACAGAATCCTATTTCGTGTTGAGAATATAATGCTGGCGTAAACCACATAATAGCCATTCTCTAGACTGAATGTGTTAGGTGATTATGCTATGCATAATCTATCACAGTACATATTTAAGGGGACCTTCAAAGGGGCCTCTTAACCTATTTCTTCGTGACTTTCCAGATCACTATCGTATTATCAAATGGGCTGGTTTCTAATTTTGCACATCCGGTGATCTCTGAGTCATACATAACACTCAACCACGAATTGTTGTTCTTTACATAACCTATATATAACGGTTCTTTAAATTAAACGAGATAAGAGGGAAATACTTCAGACCAAACTATTCTATTATAGTAGATTATGGTGGTCTAGTTAAGGCAGGAATTTGACCTCACTTGCTTTAACCTTATATAGATAAGGCCTAACTAATGAATATTTTAAAACTCATTATGTAAAAAAGAGGACACATAAATTAACATTGTTAAAAATTCAAAAGATTAAATAGATATCCAAGCTGCTTTACATAGATCTAAATAATATATAACTCGATGTAGAAATAGTAAAACAGAACTGCAATTAATGTATTGAGCACTTTTTTAACAGTGAAAATATGTTATTATTGTTATATATAATTCGAATAGTTCAACATTATACTTGTTCATGCGTTACTAAGATTAAGTCGACAACATAACATTGTTTTCACATGACAACACAGAATAATCTACATAATTATAATAAGGTAGAGTAAGTATTGATTTGTACATTTTAGACTGGAACTTTCTGCATAATTAATAATGGCCACATTCATCGATAAAGGCCACTAACAACAATCAACTATATCTTTCAAATGCGCAGCAGAAATCTTATCAAAATGTGTATTTTATGGCGTTTAATGGTGATTTGGATGGCGGGAAATGTCATTCGTTTATCTATTAAGAGGTTTATCTAGTTATTTGTTAGCTTAAAGTACATACGATTCCATATTAAATGTCTATTCTACTGTAGATCTCTTGCATACTTCAATCTTAACATAACTAATACAGTCTATTTTAACTGATATTCGACCATCGCCGGTATTCATTTAGGACAATTTATAGAAAACTGCGTGTCACGTTAATCTCAGCACCACTCACGTGTTTTATGACCTAAGAAGGTCACTGATTACTGTTAGTAAATACAGGCTGACCTAAAAACTTAAATTCATCAGTTGCCATAGTAATAGTGAATGGTTCATGGTTAACCCTCATTGTGTGATACAAACGTGTATTGGTGGTACTTCTTAGCCTAAATTTTGATGATTATCTGGATGAAAACAAAAAATAAACAAAAGTATAGTACTCACCATGGATTGGTAAGTATAGCTGGCATAAAGCTCCATATTCACTTGTCGGTTAATACCAGCTTCACTCTCCAAATGGAAGTTTTGACGTGGTTGACTTACTGTTTGTGCCATCTTGTTAAATCAATTACTAGATAGTAGACTCAAGGTATCAAGAAAACCAATAAATTCTTTTAAAATGTTAGAGGTAAACAAGAAATGAGTCTGTCCCGTACATACACTGACGTAGCAAAGACAATTCTGAATGTAATATGAAAGCGCGTTTAATTTATAGTCTCAGGTTTATGACGTCACAGCTCATAGTCTATTCAGCCAATCCCTGCACAGAAGAATGACAAAGCATTTACATAAATTATAATACTAGTACGAGTTATACCTGGTATTAAAAAAAATCATGACGAAATATCAACGTGACACTGAGTAAATTAATTTTAAAGATATGTACATGTATATGCATATTTTTGTGTTTTGAGCTTTCTTATCTGTGAGAGATAAAAAAATTTACTAGCATAAGTTAAATTCACAGGGAAAAAGATTTAGTCATATAGTCTTGTCCACCTTTTCCTGTGCCGAAACTCCTGTCCTGTCTACCGGCCCTGACAGTCTTTCCATTTTCCTTGTTCGGACAGTCCTTCAACTCTTCTTGTTTTGACAGCCCTGTCCACTCAGTCCCTTCAGTTTCCCTTTTGACAGTCTTGTCTCGTCTCCCGCTCCTTGCTCTGACAGTCCTGTCCACTCTTTTTGTTTTGGCAGGCCTGTATAGTATCCTTGTTCTGACAGTCTTGTCTACTCTCCCCATTCTGAGAGTCCTATCCTCTCTAACTTGTTCTGACAGTCCTGTCCTCTCCAACTTGTTCTGACAGTCCTGTCCTCTCTAACTTGTTCAGACAGTCCTGTCCTCTCCAACTTGTTCTGACATGTCTAGTCTTCCCGCTCTGAGAGTCCTGGCAACTCAATCTTTTCTGACAGTGCTGCCCCATCTCCCTGTTATGACAGTCCTGTCCTCTTTAACTTGTTCTGACAGTCCTGTCCTCTTTAACTTGTTCTGACAGTCCTGTCCACTCTTTTTGTTTTGTCTAATTTGTTCTGACAGTCTTGTCTAGTCTTCCCGCTCTGAGAGTCCTGTCAACTCAATCTTTTCTGACAGTGCTGCCCCATCTCCCTGTTCTGACAGTCCTTCCTCTTTAACTTGTTCTGACAGTCCTGTCCTTTCTAACTTGTTCTGACAGTCCTGTCCTCTTTAACTTGTTCTGACAGTCCTGTCCTTTCTAACTTGTTCTGACAGTCCTGTCCTCTCTAACTTGTTCTGACAGTCGTGTCCTCTCCAACTTGTTCTGACAGTCCTATCCTCTCTAACTTGTTCTGACAGTCCTGTCCTTTCTAACTTGTTCTGACAGTCCTGTCCTCTTTAACTTGTTCTGACAGTCCTGTCCTTTCTAACTTGTTCTGACAGTCCTGTCCTCTCTAACTTGTTCTGACAGTCCTGTCCACTCTTTTTGTTTTGTCTAATTTGTTCTGACAGTCTTGTCTAGTCTTCCCGCTCTGAGAGTCCTGTCAACTCAATCTTTTCTGACAGTGCTGCCCCATCTCCCTGTTCTGACAGTCCTGTCCTGTTTAACTTGTTCTGACAGTCCTGTCCTTTCTAACTTGTTCTGACAGTCCTGTCCTCTTTAACTTGTTCTGACAGTCCTGTCCTTTCTAACTTGTTCTGACAGTCCTGTCCTCTTTAACTTGTTCTGACAGTCCTATCCTTTCTAACTTGTTCTGACAGTCCTGTCCTCTCTAACTTGTTCTGACAGTCGTGTCCTCTCCAACTTGTTCTGACAGTCCTATCCTCTCTAACTTGTTCTGACAGTCCTGTCCTTTCTAACTTGTTCTGACAGTCCTGTCCTCTTTAACTTGTTCTGACAGTCCTGTCCTTTCTAACTTGTTCTGACAGTCCTGTCCTCTCTAACTTGTTCTGACAGTCCTGTCCACTCTTTTTGTTTTGTCTAATTTGTTCTGACAGTCTTGTCTAGTCTTCCCGCTCTGAGAGTCCTGTCAACTCAATCTTTTCTGACAGTGCTGCCCCATCTCCCTGTTCTGACAGTCCTGTCCTGTTTAACTTGTTCTGACAGTCCTGTCCTTTCTAACTTGTTCTGACAGTCCTGTCCTCTTTAACTTGTTCTGACATGTCTAGTCTTCCCGCTCTGAGAGCCATGTCCCCTCTACCATGTCATGACCCATTCTGGGTGTCCTGTCAGTTTTCCCCATTCTGAAAATGCTATCCATTTTCCCCATTCACACAGTACTGTCCCCTCATTGTCTGATATTTCTGCCCATTCTTCCATTTCTGAAACTCCTGTCCTGTCTTACCGGCCTTAACAGTCCTGTCCCTTCTCTGACACCTTTAATGAAAGTCATATGTCATGATAATCCCTGTGTACTTGACAAAATCTAAATATAACTGAATCACATGTATATACACGTGTTAAAACATACAAAACATACTTATACAACTGAGACCCTACACATTTGAATAATCATTATTAGTTTATATATATATATATTAATATGTGTGTTTTCTTATGAATAAATGTATATATTGCTGTTTATATCATTATGTGGGAAATTATATATAATTCATATTTCCAAAAATACAAAAGACATTGCTTGTGTATTTTGTTTATTATTTAGAATATATAAATATTAACGCTTTTAACCGAAACTAAATGATGGGGGTCTTTTTGCCCATTTACACTGCCCATAAAATTTCCACATGATTCTCTGGTCGTTATAAAATATTTCTATATCGCTCTCCAATTAATGTATTGAGCACTTTTTTAACAGTGGCATTTCTATATCGCTCTACAATTGATGTATTGAGTACTATTTTAACAGTGGCATTTCTATATCGCTCTACAATTGATGTATTGAGCACTATTTTAACAGTGGCATTTCTATATCGCTCTACAATTGATGTATTGAGCACTATTTTAACAGTGGCATTTCTATATCGCTTCACAATTAATGTATTGAGTACTATTTTAACAGTGGCATTTCTATATCGCTCTACAATTGATGTATTGAGCACTATTTTAACAGTGGCATTTCTATATCGCTCTACAATTAATGTATTGAGTACTATTTTAACAGTGGCATTTCTATATCGCTCTACAATTGGTGTATTGAGCACTATTTTAACAGTGGCATTTCTATATCGCTCTACAATTGATGTATTGAGCACAGTGGTATTGGTATATCGCTCTACATTGATGTATTGAGCACTATTTTAACAGTGGTATTTCTATATAGCACTACAATTGATGTATTGAGCACATTGGTATTGGTACATCGCTCTACATTGATGTATTGAGCACTATTATACCAGTAGTATTTCTATACCGCTCTACAATTGATGTATTGAGCACTATTATAACAGTGGTATTTCTATACCGCTCTACAATTGATGTATTGAGCACTATTATAACAGTGGTATTTCTATACCGCTCTACAATTGATGTATTGAGCACTATTATAACAGTGGTATTTCTATACCGCTCTACAATTGATGTATTGAGCACTATTATAACAGTGGTATTTCTATATCGCTCTACAATTGATGTATTGAGCACTATCATAACAGTGGTATTTCTATATCACTCTACAATTGGTGTATTGAACACTATTTTAACAGTGGTATTTCTATATAGCTTTACAATTTATGTATAGAGCACTATTATAACAGTGGTATTTCTATATCACTCTACAATTGGTGTATTGAACACTATTTTAACAGTGGTATTTCTATATAGCTTTACAATTTATGTATAGAGCACTATTATAACAGTGAGAATTATTTCTTGTTATTGTTAAAATATTATGTGTATAGAAATTAACATTCTCTCATTGTACAAAGTCTTTATGGTATATAATTTCCACATTTGACAACAGCTTGTAAAATTTACCTAGTGCTTGTCCCCCATTGAGAGTGTTATATTCAATGTGTCAAATGCCTTTCAAACAATATTTAAAATATTTCAACTGAAGTATTTATATAACATACATATTGTGATATTGAAATAATAAAACATTGGTTATATAAACTACGTACAACTTTTATAACCTAATAACCGTTCGTTAATAAACTAGTTTCGACAGTACGGAAATTTTATGTGTATTATTCAATCAAGTACTTATTACAACGAGATATAAATTAGATGCAAATACTACCTAAATAATGGTAAATACACTGCACGAATTTTTTAAAAGATTGTTCGGAGGTTTAACTTTTTATGTTTATAAAAAACATCAGTTTGCACTCATCACAATTTTTATGGCAAAGGCCTTAAATGATGTTTAGCAATAATTACAAGCGTCTGGTTCTTTCACTGAACAATTACCATCACGTTTTATAATAAAATTTATTGAAGGTACTTTTACATTTCAGTAAGATTATAACAAGCTATAAACATGGGATTATAATATATTACTTGTTATTGACATAGGCTACTTTGTTGATAGCCTACAAGGTCATTTATTGATCCAGATCAACAATAAAATAGCCAGACCTGTAACAGTTGCGATACATCAGGTGTAATTAGGTATGGATTGTGTTTACAAGGACGAATACTGTTTACATCAAGGTGATCAAGATTAGCTATAGACTAATGTTATGATAGATCTATAGGCTAAAGACAGTTAAGTGTTGTCGTATCACATACACCTTGCCATTTACTACTATCTAAGGAGAAGAACATTAATCAAGGGAACTGTGGCAAATCATTTCAACGAACACTAATCGAGAGGTGTGACGTATGATGCTGACAAAACGAAGCATATAAAGGTGTTCATATGACGAAAAATAAAATTTAGTAGTGGAAAATTGTTAGTTCAAGGGAAGTAACTGGTACTTATTTTTTTCTACATTCTAAATTCGAAAATAGGTCAGATCAAAAGAATTTTTAAACATAATTCTTAAGGCAATCCCAGATCTCAAATTTTAATCTTGCTTCAAAAATGCATCAAAATTAATTAAATGTCTATAAAGGTATGTTAAGAACAGTTTAATGTACAGTATGTAAAGTGGGTAAAATGCAAACAATGCCAACATGTCTACAGACGGGATCAACAGGGACACACATATCTAGAAATTGTTTGATATAGCTCTGAAATATAATTCAAGAAAATATTTGATAATAGTAAACAATATTAAATTCAGAAGAAATTTCAACCCTTTGGTGAACACATTCGAAAACAATGGATTCGTTACAAATACATTTTGACACATGCATATGATTTTATCACAAGAGTATTAAAATTCACACAATGCATAATGCACGTTCATAGCTATTTTGAAATAAAGAATTTAGTGCATCCAGTTGACAATTTTATGTTTTTTCATAGAACGTGGGTCCGTTTGTATAAAACTTCCTTATGCATATAACTGCATAAATATAGCCGAGTTACTTCAGTTGCTCGTAAACAATGTGAACCTTGTTGTTATCCTTGTAAAATATAGGTATAGCACTACCTTCCTTCATATGCGTATGAAATGCGCAATGGCATTATTCCCTACCGCCTACATATTTGGAGCTCCTATATACGTCAAAGACCATAAATAAGATGCATTACGATTGCGACTGTTGGTAGGTAAATATAAAACAGTTTAATGCAGACAAATATACGTTTATTGGAGATTTATAAAAAAAATAACCTGTTCTTTCCAGGCATTCATCAGTTAGAGTTTTTACTTTTCATGTAGTTTCACATTCTAGATCTAAAATGTCACAAAGTATTATTATTACAATAAGGGAGCGGATAGCAAATCTGTAAAAAAAAAATACAACACTAGAATACCTTATGCCACTTTGCGATTAAGTTTGTTTTAATCCGTTATATAAAACCATTGTTTTGAAATGAAATGAAGTTTTCCACTAACTAACTGCACTGGGCTAACATGGAAGGCAGTGGGGGTACAGAGTGGTGGTGATCAATAAACACCCCAAAAAATGGTCCAAAAACTAATATCACGCTAATTTGTGAAACAAGGGAAATGTCTGAAGTAAACAAACACAATGGTTGTAAAGGTCTTAAAATGTAAGCGTTTTAGCCTCTAAAAGTGGAATTTGAATTAGTGAAATGTAGTGTATTTTTAGCAACTCAGCGATACTAATGTTGCTTATAGGTAACACTATTTTGAATATTTTAATATATCTAGGAAGCATTTGATGCCAAAAACGACCCAAGCCTTTTAATTTCACTCATCGGTATATAGATGATTTCCTCTCCTTAAATAATCCTAAATTAAGTGAATATAGATTTCATATATCCCGATAAGTTAGAAATCAAATCACAACAGATGACGTAATTTACGCATCCTACTTGGATCTGCATCTTAAAGATGAAAGCACACAAAAACAGCGTAGCTGAATGAATTGTCTAATATTAATTTTCGTTTAGGTTATGTGAAAACTATTTCGTTGAACCCATTCTCATATGAATAAATTACTGTTTAAAAATGTCAGTTAAAACATTGTTTAAATGGGCATTAGTCTCACTAGAGGTCGATGAATTTGGTGAAAGACACTATTGTACCCGATGGAACAAGTGAACAAACAAATTTGGCTTATCTTTCACATTTAATAAACCTAGTATACTACTGCTATATTCTCAAAATTGTGGAATGTTTGGTGCCACATAGGCGTTTCAGATTTTGAACGACAAGTACTATATTGACAATTATATTCAACTCAGCGCTTATTGGTTTTACTAACAATCCGAACTGCAAATAATATAATATATTACATTATTTTGTTATATAACTGCAGTGTTATTATATTCACTGTCACTTTCTATATCATTATCATTATTATAACAAAACTTATATTCATTATCAATAATATTACATATTATATCATTATCTTCAGTAATACTTGGTTGTCCACAAACATTGATATCACGCGAGTCAACATCATTAATGCGATGGCCACAACAATCATAGCAATTGTCCTTTCGTTCAATACTTCCACCGTTCGTCTCCGCCCCTTCATCGTCCTGCTTATCCGAGCACCTGCAAACGTCCCCGTGTTTGGTTTGATTAAATCCCATATCGGATGTGCTCTCTCGGCAACGACCAGACGACCGCTCTTGATCATCTATTTCATTATTACCTGCTTTGTGTATTTCAACTTTGAGACATGGGGCACCGCCCTCACCTGATAAGCTTATTTGTTCATAATTGGAATTGACAGAAGAAAAATGGCTTGCTCTGTCCACACGATCGGAGTGACCTGTAGCAATCTTTCGTGATGAACTAGAATTCCTCTTACAGATCTTTAAATTATATCCACAACACTTTAGATGATCGTAATTTGGGTCGAATTCAGTCATTTTATCCTCCGATGTGAATTTCAGTCTATCATAGTTAACTAAAGCAGAAGATGACGTACTGATGACGGAGACTCTTTCACGAAGTTGTTCTTTGTCTTCTACCTCCTCTTCCTCCCCTTCTGATTTATAAATAGTAGCATAATCATGCTCACCTAATATAACATCACTACCATATGGGGTTAAAAGGTCACTTTTCAGATAATAGCAACTTTCCATTGCAGTTTCCACAGAAGACCTTGTCACAGAATTACCTTTGAGAGCTAGGTGCCTCTGCATACCTCGCTTAGTCTTTTTCATAGGTTTAGCATACAGTGAATCTATATAGTTAACATGAGGTGTATTGGAACCAGATGGTCGGTCATAAGGTTGTGAATATAAGGAATTGCTGATGACATCCGGTACAGATTCACTAATGGATTCGCACTCATAATATTCTGGTGTCTCCTCTTCATTATTTTTTCTCTCATTCCGGATTGTTATCTTTTTGCATATCCTACAATGAAATGATGGATAACCCATGAAACGAACTGTAAAGAAGAAACACATTAAAGTGAGTATAGTATATAGCCAACTTTGCTTACATTAATGGAATCGGGGGTCAGTCAAATTCACCACCTTGTAGCAAATTAACCAAACTTTGTTATGCAATGAACAGCAACCTATTAGCGCAATGTATGCGCAACCATGTTAACTCAATCCTGAAGATCAGGAAATACGATTTTTAACCATTACCTGTTACAATATCCTAGTTTGAAGATAACACCACTAATGATCAGTAGAACTACCAATAAAAGAGAGCAGACGATACTAACTACCATTGATCCTACACCAAATTCTGAAATAAAAAACTAAAAGACTGAAACCTCATCTTTGAAGACAAAGGTTAATAGATTTAGCGAAACTGAGGGTTTGAGTCTCCAAAATGTGCATGTCGAGGATGGAACAAAATAAATACTGTGAGAGGTAGTCTTGATTCACCGGGTGTTTTATTTCTGTTAATCTTCATTAAACCTGCACCTTAAATGTATATTTGATGTTGAAATGATTTGTCTGTGTTTGTGTCAAAAAAAGTTAAAATCTGAATCTACCACTATGCCATGTTTGATATTTTCGTAGGTATGGTATGAGTGTATAATATCATGTATATTTAATGAATTACCAGTATCTTCATCAACCTGATCCTCTTTAAAAATTGTATTTGTATCATCTGAAAAACTGTTATCGTCTGGTTCTTTATTGTTAGAATTCCATTCTCCTGAAATGTGTGGCACCTTTAAAATTGGTTTAGATACAATATCACTCATATAAGCCCAATTTTGCACATTGTACTTCACTTTAAGGAGTAATTCTCATTACATTTTTATCTGATTTACATGTACTTTAAACTTTTTAGACAATTTATGGTGGCAGTTTTGACAGCTATTTTGAAAAAAAGAACGACGGGGGAGTTGTGAATTTACCTTTCACTGGAGTTATAGCAGGAATATTCTCGTTGGCATTTCCCATACCAATAACTAAAAAGATAAATAAATATAGTAAGTAACATAACATTGAGTCTTGGTATTAAGTTTAACTTAACTAAATAAAGCTCCGAATCCATTTGAGATGTGTTGTTATCTATTTCACCAACAGGTTCGTCAAATAATATCCCTGGATTTGTGCGATAAATAAAGCAAATTGTAATTGACAAAGCATCTAGTCAGTTTCAGTATTAACTTTCATCAAATAAAAATATGTTACCTTCATTGCATCTGTAAGTGATATAAGAATACACACTAGGTGCTAATATTTGTTTATATCGAGAACATAATGTCGAGGCAACCCATGGTGCACGATATAAACATTCATTCTGTAAGGAACAGCTCTTAAATAGCTTCTGATAATGCTTGGGGTTATATTCTATCAAACAGTCACCATCTGTATACCAACAACATTTAGAACAGGAGATAGCTGTTTCACACTGCTGTTTATAACCGTAATGTGCTGTTATGATAGTGATAACAGAACCTGGAGCACATTGTAAATGATGACTGGTACAAGGTAAATCAACACCATAGCAAGCACTGGATGATAACATTGGATATTCCAATCCTGAAAGAAAGTATCAGGATTTCTTAAAAAATGGAATTATTATTTAAATCGTTTTATTGTACCATAGCATTCGGTATGCAGGTGAAATATTATTGAGTAACGATCTTATCTTTGACATTGTGGGAACTGTTTTCTTTATACATGTATATTTGTTAATGTAAAAACTTAAAAGATGGGTTCCCTTATTTTTATTTATGAAAATGAAAATACTAATAGAAAGTAGATGTGTTCTAATGACGTGGAAAAATAACTGTTTGTCTCATGAATTAATGATTATGCAAGATTAGAAGAGAATTGCTAGCAGAATACCAATGAGTGACCGATCAAGAAAGGTCAAAGTCTTTTTTTTTGTTATCAAGACTGTACATACATGGACATTTATGATTGGTTAAAACTCTTATATATGCAATAAGAACATTATGATATGATAAAGAATACATCAAAAAGTGCCTAATTTGACAATAAGGAAAGTGCCTATTAAGGAAACCCATCTTAAAGGCTTGTTGTGGTGGCATTTTGTTTGAAAAAGGTTCGTCATCATCGATGTCTTTGTATTAATCATTAAATCGTCATAATGTACGAAAACTTTCCAGAAAAGTTCGCTGATGTAACAGATTACATTCGAAATAATTGAATGACATGATTTAGCTCGAATTAATTTCCTTGAATTTGTATCCGAGAACTCGAAAGCAAAGGAGGAAAATCTTTATTTAAGTATGATACATGATAATGTGATTACTGTCATGAGTTTATTACTAATCATTCCGGACATGATATAGCATTAAATATACTAGGATCATGATGGTTGAGAAAACAAAATATTGGCCCCAATAAAATGAAAGATAGACGACCACAGCCATATACGCCCACCACGGCATGCGGTTGGTAAATATTCAAGATTTTGGGGCAAGGGCAATAAGTCTGCTTCTAACGTTCGAAAATATCTCAACTTTGCACTTGATCTTCGTTTTATGAATATGTATACACATACCGAATTTCATTTGATTCCATCAAAAAATCTTGTTTTTAGAGCGTTTACAAGCAAATGTTGACGGACGGACGGACGGACCGAGCGACGGACGGACGGACGGTCCGACGGACCGACGGATCTACAGGGGTGCCGACAATATATAGATATGACTGTTTGATTGATCTCATAGTTGATGTTGAAATTCGTAAAACATCCTTTTTTCAACTAAGGAAATGTTTTTAGAAATAAATTCGTAATATCCTTCATTATTCTTTCTTCCGGAAAAATAGTAAAGAGGCAAGTTTTATTTAAATTTTCATTGTGATTTAACCACATGGCAATGTTCAAAATTGTAGCAATGTCATGGATGAAAAGTAATCAAAAAATAACAAACCTTTTAGAATTTTATATAATCTTACCTGTAATATGAATAAATAAAACAGTAGAATATAGGAGTATTACAAGCCATTTCATCGCCATTGTTCTTCACTAAAATTGCATTGTTTTTAAATCACAGTTAAATTGGATTGTTCACCTTCTCAAGGTGTTATGAATCACGAATGAGTCGGTGAAAATATTTCTACACCAAAAAGATATATTGGTACATGAACAAAGACATCAGCCATTGTCGTTAATTTTTGAAGACACAAATAATTTCTTCGAATACAAAATGCTACAATGGACGTGGTATGCGCTCGTGATATTTTATTTAAGGAGCCCAAAGCCGTGTGATCAGAATGTATTTATCTTACTGACAAAGGATATTTTTTAACTTTTCTCGCCAAATAGATTATGTTGACTTCCTCGGTAAAAAACAAATAATTCCTAATAAATATATTTACATCGTTTCACGTTTTTAACCTTTATATATAGAAAAAGATCATTTCACAAATAGAACACATTTGACAAAACAAAACAGACAAATTTACAGCATCTTGCTCGTATTTGCCCAGTGATTATAAATTGAAGGTGGTAACTTTACCTTGCAATTTACCCTAAATAGTCTGACAACTATGTTAGTGGTGTTCAGGTGTTCTACAATCGCCTCAAATCATGTTTTTTAAGTCAGAAATGTGGAAGAGAAAAGATCTTTCATTCATGGAATGGGCGATTATGGCCATAGGATTTCATGTCTACATTTTTCACCAACTTCAGTCATCTTGATGACTTTAATTTATGGATGTGATTTAGACCCTTGGCTATTGTTTCAATGCTCAGAACCAGCATCTCTGTTATTTGCAAATCAATTAAATTGGTAATTGGAAGTTTAACTTGCCATCCACACATAATAATTGGCAGGTGTTGTAAAAAGACTTAAAAATGGGAAATATTGTCCGTTAAAATACAGAAACTAAAGTTGACCCACAGTTGTAGGTATGAAGTCTTTGCTTTATGCATATAAATATTCTGCATACTGCTCTATTCGTTTCCGTTGGTTACTTCATTCACTCTTAATCTAATGACATCTTTACAAAATGTGTGTTCACCTACTCAACTATGCAATTACTTAAACGTTCTGAAAAAATATTTAAAGTCTGTTCATTTGTCAAAGTAAAAGAAATGTATTTTTAAAGATATCTTTAATAAAGTATGATGATTTTACACAATGTATATGAATAGTGAACACATTATAATATTGCAGTAATAAACAGTAGTAATATCAAACATAATACAGCACATAAACATAGAGATATTTCTTAATTAATAATAGTCTTGATTTAACTTAAGTACTTAATAAAACCAAATATAACATAGATTGGCTTTTTTTAATGCTTAAAATTTAAAACATGTTTTTCAGAATGATCAAAAGCATTGGAACCAAAATTATAACTTGGACTATTTTCATCATCTTGCTAATGGCTTTGTTTACTGTATTTCCCTAAAAATACTATTAAATACAAATAAAACTGTATAATGTTATTTAATATTTCAGATTTGATTAAATTCTCTTTAACTGAACTTTTTACAGACTTAAAGTCAAAACCAATGTTTTCTTGACAAGAAACTGAAGTAAATGCATCTATATTTCTTTAACGCACTTTCAAACACTCTTTACTATTAAAACACAAGCATATATCAAGGAAATTAACACAGCAGTTAATAATGTGGCGCCATAGTTATATCTGAATCTATCTACCACATCCACCACATACACTTACAAAAAATATCATCTACATTCTACAATTCTCAACCCTCTGTATATTATATCAGCTCCATCATTGAACATCTGTGAAATATTTCATAGAAAAATGAATAGTAAAGAGTTTTTCTTTATGAGGAGAGTTAGCATTTATCACTTCATTTATTTTCTGTACAATAAACCTTAAAAAATCTATCATATCAATTCATTAACATAAACTGTGGTAGCAATCTGTGTCCTTAAAAATTACTAACAAAGTAGTACATAACTTATAAATATTATAGACTCTGAGATCTACTCTTATCTATATTTATTATAATTTAATAATTTTACAGAAATTGGTCAAAATTTTCTATTTGGGAACAAAGTAACACAAAACACACCTTATATACCAGACTAAACTAAATATTACTGGGACATCCTGGAATATTCCCTGGGCCAATTCTATTATGATTGATACAATTTGAATTCATTATCTATGTTGATTTGTCGCTTTTTGATTCTTCAAAGTAAAATTGACCAAAAAGGTCACATGGTGAAGACCTGTCCAAATTCACAAATCGATGTTTGCTTGCAGACAAAACCAATGACATAAACAAGAAGTATCTAAACAAATGATGATATCCAAGGATGTCCACAACACTACAATAGTACCAACATAGAATAAACATGGTTTCAATTGGAACAATACATCTATAGTAAATCTATATTATATACTATATCTTATAAGCCCAGCTTTTTGGTTTCGTTGTATTTATAGATTTCAAAATAGTATTACATAAAAAGCAGATTTTCAAAAACTACTATTTAAAGATTAAGACATGTACTGAATATACCAATCACTACAAATACAATAAAAGACTAGCAGTTCAAATCAGTTAACAATATCAAAACATATTATCAGAACAGAATAAATGGCAATGGACACTATTCATGCATGGCCTGCATTGTCCTAACTGCTACTGAATTAGTCTGTTTTTTTTGGTTATTTTTTTAGTTATCCATAAATCCTCTACTGATTAAACAGGTGAAAATCTTGGTAAAAGCATGACTGAAACCACAAATATCAGAATTGTAATAATGTGATGGTCAAAAGGTCTAAATGAAGTTTCTCTAAAAGAATATAGTTGTCTTAATATTCATTTCATATTGAGCTCTATCAGTCATCCTTATCTATTGAAAATACTTCAAAATAATCTAAAATATGTATTATGGCTTTAAACAAATATCCCACACCAATGACAAACAAACAACAAAACATTGAAATTAAATAATATACTTATCATAGAAAGCATTTAGCAAACTTGGAATATACACATTGAACTATAAAATAGCATTTAAATACATTCAGCAATTCAAAATACAAATCAACCATTTTGTAATCATATATACCCACAAAACTTGGTTAAATACCGACAATTATATATAGGTGTATGTGATAGTACTATATAAGTCAAACAAGTGTTCCTGAGAGAAAAAATTATGGAGGGGGGGGGGGTGGTAAGAAAAGTTATTTAGTAATAACATTTCTTTGGTGTTTACATTTAAGGGATTGTGAAGAGTTTTCTACCACATCAAATTTGAACAGAAAACTGTCATATGATTTCCAAACAACATCTCTCTCTTCTTAGCTGCCTATTTACAGATACCATTTCTGATTCTGTTTTTTCCTAAGCACAGACCTCAAATATGTTATGTCAGAATTTCAATAACTGGTGCAAAATATTGCTGAAAAAGCCTTCAATCCACATGAAATGCTAGAAAACCTCCTTTCAATCCCTTGAACATTATATGTTCATTACCTCTAAATACAGTGACTATAGACAATAGGATTTTTATAGATCTTCTAGTGTTTCTTGTTCTACCTTTACCTATGTTAAACTTTATATGATACTGTTACATTAAGCCAATTTGAATACTTATCTTTAGCAGAGAATATGAGCAAATTCAATTTGAGAAGGTCCAACTATGTCTATCATATCATAGATTAAAAGTTGAAGTTTAACATGTGGGAATTTCTTCCCAAAACTAAAGTCTTTGCCAATGAAACTATATGATCTAGGGTCTGTTTGATTTAATTGTCAAATCAGGCAACCTAAACTCAAGATTTCACCAAATCAATGCTGATGATGGAGTTCATGTTCAAAACATGTATTGACAGAATGTGCATATGATCAGTTTTTGTTGTTAAGTATTGTATTATTATCTAAGGAGATCTAAGTGCTGATATTGAGAAAAGTAAGAATAAGAGGTGTAAAGCAATCAACAGGCAATATAAAATAAGGCAGGTCATCACACCATTAATAATATATAATCACATACAATCAATCTCATCAAAATATACATTTACATATTTGGCTTCAATTGTTGCAATGGATTGATCCACTCATCCTATGATCTTAAGAATTTCGACATGTCCAGTCAACTATCTGTTAAGAGCACTGTTAAAAGTGCCTTTAAAATACAAATGAATAGTCAATATAATAAATATCTCCAAACCTCTCACAAATTGTCAAATAGAGCCTTTAAAAACTTTCAATTGAATATTTGAAGATTGTCTTCAGGTCACTAAAGACGTAAAGCACTGAAAAAGCCAAATAGCTAGATCTGTATTTTAATGACACTGACATACAACAAGACTGGAAGATAATTTATTCAGCATCACCTTCAGGTGGTATTTGTACATCAGGATAAGGTTCTGAAGGGGAAGGTTGAGGTGGAATTACGTTGATGGTTCCATCTTGTTCTTGTTGAAATATACTCTGTTCTGTTGAAGGTGTATCAGCAGCTGCAGCTAGGTTAGTGAATGATTTACTCTTTACACATTGAAAATCAACATGTCTACTTCGAGCTTCTTCTTTCTCCCATGACATCTTGAAAAATGGTCTTTGGACATAATTATAAATAACTGAAATATAGATGACAGATTTGCCAAAATATAGATCAGATTTGCCAAAATATAGATTAGATTAGCCAATTTATATATATTAGAAGTGTGAATCTACGATGTCTCTCATTTCAAACATGAGGACCAAAAGAACCTCAGAAACAGTTTTCAGTATTGTGCAAAACCAAATTGAGAGAACAAAGGTGCTATATTAACTGATGACACTGAAAGTTTACCAGCCATTTGAACTGACAGAAAATATTCTATATCCTTCGATATCATAATGTGTCATTTCAGTCAGAATTATTCCAGAAAACAGCTTTTTCAGAATTAAAAAGGTTTACCTTCTGGTCTACCACCGGGTCTTCTTTTGATCTTCTCTTTGTACGTTGGATATCCTATAAAAACAAACAAGATATTTCTTTATTCTTTATTTGTAAGATTCTATAACACAGTTGTTAGAGGTTCATTCTTTACATGACATTATTTGCTTGGTTACGTCGAGAAAATGGCAGTTGTGGGTTCCAATCTTCGATTTGGGGTGTGTAAGTCTGATGACCTTAATTAGTCATCTTCACTCATAATTCCAGTCCACCCAGCTGTAAATGAGTACAGATATTCCGGGAAAGATCAATGCCAAGAGGTTTCACTAAGGACCACCTGTAGAAAGGATCCTTAACAGTGAACCTAAGTCGTTACTCACTATCCTTGTAAAATATAGTTGTTTGTTTCTTTTTTTATTCTGATTTCAGAGCTAATCTATATGTGTTATAATCATATTAGTTTAGCCATCATGGTTCTGTTGGGTTAAGATGTAGGACAATCATATATCCACTTACAACCAAGACTGAACCAGAATCTTTCGAAGATTCTAAAACCGAAAGAAATATTAAAATACAATAAAAAGAAAACAGAAAAGAAAAATTCATACAGAACTTACCTTCTATTCCAAGTCTAATTTTCTTTAATCCTCTTTCTTTTAAAACTTGTTTAGCTACGTCTCTATTTTCTACATATTTAAAAAATCTACACATATGGTTATTGGTTATTACTGAAATAATATAAATCTAAGTTAAGTAAAGTATAATGAGAGCACCAAAAACGTGATCAACTTACATTAGTTTCAATATTAATTTGTTGATGCATATTTTGGGCTTTTTAATTTAAAGGGCCATGTCTTCCACTGTGAATAACCAAAAGGATTTTCCAGAAGTTACAGGTACAAATCACTCAAAGTGCACAAGATATCATGGCCACTAACTTACTTTGAGATTGGTCTTCTCCCATTTGAGGAGGGAAATCTTCATCCCATTCTACCAAATCATCTTCTGCTAACACTACTATATGACATTCTCTTTCACCATGCTAAAATAAGAATGTATATACTGATATATATCATCTCTCCATTATTCAACTATTGGTTTGTAAAAATCGGCATGGAACGCTTCTAAATAACCATTTATACACATCTCAAATACTAAATTCCTAAAAGATTTTGTCAACGTCTATAGTGTGCATCCAATAAATAGGGCTCTTTTTAGGGTAAAATAACAAATGCGCACTATACACACACATATACAGAATGTGACTCAAATATTCAACTTACTTGAGCACATTGTACCATTACAGGTAAAATCAAATCTTCTACAAAATGTTCGAATTGTTGTCTGGCTCCTTCATTCGATAGTTCATGAAGAAATCCACCTGTGAAAAACAAAAAAGACATCTTGTCATCAACGAATAATTTCACTTAAAGTCAAAACCCTAATCTTACTTGGTTATATACTATCACAATCATTATTACTAGTGTCATGTCACTAGCAGCACATTCCTTCCCGAACAACTAATACTGCTACTATACTTGATGTCTCTCCATCCTTTTTTGAAAAGTCAACTAACTATTTTTGGTATATTGCAATCCCCATATTACTTTACACTTCTTTTATTTAAGCAACCAATATTTACAATAAAGTACTTACGAAGATTCTGGCATTTGACAGTATCAGCATCAAATGGAATGAGAAGATAATCACAGGCTTCACGTAGTTCGTTAACTGGGGTACTTGGTGGACAACGTACTATACCAGTACGATAGTACTCCTATAAATACAAATCATTTGACCATAAACTGGAATTATCATATACAATTCTGTATAATTCTGAGGGGGAATTTTTTGCATACTTTATATGGTCAGAAGTACAATTTGTTAGAATACAATATAAAAATATAAAACTAGAAGTAGAATTACCTACCAAAATGGAACGGAAAACTGGTGCTGCAATACCATCTGCTACTTCAAATTCACCTCTTTCATTTGGACGAGTAAAATTGTTCTCAAGTGACGTAGTAAACATTCTGAAAATTTACACAGATTTCATATTCAAATCAATCATATCAACAATAAAAACAAAATTACTCAATATGTTACACAATAATATCCATCAAATTCACATTTTAATGGGATTGACTAGGCAAAAAACCTCATTAGAATCAGTCAAGCTCCTTTGAGATCCATATAATAAAGGAATCATGAGAACACGTTTTACTTTCCAAACTTCATTAGGAACACAGGTTGAAATGGACCAGTTGTCTGAAGTTCGTACAGCTTAAAACTCTAAGTAAAGACGTTTCATGTTCTGTTTTAATAATTCAAAAAGGAATCATAAAGGCAAAATAAGCAATGATGAAACTTTCTTTAGTCTATAAACATACATACCTTCCTAACATTGTTTCTGGATGAGCACGAAATAATTCTGGATCTACGACAAATCTAGTATCATCTACAACTAATGTTAACCTATCTCCACTTGGACGCGGACTACAACATTTTGGAGCAGAATTAACAGATAAGGTTGATGGATTTCCTGAATTAAATGTATGAGCCATTTTTCTGTCACATACATCAATAAATAAAAAACATTTTTGATCTTTCACCGGATATCTGGGGGAAGAAGGAGCAGCAGCTTGGTAGGTATTTCTAGGTACGGAATAGTTGACAGACTCTCTAAAATGGTTTAAATCTACTAATGGTCCTTCTTCGTTACTACTGGTATTCTCTAAACTTAATGATCTCACTCTATTTACTAAACACGGTTTTGATCTGGTTGGTCCAATTGAACTGCAATAATAAAATACTCAGTGTTCAATGTGCATGTCATCATACTATTTTTAAAGTTACATTATAATAGAAGAAGTTAAGAAAAAAATCTGAGATTCATAAATTAACTACCGTATGACATTATATAAATATATTTCTTAATTTCAGTATTATTGTTGTATAGGTACTAGGTACAATTCACCAGAAAAAGTTTTTCAAGTTAAAAAGCCAAGATATACCTATAAAAAATACCCAAAACAAATATATATCTAATTTATCACACCTTTTATGTTTAATACAGGTTTTTTTTCTTTCTTCTGCCTCAGAGTAATCACTATCGCTACTGTTTGTGTCGTATTGACGTCGTTCCCTATATGAATGGTGTCTTCTGTAGGCCATTCCACTACAAGAGAAGCGCCTAATACACACTATCAAGTCTTCAAACCAACTTCTGTATCTAATTTTTGCTGGAGTTCATTCACAGTTCAATGCTTCAAATAAAAAATGAAATATTAATCAAGAATGCTAATCACTTATTCAGCTGAAAGATTTCAGCCAGTGGAATAACCAATGTAATGTAGGCCTTATCAGTAGGCTGTTACTCTGATATTTATGCCTATGCTATACCTATTATATGCCCATGCCATGGCCTAGCCTAGACTGATCTTAGTGCAGGTCAAAATATAGCTTTTATCAATGAATAGATACACTTCAGTGGAATATACTATAATGACATTGAAGTTGTGCTGTAGTTTGTATTGAACCTTGATCAAAAGTTTTACCATTTGTAGAGAACAATCAAGATAAATCACTGATGGATGACCACCAAAATAAATGACACAAATACAAAATGTAAAAACATGAAAAAGATGAAGTAAGCTTCTTATGATACTGTTAAAAACCAAGTTGAGGTGGACATCTTAAAAAACATTTACTCTCTCTCTATCTTTAACAGAAATACCTACCTTTGAAATGATTCATACCCAAGAAAAATCCTTCTCGGAATGTATAATATTGAGTTAATAAATAAGAAGTCTAATTTAAGGCATTAGGTCATACGCCATTTTGATCATTGCCTACTGGGTAATGCGACCTTCACCTTCAACAATATTAGATTATGGGTGACTAATTACGGCAAAATGTTTGCAATATTATGTAGCATTGACAGCAATTTTCGGATAATTTCCCCTTAAGAGCAATCCATATAAGGAATATCACTCTATCATCAAAACAAACTGAAAGTAGGTTCCAGTCGGTCGATGGAAAAAAACATTACAAACTTGTGAAGATATACTTTTTTCTCAAAATAAAGAGTCTAATAAGCATTGAAACTGTCAATGAATTTGAACATTTTGGACCTATGTTATTTGACAGACATGTGATAATGTGGTAGGATTAATTGACTCATTTCTCTTCAGCCTTAGGATGAGGTAGGCCACTAGTACGGCACTAGGCATATTATAATGCTTATTGTTCTCACTATTTATACTTACTTTCAGGTCTCAGTATATAAAATACTATTATGGCAAAACCACCTCCAGATCCAATATTTATATTGAGAGGATCCATCAGCCCTGTATCTTGTCTCCATGCCCCAGCTCACAGTCTTGATATCCTATACTGTGGTAATCAAAGTGGACAGATTACAGTGTGGAATTTAAAGTCCAGGAGAGTTACTTGTACCATTGAAGCACATGTCAAGTCCACGGTGCTATGGTTACAGTCATTGAATGAGAAAGAATTGTTGTCTCAAGGAAGAGATGGTTTGATAAAGCTATGGACTTATGAAAATGAACGGTTCTCTGTTAAAAGTAAGTTTCTACAATACAATTTCTAAAAGGGTTTCTGTATTTGTCAGTCACAACAGAGATGGGCTCTAATCTATCTGATCTTAGTATATCTTTGTAAATTTCTTTATTTGTCACAATACATGAGCTCATGACTTTATTATTTTTGTGTATTTTGTTTGAAAATCACTTGCTTATAAACAATTTCAGGCCAGATCTCTGTAACAGTGCTTCCATATTCCTGGTGCACCCCAGAGGTGTATTTGAAATGCTCTGGGCTGAAATTTGGATAGCAGGGAAATTGGGGGATTTTGATACACAAAGTAGCTTGTTTCAGTTTTTATTTTTATGGTAATTTGATATTTTATGGTAGTTTAATAGTACTGGGGGTGAATGTCTGAGAATTTTTTCTCAAGTGGCAGAGTTGTTGAAGTGGAGAAGCACTGTTCTATAATGATGTTATATTTCTCTTTTCTAGCTTCTTTCAAATGTTCCAGTCAAACTTTCTGCTGTTCAGCGTTATTTGAGTTTAATAAGATAAGATATTTAGTTTTACCCAATGAGCAACAGTCTGTCATAGATATAGTAAATATCAAAAACTCTCAACTTATGGCAACATTGAAACCAACAGATCAGAAGTATGGTATGTGTATGTGTGTGAAGTACATTTCATGGAAAAACAAAGGTGACAACAGTGAATCTGAGATCCATAAGGCTTCATCAAATGAGGATAATTGTTCTGATATTGAAAGTAACTCTTATTCAAGTGTTGAGGCTAAACCATTGTTATTAATTGGGTATGAAAATGGTAGTATTATACTTTGGGATATTTTAGCAGAAAAGGTTCTAGATAGATTAGATATGTTCCTGGACTCTATTATGTGTTTAGATTTCTCTAGCCAATTACTAAAGGGGCTTTGTGGCTCTGTAAACAATACATTAAAAACATTTAGAATCACTAAGGAGATGAAATTAATCCAAGATAAAGAGTTAGAGGTGACTAATGATGGATTTAGTAATATTATTATAAGAAATGATAATAAGTTGGTAGTTACTACAGGATGGGATAGTACTATACGCCTATTTAGTATGAAGTCATGGAAACCTCTAGCAGTACTGAAATATCACAAAGAAAGTGTACAATGTGCAACATTTATATCTAATAATATATTAATCTGTGGATCTAAAGATAAACTAATATCTTTGTGGAATATATATACATGAGAGCTAATGGATGCATTCTAAAAACTCTGGTATCATCGTGTTTTGGGTCTGGATTAAACCAGAATATGTTAAAGGAAAACTACCTCTTATGATGACCAACAAATTGAAATTTTTAAACTTTGTTCTTTGTTCATCAGTGCACTTACCTGATGTCATAACTATGTATAATCCAATAAATCTATAAAAACTATTAAATTCTTTAGGCTGAGTAATTTCGAAACATGCTAAGAAGCAGTTTTCAATAATTTCTTAGTTTAATGGATGTATCGTCTTATATAAAGATTCTCTTCATTAGTCATGACACCTGGTAAATCCAATGCATGTAGTTGCAGCTTTAAAAGACAAATTGTAGAGAAATATGTTTCAAAAATATCGAGCCGTTATATTATGAAACACAACACCAAAACAAGTTTATACTGATCAATTAACAATTAGTATACTCCGTTTTTAATTATGCATTTTAAACTAAATTCTGAGTGATCTGATACATAGAAGTAAATAGCATAATTTAAGAATCTTTAAAATTATAATTTAAATAAATACAAGTTCTGCCTATAACAGTTTAAACATCATCAAGTTTATGCTGAGAATATTTATCTATAATATCTTTAATCCAACTGATCCGGCTGTCTGTCTCTGTACAATATTGAACAGCAGACTGTAAACACTGTTTATTATACTGGATAATCAGAACCTCACCATGGTCTGGATTCTTCATATTTTTTATATCTTTACACCCTGAAATATATCAATGTATCCATCAAAATATCATTTTAAAAACAAAAAACTGCCATAACATGCTTGGCTGTTAGACCAGTTGTGTTTCTTCGGAGGGATCAGAGATAGTCTCTTGTTGCGTTTCTGGGTAGCTAGGTCGCCCCATCCCCAAACAACTGTCACAGATATATTAAAATATAAAGAATAGACTTACACACTAGTTCCCCTTCCTTTAGAATCAATTTTCGCCCCCCTCTCTTATCATATATCATTACCATTTCACCATGTATAACTTGAATTAGACCAAACTCTGAAATGATAAAAAAAAGAACATTTTAAAGGGACATCCGGCAATCCTCGACAGTTTCAGTAATAATGTTTGAGCGTAAGGAAATCAATTAAATTTACTGTGGTATTAATTGTCTACAGAAAAATCCCCCCAATATAATCATATAATCATCCATAACGAATATACAGAATACTGACCTGAACTAATTTCAACTTGCTGTCTGGCTGATAAAACAATAAACTGAGATTTCAAGGTGATTCTATAGGTAAATATTGGACTGACAGATTTAAACGCTGTTGAGTTCGAAACCTTTGAATGAAGGACCTACAGAGGATAATACATTAAACATCATTCATTATCGAATTCTTTCTTTCTTCCTATTCCTGTTCTTTATAACATTTTAATAACACTATGCATTTATTATGGTTACAATTTCCATTTATCTTCAAAAAATCATCGGTCGAAACTTACCTCAAAATGTTTGTAACAGGATAATGAACGAAGAAGAAACTTCGTTCTCCTATCTTGGCCAAACTTTTGGAAGCTCTGCTCATGATTGTTCCACTCTAAATGTATATTATGATTTCCTATCTGAAAGAACACTTTGTTTCAATTAGTCCGAAACATCTGCCTCTATTCCTGCCTCTGATAGATGTTATCACAGTTATCAACTGAAGTAGCCGACAACTTTCAAAATTTGAAAATTCCACGTTGGTGCAGAGAAAAGAAAGGAACGAAACATTGTAAGCAAATGCATTACACGTGAGCCGTGTAGTTATTGTTTTCAAAAGAGCGTCTGTAGAAGACTCCTTTTCGACAAACTATTACTCAATGGCTTCTAGTATCAAAAATTCCATTTCTATTATAGAAATTATCATTTTATCAGGGTTTTGGCACTATAAATTAAAATAATTACGAAGCAACGACATGATTGGTTTTAAATTTTAGTGAAAGTGCTTACCCAATATAAGGAATCTTCGAGTGTCGTCCGGTTTATCACCAATATCTGACAATAGGTTTTAGCATGGACTGATATACTACTGTTAGTTCTTCTAAAATAATCTTTAATATTTAAAAAAATAAACTAAAAATAATCAGTACGTAACTTCAGAAGTCATGACTGTTGACTTCCAAACTTTTTTACCAACTGCCAAAGCTCAATTTCAGCAATATTTTTTTTTAAATAAAATTTTAACGTTTAGTTTGTGTACAATGTAACACAAACGCAAAAATATTGTCAATCGACGAATTTGATCCTTTACTTGCACCGATATCATTATTATTCGATGTATTCATAGCTTTACTGGAATAAAACAACAAATTCTAAAATTTTAAGTTCATTGTCATACCTGTTTCACCTACAACAAAAGGGGTTGATTGTATACAAAAACTTTGACCTGTATCTTTAGGTTTCAATATTACACTGAAAAAATTGAAAAATTGAAAAATACGATGTCAATGTTGTTTTATTTGTTTGGAAAACAGCGATAGTTAATACAATACAGCAACGCGGTATACATATACCATTGCACCAACTTTATTCTGCGTCACAAGTCATAGTTGTTCAAAACATGATATATAATCTAGATTGACCTGACAAACAAGACAGGTAAATTAGAAAAAAATTGGCAAGCCCAGTACAGCCGAAACGCCCTTCTATTTTTTGATTCCTCACTGTCGATGACGAACATTGTCTGTTTAGCAATAAAGCTAACCACAACCATAAAGAACCCCGAGCTTCATCCCGACGACTACCCACAATTTTCATGTCAGCTTTTCCGAATATGGGTTTTGACATTGTCACGCTCCGTATGTATGAGGGTGCTCGTTCGACTCGGTATACCTGGAGAGAAATACAACTTCTCGACAAATATTTTCCGGTGTCTCCGAGTTGACATGTCACCGTAATGAATGATACTCTGAATGAGTATGACGAATGGAGGGTTGTGATTTGGACACGATGACCAGTACCTTCCAGTTAATACTACCAGTAAATGATTAACAGGATCACCATGTAATATAATGATAGATGAAGGTGGATATACTGTAATGAGATCAGATTTCTTTGATAATATAATCTTTTTAACCGATTCTTCATCCCAAAACCACAGCAAAGGCAACTGAAATAATAAGATATATAATCTGAAATTTTCAATTTTCCCGTTAAAATTGTTTAATCAATGATTCGTTACAAATCCAAATATGATTTCGGACACATTAAATATCCATGTCTATCATTGGGTACGGTGTCCGGTGCGTTATTATTGAAAGGGTAGGAATAAAACAAGCGAATACGTCAAGGTGTTCTCAGACCTATGCCAGTGCTTTCATTGAGACTCGTCTCAATACACCCTAACACCAGATACGATGTAGTTACGATTTGCTTCTACTATTTTCTACTGCATCGGTAATCTCACACTTTACGCACAACGGACACCCAGCATCGTCTATAATTAGCACCTTTATAGCTTAGTGGTCTCGCTGAGAGGAGTACCGAGTTAACAACATCATTAGGTGTACTGTAAGGGTGAGAATAATGTGCTTAAATATACATCAGAGTAATAAACGAAACCACTAGGCTATAATATTTATGTTTTTATGTGTAAGGTTATTATGTTTTGTTAATAAACACGTTTTTACCTTTGATAAAACTTGAAAGACATGTCTCCGTATGACTCGGCCATCTTCCAGTCCAGGTATTCTAGTAGGTAGATATCTTTTCTGTACAAACCAGTCAACCAACGTCTTGGCAGTTTTTTGAAATAGTTGTCCACATACATTTTTACTTAGAAATATTAACTTACATCTGTAATAAAAAAAATTACCAAATCAACCATAACACAAGGTAAGAAATATAATACTGTTTTAGATTTTATAGCATTAGGTGTCCATAGTGTTATTGTTACAAATGTTAAGATTTTACCTTCTCATTAATGATAATAATATAGTTTCTAAAATAAATACATAGAGGGGAAAAATGTTCCTTTTACTGAATTTACTGTTAACGAAACTTTCCAGTGCACTAATTGTAGAATATTTTCACTAATCTGGAACATAAAGTAAGACATCACTATTACTACTTTCACCTTGTATTTTGAATCCATTGAAAACCCTTTGTGACAACCAATTTCATAAAGAAAATTCTATTAGAAACTGTTTGTGAACCAATGAAATCCTTCTCTTTGTTTGAGTTTGAGAAGTTTCTGATTGTAGAAAACAGACCTACCGAGAAGCGGATCTAACCGAAGCTGTAATTATAATGTCAAAAAGAGTGCTGACTTCACCAAAATAATCACCTTGACATTTCTCATTGATTATTATTAATTCATCATCAACTTTATCTAGGATTTCTACTTGACCATGTAATATTATAAAGATACCTTTTCCACTTTCGCCTGAAATGTAATTCTATCTCAGATAGGGTATTCCTACTTAGGTTGGATAAACCTCGAAGCCCCGGGCAAAAATCTCATAACTAGGTTAGAAATTCGGGCAACCTCAGGTATTTCGCCCTCCCCTCGGACGTAAACTTTGCTTCGATCGCCACTGCTTCCTACTTCAAGTCAAAACCTGTAATTCTATATAAGCCTTCTAAAATGTAAGATGTAAGATCGGAAACATATTCCCCTTTCTAGATGATCGCCGGTTTTATAATGACAAACACTTGATCGTAAGAATGTTCACTATCACTAGACTGCACCTACCAAAGTTTAAAATCATGTCTCCAGCAGAAACATCAATAGTTTCTACACAGTTGTAAAGTTTCTTTAGTTGTTGCTGGTTGAAATTCTCTTCACCAAAGACTTCCAACAAACACTTCTGTAAAAAACAATTATCAGTAAAACTCATGTGAATAGGGCATTGACTTGAATTTCAAGGTCATGGGCATGTAATATTTAAAGGAAACACAGAGTCCAAAACTTGTAAAACCATTAAACCAACCCAACGCTCACATTGCTTTGTCGTAGATGATTGAACCATACATATTATCATTATGTTCTATGATTGCACATAGGAACAACGGGGACGTTTAAGATTCAATTTTTAGTGTGCTCTTCCATGATACCAAGATACCGTTGCGCAGGTGCTCATCACATCTAATAAGAGCAACTCAATGATTATAGGCTTACACTTATTATCGTGTCATTTGCGTTTACTTCAGGTCCAAATGTTGGTAAATAAGCTGTTGTCTCGCCTAAAGTATTTGGAATATCTTTCTTCTTTTTCTTCCAAAATGGCATCGCTCAATCTCCTCGTATAGAGCTAGGCTTATTCTATGAAAAGCATTACGGGACTTCTTTGAGCATTGTAGACAGAATTGTCCAGACATGTATACAAAAAATGATCTAGGATATCATCAGGTCTACGCTTGACTAGAGTTTGTCACATAGAGATACGTTTTTATTCATTTGTACCTTTATTGGCTGTAGAAATTCCCGTAATATTCTAATGTTTTTATCTTTATCGTAGATTTGACGATTTACTCAAATATCCAATCGGCAGTGCTCGACATTGTTCGGCAGTATAAAGTCAATTTATTTCATCCCGTTTGACTGTCTGGATATTCAAGACATTGACTCTAAAATTAGCCTTTCCATGTTAGGAATGTCACTTTCGGTTGTGGGTTGAACAAGGTATTTAACTAATTTCCTTTTCTTATTGGCATTAAAAGGTTTTCTTGGCTAGGTGAATTAGTTTGTAGACTCTATAAGGATCTTTTCAAGGTAAATTTGAATGTATTTTATACCAGGAAACCTATTTATAGCTCAGTATAGTGTTACGGTGTAGAACTGTGTGCTACTTTGTTGTATACTACAAGACTTATCTTGTGGTACTGTTTATAGGTATGTAGGTAGTTAAGAATTGGACTTAAATTGTCACTGTTACACTTATTAATGATCAGAATAACTCATTGGGAATTGATTTATTTCATTACATTATCAAATACATCAAAGAGAATGTAACAAGAAACATTGAGTTTAATATAACATACAAAACTTTAACATGCCAAATAATGAGTACAAAATTACAATGGGATAGGCTACATTCGTACATCATGAAAAAAGATATAGGTATGAGTAGGATAGGTATGAATAATAGGAAGGAAAGTCATATTAAAGTGCAACCTCAATAATGCTGAGATTTATCCCACTCTCACACTGGGTGTACATTACATTATAGGTAGAAAAATATATATTTCTTACCAATATCAGATTAATACATACCGGTAGTTATGACTGACTTCTTGATATATATTTTTTTTTAAAATTTGTATCATTTTGGATAGAAAAACATGGTTCCAATATATATTCTATGTGGAAGCTTTTAGAGTAGTAAAGTGAGTAGCAGTATTGATATAAAATGAACCAGGAGTTGTGCATATTCAATCTAAAAAACTTTGTTTTATAACCAAGTAGAAATTCCAAACAATTTTCTCGTGTCTTCTTGCAGGATATTGTCAAAATGATGATGAAGATTATTTTTGCTGTGACCTTATGGAATATTCTGTCTGTGTTTGGCCAATTAGATCCAGACCAGATGCCATCAGAATGGACCCCTGAACAATTTCCCAACCCACAGAGAAATTCTCAAGCTTGTGGATTAAGGAATGAACGAGGCTATGTTTGTGATCCAAATCGAATTCTATCTGAAGAAGAGAGTAAGTCACAATTTTTGATGGATAATCAAAAATTATCCCTAAACAGTATTTCTTATTTTGAAAAAAAACATATAGTTTTAAGTAATTTCATACAGCTATAGTACCTCTGAAGACTATTTATTTCTGTTGTAATATCTATTATATTCATATTATTTAACTTATATTAAAGAAAGAGCACCAGTAACACTAACAGATATATTAATATCATGATGGAGAAATATCTGTTTTTCAAAGCATCACCAATGAACTTAAATTTAGGTGTTTGTTGACTGAGCAAATGGGAGCCATGGTTTTTTTTACCCCTTAATGAAAGACATTATTTTCAACACTATGAAAATTCAGTGATTTTTAGAGTCAATTCTCTACCCCTCTATCATTTGATATTTTACAGTTGATGCATTAAATTGGTTATTATTGGGATTAGTTCAAAATGATACTCATTGTCCCTGTAGTGTGTGGGCATGTGAACAGAAGAAACAAGGCTATTCTGTTGGTATTGCCATAGTAAAGAAGTTGAAACTTCCTACCAGGTTAGTTTAGGTTTACTATGTATCATCCACTATACCTCCAATCAGCTGGAACTGGGGGTATACTGACCTAATAAGGGGACAACTGTGGGGGTTGAGACTCCAAAATGGAAGCAGTTAGGTAGAGCCATAGCAAAAGCCTAGGGATCTGAAGGGTTCTAATAAGTAGACAGATTAAAATGGATTTGTTTCATTCTTATACATATAGATATCATATTTTGAAATTTCTTAAAAATGAAGTAAAGAGAGCACATCCCTACTCTGTACACCATTATCTGAATAACAAGCTGAATATCAGAAATGATAGTTTCACTATTTAATTTTTTAATGACTGATCAGAAAATAGTCAAAAATGCACTCTGATATCATATATATACACCTCTTGCTTTTCACTATACTGTTCAGTGTGTGAATTTTTAATATTTTAATAGTGTTTCCTTTTTCATTCAATATATTAACAATACCTTTATTGTCCTTACAGAACAATGCGACCTTTAGATCAAGCTCGAGCCTTTGCACATTATTTAGAAACATCTCAGTGGCATTTTGGAAGATGTGAAGAAGGAATTGTAGTGTTGTACTCTCAACAAGATGGAGCTGTAAGTTAACTTGAAACTGAATAATAAGTTACTACTAGCTGTGGGGATTTTTCAAATAATATCAGAGTTCCAGTTGATGGTCCTTCCTTCTGTGCCAGGAATTTATGCCATAGTGGCACTCAAATTTATTATATTCCATTATTAGTTTGAAGTCAGTAGTAACCAAATGAAACAAGTCCTTTTATGGATAATACATTATTTTTGTAGTTCAGGTTTGCAACATTTTAAGCTCACTTCTTATGAAAAAATGCATCTAAGTAGGTCTTTTATAGCTACCATTGCTTTGTTAGCATGACTTAAAACACAATAAATTTTAATCTATTTTAATTTCAGCTTCAATTTATGGCTGGTCAGACAGCTAGTCAGATAGTAACCAATGATGTAGCTAGAGCTATTGGTGATCAGGTAGCTTATAACTTCCGTAATGGTGAACCACATCATGGTTTATATGAACTGGTTCTTTTACTCAGGTGAGTTTATACTTATAAATTATCGGATAAAGTTTATCTACAATGACAAGAACCTCAGATAGAAGTTATAAGAGTCACTAATACAGAAAGGAATGCAAGAAAACCTCTTTTGAATTTTTTATTTTATATATTGGTTTTGTTACCCATGATAAAGTTACACAACAAGTTTTTTGCAAATCTTGTATGACAATAATTCATAAAGGGTGATCTGTCCACTCAAATAATTTGTAAAATTTTACTTACAGGTCTGTATTGAATGGAAATAAAATGTATGCATTAGCCCCCAGTGCTGAGGCTTTACATGGTGGAGCTGAATCTCTAACTGTTGTTATCTCAACTTTATTATTGACTCTCACCTCTTTCTTTATTTTATCTTGATCTAACTGATATATTTATTAATTCCTGTTACTGTACCAACTTTCACAAGTAAGCACCTGTTTGCTCTGCAGGAAATTTCAGTGATAAGATACTGTTATACAAAAAATTGGTTGTGATTAAGTTAAAATAGAAAAAACTATGGATGATTTTGGTGCTTATCGAAATATTTGATATGAAAACTATTTTGATATTGAATTTTTTTTTTCTTCTGATACTCCTCGGGGATATTTTAACAAACTTTGAAATAAGCAGAGACTCATTCTATGTACATTAATAGTTTGTTGTCATATTTTTCAAGACACCCTATGCAATTTTATGAACAAATGATGATTCATTTAACTTTTTTGAATATGCTGTATTTCTCTATCATTGAAATTATAGCCTTGTGCTTCAAGGAAATAAAGTATAGCTTGATAGAGAAAATTCATAACACTTTTCTTTTACAATCTCAGAATATGAGATATGAGAATGAGAATATTGGTATCTTTAAAATTTATTTGTTTAAAACAATGAAACCGATGGTGCTGTAATCAGTGTAAAATTGCCATTTAGCATAATAATCTGGTGTAATATATTTGTCTGTCTTGCCTAGGATTGAATTTAGTTTTAAGTTATAGTTTCATACTCTTTACTTGTTATTTTGGTTATATTTATGTAATATAATTATATGTTTTATTGTGCCATTTTTCACATCAACAAAGAAAGTTATTTTGTAATAATTTGGGCTGTTCAAAATTTAATGTCAACATGTTTGCAGAAATCTTTTCAGCTTGAACATTTTTTAAAGATTTTGATATTAGATCAGAATTGCTGATTTGTGTTTTAGAAACCTTAAATAGCTTGCGACAATGCTGCCTGGTGATTTTTCGAAGAATAATACACCGAAATCCATCCACTTTTTGTGTTTATAAGAATATTCAGCATCGATTTTTTTCCAATTTCTTGCATTTATTTTAAGATCATTTTCTTGGAATTTATTTGTTAGTTTGTATGTTATTTATAGTGTTTTAATAGTTTGATGATGAAATATCGTGTTCTTTTAGCTTTTATCTTACACCAATATATTGTATTTATATACTACTGTAGAAAAACAATAGTTTTCTAATTTTATAAACTAGTTTATCATTAAAATAAATACTCAATACAACTATATTAATCTTTATTAATTAATTAATATTACTCTATATTTAGAGTGTATTCTGTTGTCTCTAATACAGTCTGCAATAGTGTAAGATTTGTATGTTTATAGAATAACTTGATCAAGAAACATATTACTTTGTATCAGTGTATGTGAGCTTTCAGGATTGACAAAGAAAAATACAACTCCAATGTTGTTCTTAACATCATTTTCAAATTCTGCCCTCTCTTTTCATTATATACAACATGATGTATCGATAATGTTGCCTGAGAACTGGTACACTATCAGTGAGTGTGTTTCATACAGTGAAATTAGTCAGCAGAATTTGGTTTAAGTCCTTCCTCATATTTGAATAATTGATTGAAGACTTCTAGAAGCATAAAAGAAAAAAACAACAAACACATTAACAATAAGAAATGTATTTCTCTTGATAACAAATCTATAAAATAACAATAATATTATTATACATACAGTTAGTTAGGTTCAATCTTGTGATGGTATTCCTTTTCAAAGTTATTTACAAAATTACATAATACAGGTTAAAATATAGCATCAATAATCAGTCCAAATAATCATGTAACTTTCTGAAGTGTATGTATTAACTTAAGGGGAACAACTTCTGGACTCTGACTATAGTCAAAGATTGAAGTTAACAATAATAGGAACACTAATACAAGATATAACCTTACTGTCTGAGGACTTGAATATATTCAGACATACATTCATTCATACAAAAATATTACACTGCTTGAAATGACTGAGCAAATACAAATTGCAATCATCTGGCCCCATTCTTACCATAAAAAATATCTTGCTACAAGCAGTGATCTTTTTTCTAGCAAATACCACATTTGCAACAGAACATGATTATCAAGACTTTTTCTCAATTGGGGTCTACTCCTGAGCAATATAATTTTATGCCTACACAATTTGCATCATCATTTGCTTTATAAAACTATTCTGATAAATTCAATATAATTTGATGGTTAGTGTTTAAACGAAAAGCATGAAATGGCATTCCATTAAATGATAATTGACAAAATTTTCCTACACAATATTAAAATTTTGACATAAAATGCCCTCATGAGTTTATTTGTGTAGGATCATTCCACTTGGATTGTGCACTTGGATTAAAGCATAATAAAGTTATATAATATAGGCAAAGTGAATTTAAGTCCCATGGAATGAACCAATGAACTAATTAACAATCATATAATCAGTCTCATAACAATACCAACAAAATGAATCTTCTTATAATGATTAATTTGCCACATTCATAATTTTTTATTTAATTTCTCATATTAAATTTGAAAGTTATCGCAAGAAAACGTTTGTTTAATGCACCATTTTACTAATACCTCTTTTACCTCTCATTTCATTCTAAAACTTGATAGTGCTCATCAATGGTTCACCTCATTAATCACTAAAACTGCTGACACTATCACTATCTGAGTCATCATTATCATTATCACTAAAATCACTATCACTAGCTTGATTATTAGCTGACACTTTCCCTCCACCACTGTCAGCTACAGGATCATCTGGCTTACTATAAAATATAAGTTATACATTTGGTTATATTATAACACAACCTTATATTGTACATTCTAATATAATTATCTCTCACATCCAACCTGAGGATACCCCCAGTGTGATAACAATTGTATTTTGAGTCCTAATAATCAAAGATAAATAATGGACCCTCCCCACCTCATCACATATATATAAGCCTGTTCATTCGTCCAAAATTTACTAAGTTACCACAAGTGTTTTCAAACATTGGCTGAACAATCTAAGGCCTACTTACTCTATAATATCTGGATTGAAACCTTCAGCAGACATTTTCATTTTAACTGCTGGTACAGGAACACCCTGAAATATTCATATTGATGATATTAAGTATATATATATATATGTATATGTATATAAAATCATATTTATCTGAATCTCATTCAGATGATGCACACTCACTTTTACAACCATATATCTGAAGCATGATAGGGCTGAGACGCCATCACATTAAATCCATTAGTTTAAGCATATAAGAGAGAGTATAATCTGTTACCTATATTATCATTATTTGACAAGCCCTGTTACTTCTATTAAACAGGGTTTGTATGCATGCAAATTAGAGCTGCCACATAGCTAACAACAATATTTGATTTTTATGTTAAATCAAAACACTTACAACTTGTAACATTTTAAAGAATTTAGAGTATCTTGGGTCTTGAGAATTGGTCATCTTTGGTGTTGTATCAACAGGCTCTTGAGGTGTTTCAATGGCTACTGCAGTGGGCCCATTTGCCACAGGCTACAAAAAAATAAACAACAAATGTAACAATTCTTTATCAATCACTACTACTACCAAAATTATAGATATGAAATCAGTTTTTTTTTTTTGGCAAAATTTCTTATTGGCAGCATTAAAATATCTTTGAAAGATTTATTTCAGTTTTAAATTTTAACCACAAATTCAATAATGTGCCAGTCACATCTGTGAGATAATTCTTATGAATGCATGTTTTACTTATGAGTGATATAAAGTCAAAATTTGGTTTTGCATGGAATATAAATATCTTACAGGTTGAGATGTAGCACTAGGTTCTGATGTTGATACTGGACCATTGCTGACAGGTTTAGCTGGTGCTGGTGTTGCTGCTGCCGTGGAAGTACTACTTGGTTCCACTGTAACATTTTCTAAACCAGGAATAGATGAAAGCTGAAAATAAAAGGCAATAAAATGATAAGGTTCTAACATAGTATATATTTATAATAGGACCAATATCAAAAGACAAATGGCCTTATTCATTAATTGTTCAGCTGAATTACTAGATTATAATATTTCTAACACTTCCATTATGTAATTAGTGGGGTTTTTTTTATCCTCTGTGTTTAATCTGTTTAATTCATATCATCTTATCCTAAAACTAATTCCATTGATAAATTCACCACTAAGTGATAAATTAATACATAGTAATCCGTCTGAGTTGTCTTTTAATATTGGTCAGAGTATTATCCTAAGTGGTACCAGTTGTCTCCCAATATTGGGTAAAGGTTTATCATTAATGGTCTTATAATGTTGATACAAGTTGCTTTAGGACCTAGGTATCCTGATTCCAGTAATCTTCTTACCTTAGCTTCTAATATAGTTAGAGATACTTCCAGCCGCTGGATTTTACCTGCTAAATTTTCTAGTTTTTCATCACATACACATGAAAATCTATTTAAAAATCTTGCTGTATGTGTTATAAAATGATTTATAAAAGCTATACTCCTCTTTTGTTGGATTGCTTCAACCTAAAAAAAAAAATCGTTAATAGAGTCAGACTTATCCATTTAGATCTGAGAAAGGGGTGTTACATTCACTGACAAGGATGTATTGGGGAACTGTATCAAGAGGCCTATCAGTGTCACATTGGGTCTAACAGACTGTCACTGGCATCAGTGTTACTGAGTCACTGACACTGAGTCTGATAGTGTCTAGTGATCACATTCAAATTGATGAATTGAATCCATGTTCAGGGAACTTGTTAACGCCAAGACCTCTGTTACCTTTGTATAATCGACCCCTGGTCCAACGATAGGCAACCCATCAGCATCCATTTTCTCTTCCTCCGATTATCTATTACATTACAATTTAATTTGTCACTTAAAAATTCTTAGCACGGGATAGTGATGGGTGGATGTTTACATTGAGGTCAAGGTCGATGAATCCGTACAAACTTCATTAATTACTGAAAAACCGAACACGATGATACCCTCTGATTCTCAGGACATATAACCAATATAAAGCATGGAACTAATTTGATACAAGTTTTTTACATTTTTACATAATTCTAATGACCCAGAGAAAGATGAACGAATATATAGCAGTAAAAAGATTTGATTCGTTTCGAAAGTGAATCTGAAATGTTTTTTTAATGTAGCCGATTTACTGCGGTACGAGCAACTTTACACTTCCGGTTTTCATGGCTGAAAAGTTTCATGACTTTTTAAACTTTTTAGAGTAAGAAACCACAAAAAATGGAGCAAGCTCCAACCCTAGAAACTGTTTGCCAGGCTCTCCAAGCTTTGTATAATAACCCAGATACGACCGGGAAAGAAAAGGCATCAGTTTGGCTTGGAGAACTACAAAAATCGGTAGGTCGAACTAAATTCCAATGGCAATCAATCCAATTACCAATCCAATAAATATTCCAAGTTGGCAAATTGTTTTGTTATTCTCATGGCAAGCATATCAATTTTAATTTCACCACTTATTAGTCTAAGTCACAAATAATTGTTTTCCATGTCAAAAGCATGAGAGACAAAGGGCCAATTAAGGGTAATAAATAAGATCATGCAAAAAAGGTAGCTGCATGGGGCCAAACTAGTGCAGAAAATTTGTTTGGTTAGGTTCAAATACATGGGACTGGTATCAGAGGTGGACAATTTGTTCGTTTGAGACTTTTACGAATTGCATGTCATTATTGTTACTAAATGTTCATTGCTTCAAGGGATCTGTGGAATTAACCATATAAGTAGTGCTTAAGATACAAAACTTTTGGTGTACAGTGGTGTAACCTATAATTGTGCATATAATGATTCAACATCAAATTTCGTCAAAATTAAAAAAACAGAAACGGCTGTAAAATGGGTAACCTATTTTGTGTACAATGTTTGGTGTATAAAAAAGTCATGAAATACAGATTGTATGGATACCCAGTGGTATAATTATCACTTCTTAGTATTTATCTTTACTATAAAGTCATTATAACTATTGACAATTCCTTCAGAGAACAATGATTTTCAAATAAATTAAGTTAGTGACTGACAAAATAAGATAAGTAAATGCATGAGTAATTTATTGCTAAAATTCATTGAAACAACATAAGAATATGGCCCTCATTGTGTTCCATAGAATTTTTCTGGGACATGGAATCCGCAAATTGTCACTTCGTTCACTGGAATATATTTTGCAGACGACGCTTGGAATTCAGAGTACAGGTGGGAATTTGAAGGAAATTTTGCAGATGAAAAATGGTGACATTTGGTAATAACAAATAACATGATACAATTTGTATATGTTAGAAATAGTTGATAAATTTGACATTGATTTGAAACGATTGGAAAAGTTGATGTGGTAGAGGTAACCCATGTTTATCAAAACATGTAAATGCGGAGGTAATGTAAATTATTTATCATTTCCACGGATGCACGAAATTAGGTTACTTGACTGTACTTTAACCAACATTCACTATTTTAGATACTGTCATTTTATGCTTTTCTTTTCAGGTGTTTGCTTGGCAGATTGCTGATCAGCTATTAAGATGTAATAAAAGTCTAGAATCCTGTTACTTTGCTGCCCAGACTATGAGAACAAAGGTAGTGTTCTGATAAATGTCTGAACAAACAACTTTATTTTTTCTTAAAATTGAGTAAATTAACCATATTCAGATTTTGAATTAAATGTTGATAAGAAAACATTGTAATGATTCAGCAATTTCAGTTTGAAGTTTATCGATATATTGAAGTTCTCTTATGATCTCATACAGTTGTAATTAGTTGTCTTGTTTGTTTCAGATACAATATGCCTTTCATGAACTACCTGTGAATTCCCACCAGGTAAGCTATGTATTCAGTTAGGCTATAAATTTGCCCCAAATTCACACAGCCAGTTTTTACTTTACAGATTCTTGAACACATGGTCTTATAAGTTATAGATCACCAAGTAGAGATCTAGTCTTTGAAATGTTTTAATTAAGAGAGCTATTAGTCAGAGAATTTTAGTGATAAAAAATGGAACCTCTTTTGAATCATTAAAAACTTTGTCTCTTATTGTGTTCTTTGTTTTCAGTCTTTAAGAGAATCTTTAATGGAACATGCTAGTAAGATAACACCAGAAACTCCTCCAGTTATAGTTACACAGGTCAGTTAGCTCTTCTATTAATCTTTCTTCTTCTTTACACTTTTAAAAATGGACATATTTATGTGAATCTGAACAATCAAACTGGATTTTTCTCTACTAGTCGATTGGTTGTCATGGGTTCATATCCTCGGGTGTGAGAATGATTCAGTGCTTACGAGAGTTGTTCCAATGCCATTTTTCACCAATGTGTGTATGTGGAATGAATTAAATTGTTTTTTTTTCAGTTAAGTTTAGCGTTAGCAGATTTGATATTACAGATTCCCACATGGAAAGGTGGTGTTGTAGAAATAATTCAAAAGTAAGAATATCAATCATTGTTTTAATTTATCAGCTTGTTATACTACATGTTTTATTATTTATAACGACCTCTACCTTCAGGATAAGAAACCAAACTGTTTTGTCTTTAACTTCATTAACTGTATTGACTTTCTTTCAGATTTGGATCAAATCCTCAACAGAGATCATTTTTATTAGAAGTTTTAACAGTTTTACCTGAAGAGGTATGTCGTAAGGTTTATATAATTTAATATTTTTTGAAACCTCCCTCACAGGGAATTATTTCAGACTTCAAATGATTATTTTTAACAATATCAACCTTGAATGGGTAGAGTTTGAATTAATTTTCTAGCATTTGGTATTTTAGATAAACAGTAGATCATTAAGATTAGGAGCTAATAGAAGACAAGAAGTAATCAATGAATTAATTGCAGCATGTCCAGTAGTTTTACAATTATTGGTAGGTTTTACATTTTTATCCATTGGTAATTCTTTTCTACCTTATGGCATGTATCTATCATTCTGATATTTAAATGTGCTGCACTAATTCTATTTCATCGATGTTAGTTGTTCTATATATGAAAGGGATAAATCTCTATGGACTTCAAAAGATTTAAATCCCAGTGAAATTTATATGATAGCTTACTTATGTTACTAATGTATTGTAGGGTGTATGTGCTGAATCAAGTGGAGAAGATACCCGGATGCAAGCTAGAATATTACGTGTTATAGGTAGCTGGTTCAGTGTTGGTGCTATATCTCAAGATGCTATCATAAATACACCATTATTACAAGCACCTTTTGAAGCACTGGTGAGTATGCATGAATATCATCAAATCAATGAGCTGTTGTTAAATTTGAGTTTTCAAATCCAAGGTAAAATAGCATATAATCATCCTTTTTTTATCCAGAAATGTCCATTGATCATTAAATTTAAGTGTTGTATTTTTCAGAAAAAGAGAGAAACACCTTCACATTTACATGAAGCAGCTGCAGATTGTCTATGTACAGCTCTATATAGCATAGAGGTAAGAATGAACTTAAATTTTGCACCAGGAAGCAAACAAGAAGCATACACAATTTACATATTGTTGCTCAATAATAATAAGGAATGATGACTTAAGTTATGACCCTCACATTTTTTTAATGTTAAGAACTATGATTAAGCTGCAGACGCCTGATTCCTGAAGATCATGTGCACGACCAACTTTGTCAAAGCTCCTGATAGAGAAATATAAAAAGATTCAGTTCATTACATGATGATCAACTTGGCTTTCAGGATATTCAGAAGAACCCAAGTCTAGCCCAGGCTTTATTAGAAGGTGTATTAACATTAACAGAAGGATATCATCTATCTGTAGCTGATGAAGATTCTGATAAGTAGGTTAATTTCACAATTTTTGAATAAATAATGAAGATTGATGCCATTAGTAACTATTATTTCAGTTTTGTGAAAACTTTCGTTAATTTCACTCGTAAGCTTTTTATTACATATAAATGTAGACTTGGTGATATTAAAAGTATAAATGAGTATTGAATATTTGTTATTGTTATTTGCAGATCAATCAATTATTGTCGAGTTTTTACTGAGTTAGCTGAAGCCTTTTTAAATGCTATAGTCTCATCACCTAATCAGGTATATAGTTAGTTTATTAACCTGATAAATACAGGCAATATGTCCATATGATATGACATGATATTGATTATGACTTGAATTAAGAACTCTTTATTGTTGAAAACATTGCATGCTGTGATATACCATGGATACCTAAAACTGCTGTGTTGGCCTTTGTTACCTTATCACTTTATAGTAATCCTGGAATTTTACAGAGAAATATTAAATCTAATGCAATTTATCATAATGTTTATATGAAACAGGGGCTCTGACTGGCAATCTTGCTATATATATAGTCTAAAATTTACTCCATTTATTTCAGGGACTAGGTGATTTTAGAATATTAGAACTAATATTAACTTGTATTGGACATCATCTATATGAGGTAGCAGAGATAACGTTTAATTTTTGGTACAGACTTTCAGAAGAGATGTATCAGAAGAATGATGTGGGGTTAAATGAATTATATAAACCTTATGTACAGAGATTAATAGTTGCTTTATCTCGACATTGTCAACTAGATCCAGATCATGTACGTCTTTTTCATTATAAATCATATTTTGGATGGCTTGATAAGTTTTAAAGTAAAAAGTTTATTTTGTTTGTACATTAGGAAAAATCTATGAGCAGAGTAAAAATTAAATAGTGGTTTGGATACTTGAAGAGTCTTTAAATTTCATTCTTTTGATAAAATAATTAACCAGACGTCATATTTCAATGTTGAAAAAGATACAGGACGCTGAAACTGAACTTGATTAACAGGATTAGCAAATACTTAGAACACTATATCCCTTTATGAACTATATGCAAGATGTTGTTGGAAAAGAAGCTGACTGTTTATACAAGCTTTAGTTGAACTACACTTCTGATTGGGTTCATTTGAATACTACCCAAGGACTTCATCAACTAATAATTGAATTGTGATAATTGTAGGATACTATACCAGATGATACAGGAGATTTTGGTGAATTTAGATTACGAGTCTCTGAATTAATTAAAGATGTTGCTTTTATTGTTGGTTCAACACCATGTTTTAGTCAGGTATAGCTTATATTTTATTCTTTTGCTATAGTACTGGAGCTACGATGCCTAGCCTGAAAGTTAAAAGATTAACAACAGATGTAGATTAGAGATGTTAACTAGTACCAGTCTAATCTTTCACTTGAGATGAAAAACCTTGCAGTTTTATGCTAAATTCTATGCATTTTGCCAAAATTTCTCTTATTGCACTGTGTTTCTTTACCTATAAATACCATTAAATTGTAAGAGGTATGTCTCATGATTTCAGATGTTTTCAAGTTTACAAATGTCTAGCAACCAGACAGGTAATCCATCATGGGAGACATCTGAAGCTTCTCTGTTTGTTATGACAGCTGTAGCAAAAAATATTTTACCGTAAGTTAAGATTACATATTTTTATAACTGTTCATATCAACAGTATGTCATAATGTGAAGTTTCATTGGACAGGATGGATAAGCTATGAACGAATTTTAAAAAATTCTTATCTTTTAAATAATTTTGTAAATGACATTTTGAATTGGCTGACATTGTTAATTAATGAAAGCATGCTCATATAATGATTTGACTATTGTAGTGAAGAAAAAGAAATAGTACCTAAAGTATTGGAATGTATATTAAATCTACCTGATACAGTTCATATAGCCGTACGATATACTAGTTTACAGTTAATAGGGGAATTATGTGAATGGATAGAACGCAACCCACAGTATTTAGGTCAGTATATTGATTTTAAGTGGAAAATTACTAGCATATCTGTAGTGTTATTTATTTTCTGTGGCTTATGGAATTAAAACAGTTTGCTGATTGTTTTAAAGCTGAAATTACTTGATATCTGAAAATATTTGTGTTTTAATTTTCTGAAAAGAGAGTAGATGAATTAGATAAGAATATTCTCAATATATATGATAGAAGAATTATGTTAAAATATTAAACTTGAATCATGATTTACTCAGAGTTTTACGCTTTGCGATCTTCAAACAACTGACTTAATTTCAGCCTGATGTTATAAGAATTATTTTGTAATATTATAAAACTACTACTTCAAACAAAAACCAATTGTCTATGCCATATCTTATATTATTTTATCTTTGTTTATTTCTAGATCCAGTATTGAGGTTTTTACTAGCAGGATTACAACAACCAACTTTAGCATCAGCTGCAGCCAATGCTTTACAGAGTATTTCTATACAGTGTCGAGACCATCTAACAGATCATTTTCAAGGTTTAGTTCAAATTATACAAGCAATGGACACCTTCAATCTCTCATCTGATGCTGCTATTGGTTTACTTAAAGGTAGGAACTTGTGATATTTGATCTCTTTATTGCAATATCGGCAAAAATAAAATGTAAAAAATCAAGTGAATTAGCATTGAACTGAACATTGGCTGTTTCAAGGTCATAACTAACTGCAGATTGCAGAAAGGAATTTAGAGTTGTTCACTTGTAGAACATGATGGTGGAATCCTGAGTATATGAACCTAAGCATTGATTTATACATTAATAAATGAGTTTTTCTAGCCTGATTATGTGTAATGGGAGACATATTTGTTTTGAAACCACAGACATTTGACAGGAAATCAGATTTTTAGAATCTGAAATACAACCTTGTTTGAATACTAGGCACAATAATGTATGTTGATATTGTATGTGACATATTAAAATGTTGATTTTTAGGTACAGCATCAATATTAGCCAGGTTACCTCATTCTAGTATAGCTGATGGGTTACGTACATTAACTTCATTTCAAATTACACAGTTAAATAAAGTAAGTGACAAGTTGATATTATAATAGATTGAAATATTAAGAAATTAAGATTAATAGAAAACTACCAAAATAACATTATGAGCAATATGTATTCTCTGAAAGTGTTGCTATGTTGATAAATCTATTACAGTGAATGTAACAGATGTGAAGTTCAAGATTGGACTATTCTTGAAGCTTATCTGTTGAAAAATGACGTCAATAACAGCATTAACCAATAACTGAGATTTCATTCATATGTTCTTCAGAGAGAACTTGTTAAACAGTGCTAATTGTATGTTAGTCATTATATGTTATTATCAAACTAAAGAACTCTATTATTGCTTGATATTTTGTAGTTGATAAATGAAGAAAGTGGTCCTGTAAAACAAGGGGCAGATAATGATCCTACTGTATGGTTAGATAGATTAGCGGCTATATTTAGGTAAGCTGATCATTTAAGGAACTACTGATATTGAATTGTTTATATTTGTTAAGCTCTTCAACTTAAGTTATAATATGAAATATGTTTTAGTTATAATGTACATAAATTTAGCAATCCTTAAACAACCAACATAACAATATTTTATGTTTGTAGATACACCAATCCAACAGTAACGAATGGTCAAGTCCATCCATGTCAAGCTGTTATACAAGAGGTGAGGATTTCAAAATCTTTTCTTTAACCTTGAAACTATTTACTTCATTCAGATGCCACTTTGTACCATGCGTGTGTCATTTTATACTTTTCAGGTGTCACCTTGTACCACTGATGTGTCTCTTCGCACCATAGATGTCCTCTTTTACCATCATGCATCATTTTGCACCATAGATGTCCTTTTTGTACCATAATGCATCATTTTGCACCATAGATGTCCTCTTTGTACCATCATGTATCTTTTTGCACCATAAATGTCCTCTTTGTACCATCATGCATCATTGTGAACGATATTTTTGCAACTTTGTACCATCATGCATCATTTTGCACCATATATTTGCAACTTTGTACCATCATGCATCATTTTGCACCATATATTTGCAACTTTGTACCATTTGATATTGTTCACTTATGTGATTTGTGATTTTTGATTTTAGGTATGGGTAGTATTATCACAAGCCTGTAATAAATATCAGAGTGATGTAAGAATAACTGAACGATGTTGTAGGTGTATTAGATTTGCTATAAGATGTTTAGGCAAGAATTCCGCTACCTTATTAACACCTTTAGTCACACAGGTAATATATTGACTTTTTATACCTTGTTCAGTAGCACAGTTGGTGAAAGAAACTTAAAATGACACCATTTGCTTGGTTACTTCAAATGGTCATCAAGAGTTTTAATCTGGCATATGAAAGTCTGATGACCCTTCCTCATTATTCTTGTTAACCCAGTTGTAAATGGGAAAAAATAATTTGGCAGAGATCAATACCAAGAGGGATGACTGTAGAAAGGATCCTTGTGAAGTTAAGTTATTTTCCATGTAAAAAATGGTTGTTTCATGTAGATAATTAATATTTATGTTGTAGATGGTACAGTTATACCAAGTACATCAACACTCATGTTTCCTGTATTTAGGAAGTATTTTAACAGATGAATATGGCAGTGAAGCTGGCTGTGTTCCTGGTTTATTAGACATGCTACAGGTAAATACCTCTTGATATTAAGTTACCCTGGGTTGACTCACTCATTCATAGTCATTTCCTATCTATTGAAAGTAGTATTATGCATATCTTAACACCTATGAATATATATAATAGCTTAGTGCATAATTAGTGTTTATTTGCATGTCATACAGTGATAACTGCTAATATGTTATCAACATTTGAATTTAAACTTCAAATATATGTATATGAGTAAGCAAATTGAACAGACATAAACCAAAAAGTGCTATAAAAACATACAGTTTTGTCATGACTAAAACTCTATAGTATTATTGAACTCAAGCATGTATTTATGTGTATGATATATGAGAAATTTTCTGAAATTTCCAGGCATTCTGTGGTCCTACATTTAAAATACTAGAAGAACACAATGGTTTAAGAAATCATCCTGATACAGTAGATGATTTATTTAGACTATGTTTAAGGTATGATCATTTCCTTTCATTATTATTTTTCTATTTCATCTTGACTTTGTTGTCATTTGTGTTTTATCTTTTAGACCATTTGTATATCGATTTACTTTGCGTGTTTTAGGTTTATACAACGATGTCCAGTACCATTCTTACAGAGTGCTATGTGTAAACCATTATTATGTTGTGCTATAGCAGCATGTTCATTAGATCATAAAGATGCTAATGCTTCAGTGATGAAATTTTTAACAGATTTTATAAAATACAGTAGAGAAAAAGAAGTAAGTTTACGCACTTTCTTTAGTAAAGTCAAGTTCTCTGTCACAACCAGGTTTTAGGGTTTATTAAATACCCTAATGGGTTACATCACTGATGGAACTCCCAATACTAATGTAAGCTCTTTCAGTGGAAACTGTGTGAACAGTACTTCGGTACTCTGCAATAACCAACATCCAGTGGGCTAGGTATATCTTGAAAATGTACTTTGGCCTCTATAATCAAAATTTGATGGTAGCTACTAATGCCTTGAAATCTTTTTTATTTCGACTGTAAACAAATGTTTATGACTTCCAATATTTATGTAATATTTGTCATAATTTCAGGATCGAGAAGATTTTGAATTACGTCATAGTCTAATCAAACAGTTATTATGTAATCATGGACAAGCTTTAGTTCATGCTATAATTAATGCCTGTATTTATTGTTTACCTACTTATATGGTGACAGATGTAGCTGATGTGGTACATGAATTATTGTTATTTGATAGACCAGTAAGTAGGAATAAATCATGTCTTATTTTGTTAGGGAAAAACTCTGAATCCTGATAGTGGCCTGGTTAAATTGCCCTTACACTCTAATAATGCTATTGAGATGAATGTTTAATTCTAAATTATACCAAAGTGACTTGTTTCCTATATTTGTAAGATTTGAACGACATATAGAAGCGAGGAGCACATAATAATCCTATATATGATCTAAAAGCAGAAATGGCATACATTAAAATGCATCTTGATTTGAGAAAAACAATTATTTATATCTATACAAAGCTGTTACTCAAATCAATCCTAATTTATTTGATAAGTTAATAGCATGAAATTTTTAGATAAGATTCAGATGTTTGTACAAACTATTTAAGTCAAATTTGTTTCTGGATAAGTATATTTGTAATGTTTTACATGAACAATAATATTCTGTATTTTTAGACATTATGTAATACATATGTTGTATTTTCCAGTATTTATCTAATATAATTGTTGTATTTTTCAGACATTTTGTGTATTATTAGAAACAACATTAAAAGCTTTGCCAACAGAAAGTAATGGTAATGCTGTCACGGCAACTCATAAACAATTAACAGATTTTCATAAAGCTTTAACAAGGTAATAATTGTTGTTTTTTAAACACAGACCCTGTATGTTATCTCATTATGACAGGTAGACTAGAGTATTCTTATAAACTTTTAACTCCTGTTCAGTGGCTTTGTTTCATTGAATTCTCACCATTGTTCGATGACTTAGTTTTGGAGCTGAGCTTCATGAAAAATTTAACCTCAATGTTCTAACCAGCCATCTTGACTGAAATTTGCAACAAAATTCCTGATGACCAACAGATGGTTACTCGATACACTTGAATCTGATTACTGTATTAAAGATGATAAGTTCAACTGTTTCGTGTCAATGAGCCAATCAAATTGTCTTATAAAATTATCGAGGCCTCAACATGATCAGTTTCATTGTATTATATCTGATGAAGGCTATATAACTTTCTTTGTATATTTCAGCTCTGAGTCATTGAAACAAACATCACATACATTAAGAGATTTTTCTAGGTTATATAGATGATGTGATAGTGGTATCATATTTTTATCTATTTATATTATTATACTGTTAATGTGTGACAGTAGAAGAGTAGAAATTAGCTTCTCAGCTTCAACTAGATTTAAAGCTTACGAGTTAGTTTCTGAATGAAAGCTATCTGACAGTTTGAATGGAATTAGAATCTTTATTACTTGCTCTTTCTAATTAGGAAGAGAAACTCTTTTCAATGCTTTTACCTGTAAAAGTTGGTTGTGATATTGTTAAATAAGTTAAGCCTTACTTAAGTCATCCTTTAATGTGAACCTTGCCTTGCGATTGAGAGCTTTTTTTTTTTTGTCTGATGGAGGTAGAATAAGGTGCATGGTTCCAGTATTTAAGGAATTTTAAAGAGGCTTCATTAAAGTGTTATGTGTATCAGGGATAATTGTAATTCCACTGAAACTGAGCGTTTATGACTTCACTATTGCAAAGGCCCTAAGATATTATAAGCCAAGCATTTCTTAGTTGAAGGAACTTTAGACAACTGACCAAAAATTGGATTGGTGCAAAGCAATATGTTCTAATACACATAACTAATTTATAAAACCTCTGTACAATCCCTTTTAAGATAAAAAGAAAATAATTTTTTTCTGAATACAGTTTTTAAAATACTGACAGTTCTACAAAGGACAGGAGTAATGTTTTTTTTTTAGGTCACATTTACTTTTCCTTCACCAAAATGTAACGCAATTTCCAAAGTGCTTTATTGATTGTGTGCTATTTGTCATTTACTTTTATGCAATCATTTATGCTAAATTATGCTGTATAATGATTTTTTTATGAATTTTCTTTGAAATTCTTTTTGATCCCTTGATCTAGCTATTGACTTTAAACACCCCATTATTAGGCCAATATATTGAGATGATTTATTAAACTATATTTTTTGTAGTAACACACTAAAAAATTTACCAAGGATTTGAGAAGGATTTTGACTATATTGATTTTCTATCAGACATTCCCTTATGATATCACTATACAACTTACAGAAACAAAAACAAGGTATTCTGCCAAAATATCACAGTTCCAGACATTCTAGTCAATTTATACCTGAATGGCCAAATGTATTTTAACCGGTTTGTTTTTTAAGTTTTGTGTGTTGTTTTTGTTATATACATGTGAAATGCTTGATAATTATTTTCTGGCTGGTATATATTATTATTTTTTTGATGTAGAACAAATTAATAGAGGCTTATTTTATTGGTATCCCTGCAATCTCATTAGCTTTCCCTTGGTACATTCTATATTTTAACAAACTGATGCATATGATGCTCGTATTTTTATAATGCCAAGGCTTATTCTATATTTAAACCTTTAAAAAAAGTTACAAAAATATTTATAACACCTAATAGAAATAGAAATATTAATACAGAACCTGAAATATGTGGAAAATAGGTCAGTTTTCTGAAGATTGCAAAGCTTGTGAAACATGATTCAGGTTCTGGTTTAATATTTTTATATTGCTATAAGTCTAAGCTGATCTATTGAGCACTAATTTAACAATGAAACTATTTTGTTATTGTAACACCTTTAATACATAGAATATGTTCACACTTGATCACATTTGGTGAGATACAGAGTTAATAACAAATTCAATATAATAATTTAGTGGACATAATAAAGGTTTCTTGACACTTATAGAACTACCAACTTAAAAACATAGAATAGACCTTGATATTCCCAGTTACAAATCAGAAATTGTTGAATGAATAAACAGTTTGTTGAAATGAATTGTATTTGTAAATACATTGTATAATCTTGTAAATGTATTTGTATTTTATCTTGTATATAGTCAAATTGATGTAAAATATGTACAAAATTTATTTTATTACCCAATTGATTGTGAAACAAATTGGAGCTATAGATTAGCTGCCTATAAAGGGTTAAATAGATCTGTACACATTGTTAATTCTATTATTAGCTCAAATATTTGATATGGACAAGGAATTATTTCCTGTAATTTTAGAGGCACACATAATAAAATCATTGTTATTAATTGCATGTTTTCTTACAATTAAAAGAATTATTTTGCTGTAAATTAGCCTCTATTTATTGGGAATCTAGATTTACTGGAAACAATTCCTTGACATTGGTCCTAATTATGTCAGGTTTTAAATTGATTATTCCATGAAACACAACAAAAGGTCATTAGTATAAAAAACAATCTGAAGTCAAATACAGTAAAGTAACTTAATTTACCTCTATTATGAGCTGTATGCATAAAATTTTTATTTTATTTAATGTTTTCACAATACTAGTAAATAAAATTAGAACAAATTATTAATCATTTTGACCTGATAAACAATAACTAACAGTGTGATTTTGAAGAATAAAATGAAATCAAGCTTAAATTATCTAGTAAAGCCAGATCAAATTTTGACCTATGAATTTTGATACTTGGGAAGATTTCATGACACATGAAGCTAAGTATTCTAGAAATTTGGAAAAGACAGGGATCATGCGGTCACTATAGGTAGGACTTAATCCAGTCGGGTGTCTAGTTAATCCAAACACCCTAGTAAGTCTTAATATCTGTCAGATTATTTTTAGAGATTTTTTTCCATCAATAATGGTAAAATAATATGAAATTAACAGGTTTTTCCTTATGTTTTTTTTTAATTTTAACTATTTTTTCTCGCCCCCTACCCTAGTTTTTTGTAATAGTTATTTTGTGTGCTGCCACATTAAACCTTTTTTATGTTATCTTTGTTGGTTTATTTGCAGATGTTTTGTTCATTGGGGAGAATATTGAGATTTCCGATCATTGAGCATTTTGAATTTATGTATTACTGTTTAGCAGCTTTGGGGAAAACGAAGATAGGCAACCTGTGACTTGTTTTTAACTATGAAAAGTCTTTAATGCACAAGCTTTGATAAATCGTGTAGACCATTAGAAGCATTTCCATCTCCGTAACCTCAATCACTGACCAAGTGAAAGCACATATTGCAAGATGAATCATCACATCTCCAGCTTTGTGTGTGTACATAAATTCACCGTGTGAAAAATTGTATTTGTCTACATTATGAAACATCAATTAAAAGGATAAAAGACAGAATAAGCCCGTATTATGTCTATTATTCTTTTTTCATTGACGAGAATATTGAGATTAGGGTATGCCCAGGTCATGGCGAAATTCGAATTTGGCAGCTTTTTGGGAAGCGTCTCGTTATTAACCACGAAAAGCCTTTCATAGCAAAGGGTGTTGATGAATTGTGTAAAACCATTGTAAGCATTTTCTGAATCACTAAGAGAAAGCCATATGGGATTCCGTAGGTATTCTATTACTACATGTACTTACAGGGATCCAAGACTTTCTCTTTTTAGAGGATATCCTCAATAGTTTCTCGCCAGTGCCTGATGACGACGGGGGAAACACGTCGAAACGTTGCATAAAACTTCAACCAGTGATTGTTGTTCTATAATCTGTGCCTATATATTATTATGGTACCTAACTTGATGAGACATGCCATCTTCCACATAAAAAACATCCTATGATATTCCTTACTGTATCACTGATTTTTATAGAGGACTACTTACTAAAACAGGGTCTACGCTGCTAATGGCGTGAAATGTACGTGTTTTAATAAAAGCAATATCTGTCATCGAATAATATGAAACGTTTGCAAAAATTAGCTCCATAAGCGGATAAGATAACCTTTTTAAAGTACAAAATTACTCTTTTACATATGATTTTTCAGCACACAAAAAAGGCACAACGCCTTCAAGCTCAGATCGTCATTTGTCAATTCGCAATTACGGGCCTGATCAAGTCTGAGTCTGCACTAAGCGTGCAGATTTATTTCATATTAAAAGTTCGTAGATAATTTATTTTAACATACGGGATAGTATAGGTTTTTTTTTTTTAATGAATACCGTGTAGTCATAGGCAAACTAGGCAGCTGCCATTCGGCCCATGGAAAATTCGGCCTTTGACAAATTTTGAAACAGTAGAAATGATCAAACAGTTAATAAATTTCCGCAGGCCTATCGAAAATTGTCTTCTAGGAGCGTGATGTGTGAGAATCGACTAAATTGTTTGAGCCTAATGATTTTGGATGCCGATATCGTGTAAACGGTTGATGCTGATGAGCTGATTGATCTGTTCTTGAAAAAAAAAGATCGCAAACTTCCTGCCATAAAATTGTAATCACATCATGCCCCCTCCCGAAAATGAGAAATTAAGCCCTCCACCGTTCGTTTGCCTACGGCCCAACAGATCCGAAATCCGCCACTGCCTGTAGTGAACACCAAATAACACATTGTTATGCTCATTGATTCCCAACGCTGCCAGAAAATAACTCAATTATATAGAAGGTTTTACCGGGAAGAATTTTTTTTAAAAATATGAATGAAATCATGACAAAAATACAATAACATTTGTGGCGCATTATATTCTTCAATCTGAATTATATGTATATTTCTGAGCAGGACTTTTATTTATACCAGTAAAAATGAAGTTACAATATTCCGGTAACGGGATGAATTCAAATCGTGAAATATTACATTTGCTGACAAAATGTATGATCATGCTTGAAGGATTAAGAAAATTCGGACTACATAAAGTATACATGTAATAGATAAAAGTGAACAGAGCGAACTGCGCCCTAACAAGTAAGAAAACCCACGTGCAAATCATGCAGTGTCCCTATAAAATAGCGGGAGATTCGGTTAATTTCATCAGTCATTTGTTGAACTCGTACCAGTGACACTGAGATGTAAGTATGTCTGTTTGTATTATGTTGTTTACTTTAGATTGAGTGAGAGAATCAAAATGATTTTGTTTTAAATGTAAACCATCGAGTTTCTCTGTGACTTATTAAAATGTGTACACACTAAATCTCTTTTGTAGAGCACCATGGAGAATATTGCCTGTTCACGCTTTTCTCTCTTGGTTTTTGTCTTTTGTGCGGTAAGTTGTTTATTGCTGGTTGACAAGTCCACGGGGCCCCTTCACCCAACGGGAAAGGGGAGGACCCACGGCCGTAAATAAAATTCAGGAGAGCATATGTTAAAACAATCTCGAAGGGGCACCAACCCACCTATAGTTGAGGCATGCACTCATTACAAGATATTTTGCTGCCGACTTTTGCAAAATCTTAAAGGCATTCTTATTTTAAATGATCACCGTGTCTTGCATGAATGCACCTCGACACTATTTTAAAACTCTTGATGGTTCACTAATGTATCATTTACCTCCTTTACTTAACATTGTAGACTATAAGCATGACTGTAGCAACTACTGTACCCTCGGGTTTTATATTAGACGGTAAGACATTGCCCTTTTTACATAACTTTCCCGAAACTACTAGAAAATACTGACGTTTTTGCAAAGATCTCTTCACCATTTCAGGCATTTGAAATTGCTTCACATTAGATACAGATTTTGGCAAGTCGGTCAGACTTCAATTTAGCACTATATAAACCCCACCTGGCATGTTTGATAAGCCTTTTTTTTTTTTTTTTTTTTTTAGTGAAAGTAGAATGTGGAGCGACTTCGACTGCAATTCCGAAAATTGTAGTGGTTTCTGATTTGGCACTGGAAGTTGAGGCGTTTTGTGAAAATGGCAAAAAGACTGTCCTCTCTACTGATGGTGCCAATTACATCATAAATGGTAGCTATACAACTATTTCTACAGATGACTGTCAATTTACGGTCAGTGTTATTATTCTCAAAAACGATTCTCTCATTTGTTTTAAACGGGCATCACTGCTCTTCATCTTTGCATGCTTTTCCTTCGGAACAATACCCAATACAATGCAGTTTTCATGAGTTAACCGATATCATGAATACTATTTTTATATGCCCAAATTAAATGGGAGGCGTATATTGTCACCCATGTCAGTCCACAATTGCAGATTTGGAGAACTTGGTAATATTTTACAGTATCGCCTCAAAGTTCAAAAGTATGTCTGAAGGTTGAATATTTCATACTGTTAATTGTTACTGTACTGCAAAATGTTTTCATTTAAAATCAAAGCTGCCGGGCTTTTTCTCTCTATACATTTCCACGGTAAATCGGGTTATGCACATTTAAACCTGGTTATAGCACAACTAAGCACCTCCCGTTTATACAACAAAAGGTGTAAAGATTTTTTTTTTTTCTTATACACTCTTTGTGAAGTTTAATGGCATATTTCAGAATCGAGATAAAAGTTCCATATACACAGCCGATGTGAGTGTGGCTTACGGGTTAGTCGGTAGCACTATTCAACAATCTCCTCAATTCTACACTCTGACCTGTACATTCGATCAAAATGGTAAAGAGGAAACTGAAGCTGTAACTGTCGTAAGAGGATTTTATGCTCCAGTTGAATTACGAGTTGATGCTGGAGCGAAGGCTGCATCCATTATAGCATTGGATGTTTACAATGTACGAGATGAGGTCGTCACCGGGGACATCATTAGAGGGTGCAAGGTTTATATTGGAGCTACTACCGATGCAACCGGTAGGTTGACTTGTTCATTTAAAATATCCCTTTTATCAATATGGATTTTCTCCTTCATTGCAAACTTAAAACCAAACTACATCCTTTATTCTGACCAATACTGATTTGAAATTACCTTCCAACTTGATTTTAAACTTTTTAAAATTTCTGTTGCAGATTCTGAAGTTGGATTGAGACCAACCGCCTGTGATGCTATTAATCCGTCCACCAGCCAAAGACTACCTATATTAAGAGCCGGGTGAATATCTTTATTTTAAACGGGTATATTACGAATTAACATGACAAATAGTTTTCTCGTTTTTTCTTGGTAACTTAAATTACCACAGTATTCTGAATTTTAATATGAACCCATTTGCTGTTTACAGATGTGGTACTGGTTTAATTCTTCCCAAGGACTCTGGATTTACCACAGATGGTTTATCTACACAGAGCCCTTATTTTGAAGCCATCGAATTTGAAGATGAAGCCAAGATACAATTTGAATGTGTATTTACTCTTTGTGAAAGTAACTGCGATGGGGTAAGCTAAAGAATTCTGTGGGTAACACTCTGATATTAAATGTCTGTTACTTCATAGTCGGAACGTCGGTATCGCCCTACTCCATGCAGATTCAAGCAGAGGGTGGTTTTTTTTTTTTTTTTTTTTTACAACAACCGATGTTAGCCTTGTCGGTCCTAGTCTGAAATGGCTGCCTCTAGTCTGAGCCATTGAGAAAATATCAATGAATTTAAATGTAGGTACTTAAAAGGAAATCAACACAATGCTCTCAAGAGCTACCGCAATCTAACACCCTAAAATATTATTTTCAGGATTCTTGTTCCATAGCCAGCAAAAAGAAGAGATCAGCAGGTAATCATTTCTAACTTTCATTGAATTCTAACTTTTAAACAATTTACACATCAGTTTAGTCGAGATTATTGCCTTGTTTCTTTAAAGAAACTTGGTGACCATTCTGTCTTCCGTAGTTCGAAAGTGAAGCTGAAAACAACGCTGTATGATCCGTCGCCCAACTTGTATGTATTTAGGCCTAATCCGTTTTTGCCGTGTACAATAAATACTATAACCATTTTTAACTCCATAGTTATACTACCTTGTTTTCTTTCAGTTGAGAATTTCCTGGGTGCAGTTGTTCGTTCCAAACCATCCAATATTAAACCACTTGTACTTTGAAAATAAATTAGTTTTAATATTTTATTTTATTACTCACCCAATACGCATCTGCTTTCTAACGTGAAGTGTTAGAGGAAAGTCTTTGATCTGATTTATAAACCTATGAGTATTTTGCTGGGCTGCAACTTGTCCAAGAATCGTTTCAACCAGTGAGCTAGACTTGAGACTTCGAAACTGACTTTTGACATACTATCGTTTTTCTCTTTTTTCAAGAGGTTCTGAAGTCGGCGACCATTGAATAAGATTTTATATTTGTTAAACCTGTGATAAATAACCCCGGGGTTAAAATGAAATGTCCCGGAGATTTTTGAATAGTGAGGATTCAATCGGAGATCATCTGATAACAATTGTATGCTTCTCTGTTGCATTCATTAGTATATTCTCGGATTCAAAGCGGTCGGGTTCCGAATGAGAGGTATTCTCATCTCGATGACACTAAATACGTGACTAAAGAGTCATGGATTTTGGATGTTATTTGTATACGTGAGACATCTTTATTAGAACTTTTTTTTTTTTTTTTTATGGAATGTACAATGAAATATATAAAGGGGCTGACACCTAGACTTCTGTTTTTTTTTTTTTTCGTCGCAGCTGTGTATTGACTGGATGATAGAGGCTGCATCGGTTTAGTCTTTTTTACCTTTACATGGTAGATGTACGTGAACGCCAATTTTTAGCAGCAAGATTGCGCAATGATTGTCTTATATTTAATTTTGCAGAAACGGCTGGTCTCTGCATTATCCAGGACAACTTTTCTCTCTTTTTATTGAGATTTTTAATTTGTCTGTATAAGGAATGGAATGCTTCTTCTACAAGTTCCACATCCTCACTGGCAGAAACTTCACACATGAAAGAATTGTGGTCTAAAGTCCACTCCTCACACTCCTGTAGTGTGACTTGTCTCATGTGAATAAGATCACATTTATTACCAACAAGTAAGATTGGAATTCTGTCATCACCTCTCTCCAGTCTAAGATTACCCACCAGTTCTTGTACGGTTATAAAACTTTCTCTATCTGTTACAGAATACACCAACAAGAAACCATCAGCCCAAACTATTGGGTTTTCTTTGCGTACGTCAATCTTTTTGGGCTGAAATCGAAAATAACTACATTTTGCTATATGTTGCATATTATAAAGCATAAGAAAATACAGATTTATCATGTAAATTTTGCAGTCTAATTAGTCTCTGACAACCAGACGTTCTGTGCCAATCTTCGCACCTTTGCGTAGTTAAGTTGGACAGGATGCCAGAGGCTACAGTCTAAAGCGATCGATAAATTGACTAATTCACTAATGCCCCGCCTCTGTGTTCGTATAAAAGAAATCAAAGTATTGACATTGTTTGTAATAGGCCTACTGTAATATTTCCATGAATTTTACCTTTCAAGGGAAGTAATTCGTGTTGAATTTTTTTTGGTAACAAATTGAAAACAATTATAGTAGGTCACAATATTTTTAAACGTTAGTTGTTGCTGCCTTGAAACTTTTCCATTTGCGTCGACCCAATCGATCACAGTTGTTAGTAGTTGATTATTGTTCGATTGTGGCGGTTACGACGAAATGCTCTTAGTCGATCTTTAAGGCAAATGTCTTTATAATGAAAGCAACAACGTCTCAAAAGTAAAAGAGCACTTACATTGTCATTCCATACTGTATCCATTATATGAATGGCGACCTGCTTACCATCTATAACTGTATTATGTTTAAATATACCATCTAAAAGGATAGAAACCGTCTTATTCCTTGACACTCACTTATGGAATGCAGTGATCAGACCCGTAACCAGCCCAATGTGCCATGGGGTGGGGTGGGGGTAGGCAATAGCTGATAAAGATTGAATATAGTTCCAGGGGTGGGTACTCCTCCCCATAGTTTGGGGAATTGCAGATTTCATTTTTCGATACTGAATCAGCGCCATTGACAGAAAGACTAGGTTATACATTACGTTTTATGGTTTATAGACTTTCTGCTAAGGTCAGATTTTTGCGATAAGGCCCCTACCCAATTATGCTAGGCTATTAGACTTTTTCCGTAGGCCTAACTGTAACAGCTTGACATTGTGAAGATGCCTTATATGGATTCTAAACGTTTGAATCTCGCTAAGCACTCAAAAATACACGTGAAAGATCCATCATATCAAAAGTTTATATTGTTCTTCTCTGTAAAGTCGTTTTATTGTATTAATATCTAAAGTCTCACTTGGCCTACATCACATCATCTCATAAATGGTTGTCATTATATCTACCTATCGCAAACAGCTAGATATAGATTTATTGTGGGTAAATCCAACTTTAATGTATGTAGGCTATAGGCCTAGTAATATACTTACTCATTTCAGGATCATAATCACCAATAAATCTTCTTGTCAAATATCGTACTATTAAAGCTGCAATTATAACCAAATTAAAAATTATCCGTATTTTTTAATCTTATGTTTGATAGATTGTTAGGAATTTGTATGTAAGGGCCCAACTAAGACACCTTTATAGTTAGTGAATGTCATTTCATAATATTTACTAGAAAAAGCGCCAAACCAAAATATAAAGTTCAAGGGAGACAATATTTTATAAATTACAAAAAAAAAATCTCTAAATTTGAAGGGAGACAATTCTGTACAATTATTTATACCTATTATTTTGTGCTAGTTTCTATTTACCTATAAGTATTTTCCTAGAAATGATAGACCTACTCATTGGTTGTCATTGTGTAACTTGAACTTAAAACTTTGTTTTAAATAGGTTAGTCCGAAAAAACAGTCCTTACAAACCCCAGGCTCTTCTTCGGCTGATCGCGCAAGAAATTTACAACGACAGCTTTATGCATGATAAAATGACTTGAAGGACACAAAGACTTTTTATGATTTTTTTCCAAATCAACTCTGTTGATATATGATAAAATGTCCTCAAAATCTAACGAAGATACAGTTTCTCAGATTACAAAACGTTTGACGAACTTGTAAATAAAACACTTAATTCTGACCTTTAGTTATATTTTAATTGATTTCCGATAATAAGTTATAATTTCATTCTCCTTATCGTACATCCGTCTATCAAAGTCAGTTGATGTCAACATGCTACACTAGCTAATCCTCAGTTCACTTTCCTTTGAATGTGTAGAAGCAGTTATATGTGATATGTTATTTACCAATAGGCCTACTTTAAGCGATGTTAATAGCACTAAAAGGGGCATAAAGACCAATTCAATCTAAGGAAGAAACAAAACTGTTCCGAACATGCCACATGCCAAAGTTCATAAATCTTAAAATGACGACTCGTTATTTCAAGATGCTCTCTGATATAAAAGAAAAGAAATAGTGCGTAAAATTCCCAGATTGAAGTATTTTTAAAGGAATTATGGGATTCTCTCATATTTCAGTACTTCTGAAGACTATTTACATATATTCAAGGTTAAAATCACCCATGGTCATTACAATAAGCTCCTGTTGATTAAGACGATGTAGCATGATGAAAAATACGATAACGTAATATTTTATATGGTCTCATGGAATGAAAGCCAACCAAAATAAATAATAAGTTAAATTGTTTATTTGAATCACATGTTTATACTATTGTTTATTGTGGTTGCCTATTATGTTAGTTATTTTAATACAATTTAATTCTTGAAGGTTATGTCAAATGCATTCAAATGCGCAAAAACACATTCCAGGGAATATGGACAAAGGTATGTAAGCGAATCATTTAATAACCCATGATATCAGACGAACCCAATACAAATATACAATACTAAATAGTTTCGTAAAGAAGTCCTTTACCCGAGTATGACCTAATAGCGTTCGAAAGGCGAAAAAGGTGAGAGAGAAGAAAAACTAAGTTTCTAGGTGTTGGTATTTGTCAAGGTCATCGATGACCAAAGAGTAACCTACCATCAGTACACTAATATACTTCAGGAGCTCAGACTTATTAAGATTAAGATTTATCTAACTAACATGCTTTGATAATCTGGATGTATGCTTGGTTCGATCTATAAGTATATAGACTTGTTCATCCATATTCCGTTAAGTCATGATTATATAGTTTTACAAAACACAAAGTATTTTTAGATTCCTAGACTCTGTCTCAAAGATTACGGAACCCCGGGTAAGTGTTTGTACAGCTGAATGGGTTATTGCAGTAAGATTACATCACCTCTATATTTCTGAATCAAATATGTTATATCAGGTGTCTGTATTCCTTTTCTATCAACTGACTAGACAGAAACACAGTTGAACAAATGGCAGGCAAAGAGAATTTTTATCAATCAATGTTTACAATATCTCTAGGTGTCTTCTGATATCACTAGCATTTGATGTTAAAGTATTTCTGATTTCCAGATTCGTTTTTCATAAGAACTGAAGCATTGCTCACTTTTTTCACATATAAAGAATGTTTTGCAGATGTTGCAGGGTAAGTGTGTATCTAGACATGTATTAGTAAAGTTATGAGCGCGGGTACCAGAAATTTAATGTGGCAGATATGCGGTTACAGTTACAGCCACCAACATCTTAACACAAATGCTTGTGTATTTCCCTTGAGAGTCAAGGGTCCAAGTTTGCCAGTTACAGACCAGGATAGACACTACATACAACACTACTATAGTTTTTTTTAAAAAAAGACGAGATGATTTACAAGATGTAGCTTCGCTCCCAGATAGTCGCTATTTCTGTATTACCATTTTGGTTAATTTGAAGAATGAACTGTATAGGAACAAGAACACTAATTAGCCTATATCCCTGGGTCATACACAACTTATTCTGGAAATAGACTGTATCCTGACAGTGAAGTCCGTGACAGGGTGTTAAACACCGCAGTCGAGATTGGAAATTGAATCCATTGAATGCAAAGAAACCTCACATTAACTTGATCTGTTGACCGACTTACTATTTTAGTTTTATTGAGGTTGACAAGTGGTGAAGAAACATTGATTTCTTATTTTAACAAAGTCTGATTAGATGCTGCCACTTCTTGAATAAAATAGAAATTGCTTTACAATTGGGTAAACGAACTATTTTTCTGTAGGGGAGTATCCAAACAAGAACCAGCACTGCACACAAGTAGACCTTTAGTACATTGTAAATATCAAAGTAAACCAATACACTTATCAAAAACACCATTATAAATCCATAATCACAGAAATATATTTAGAAAGTGACTTTGTACGATAGCCAACAATTTTCGGTAATATGTTTCTAATAGGACGGGAGAGCTAGTCAATGGTCTTTTATTTTAGTTTGAATAATGAATACCACTGTTATTATGGTACTATACATGCCAGGAATATCTGGTAATCTTAGACTTTATTAGTCTAGAGAACTATATTCTTCCACAATCATTATATACCTAGAAACCTTTAAAATCTGTTGGTTATTCATGTCCTATGTCGTCTAATGCAGATGGGGTTGATGGGTTATCAATGCATTGTGGTGGCTATCCGGTGGGTTGTTGAATTTGTTGATGCTATTTATAAATTTTGGATTTTTGGATTTTTGGGCCTCCGAACAATCAAGTCTGGCTACGGGCCTGTTTTGGATTTTCAAATCTGTTTTGTTTCTCTCACACACTATAAACTTCATCTAATCATAATCCTAGTTTAGTGTTTAGAACTAATTGGCCTAAACGTATAAACGAAGCTATCTGTTGCTGCCAATGAAGTTTTGCATCAACAATAGTAAGAACGACTTTTCAATTAACTTGTGTATAGTGCCCGAAGAACAATTAGATTCGATGTTGAGTATACAATTAGGTCAAATGTGAATGATGTATTATGTTATCTGAAATCTAAATTATTCTCAGTATGATGTTCCTTATCTCATCACAAAAACAGGTCATTCAGTCAAAATAAGATTTGACCTACTATGAAATCTTTTTTCTGGGGACTCTAGAGAGAATCTGTCCAAGATCAGAGCATCAGAGCAATGAAACTAAGAAAAATCATGAAAGAAAGGAGGGGATGTCCTAAGACTGCGACAGCCAGAAAACAAACTGGTTTTCATTCATGAAGCAGAAAATCATACAGGATTAATACACACCAATTGCGATTAAATTTGCAGACCTCAAATGTCTAATTTCAATGATTTTTCGGTTATTGTACATTAAATAATTATAAATATATAAAATAAAATAATAAAATCCTTTTCAGCATTCCGGTAAGAAATGATTATGGCTACCATCTTTCAGAATGAGATACCGTACAGGTCCTTTACAAAAATTTATTAATTTCCACTTTAATTCCAAAACCCGAGGATGTGACGACAACTGAATTTAACCAGAAAACCGAAGTCATTGGAGGCATAAATTCCATCATGTACGATAACTGGCATGATTGTGCTACAGATATAGCCTTAAGGAAGCATTATCAATCGTCTGTACATGCAAAAAATACATATAGAAAATAATTACCTGATTTCCCAACACCTTTCTTGCCTAAAACAGCAATATTGACATCTTTATTACCATTACAATATCTAGGATGGGATTTATCATCCATAGTAATGTAGGAATGCTCTAAATAACAGCTTAATTTCAAGTTTCTAGTACGTACAGCACTTCTTGCAAGTCAGATATTACCAAATAATCATTATCAGCAATATGTGGACTTTCGAAAGGTCTGCCGAGTTGACAAATCCAGTCATGAAGTGGTCACACCTTCTGTAGAGCACCTCTGTTTAGTTAATCACTTTAAGAACAGTAGCCTACTCTTAACTATCGTACATCACTTCTGTATAGCTCTATATCACATTGTTCTTCTGTTAATCAACTTGAATTCTATGAGTTGAGATTATTCACAAACCTTTAATTATAGCTCTAATAGTAAGCAATTGTCTAAAATCAATAAAATTCTCTGGTTCTGTCAAGTAGCTTAGGGTAAGTGATGAAGTTTTAATAACACGATTTATCTGTGCTCACTAGATTACAGTCCACATTGCAGTCCAATGATATAGAGTAATTTCACATCTACCCATTATACAAAATTACATTCATAGGCCTACTGAGGATTGTGTTGGGATATTCGATGCTTATTAGGCACTATCTTTATCCAGAAACACCACATTTTAGATGTAATCCAAGGTAGTTTTTGCTGAAAAGCTGTAGCACGATCTTTAATATTCATGTAATTTGTATATAAACACATACAATACCACTACATACTTTTAATTACCAACCATTATCACGTCTCTTTTCAGAATAAAACTCAGTAACAATTCAGAAGCACCACAATTCAGACTTTATCCAGACTCTTACGACACAGTATTTATGGTGTGATACATAACAATTATATACACTTGCAGAATAATTACTACAATCACTTACATATTTTATTTTAATTACTAGTTAAGTTTCCAGTATAAAATCACTATATAGTGTAATCTACAGTTTTATATAGAAGAGCTGTATACCAGTCTATATATCTTACATCATTGTTCTATCTATGCGATCTAACAATAATTATTCTTTAACTTGTGTTTATTATTCCTTCTTCATCTATTTACAGAATCAAAGCAAAATGATAGTGTTTTGCCACAAGTTTCATGGTAGAATAGGTACTAATTTCGTCTTGATGACAGGTAATAAGAGCTGTGTGTTTATTTTATTGTGTACGAAACGTACGTCAAATTTTCAAAATGAAATGTGATACGTATAGCCAAACCCTGTATCTTTTTAAAGGTAAGTTGATAGATAATAGCCAGATAATAAAATGGTAAATAAACATACAATTCCATGCATCATCCCGACACAGGTTATACAAATAAACACAACTTATTTTAGTTAAGGCTGATTACCTGTATTGACTTGAACCATCATTTATAGGTATACCTGTGTACAAACTTTACAACTAATACTATATAGTGAAGGCACTATTATTATTATCACTCTACTAACAACCATGGATAAACTTCTTCGATATTTTGATATGTTTTTCCACTTAGCTGTAAAGAATATAAAGTATTCGGGTTACTTTTATGTTTCAAGTCGGACAGATCAACGTTTTCGCATTTTAACCACAATGGCAACTATACAGTGTTGTTCAAATCCACAAGGAAACCTTATGCGCTTGTTATAATATGAGAAACACGGGGTATTTGTGATAATAATACCATAATTTGATCAAGTTATTCTAAAATTACTGAGACTTTGAACAGGCAATATAGGAATAGTGCAAATAAATACGCATGCGAAGTGGTTGGTTGGTAGATGACAAGTTAACGTTCACTTCCAGCGGATATTGATATCGCAAACTAGGTAGTTGTTGGTAGTCGTAGTAGTTGGTAGTTGGATTAGTTCAAATTGGATGATTCTGTGTTGTTGGTTTGGTTGTTGATAATTCGTTAGATCTGGTTGGGTCGAATGACATGGCGGAGAAACTCGGCCCTGGATGGTGTGGCGCGAGTTACTCGATCTCCTTCATTCTTCCAAATTCGTTCTGATCATGGTAAGTCTTGTTGATTGGTGGCAAGCGAAGTGTCTCCCATGCACTTAAATAGACTAGAATACCTTTTTTGAATCCCTTTCGCGCCAATACAAAGTGATGATGGACTTGATGATAATGTGTGCGTTTGGACCTTGGCTCAAAATCTTGAAACAAAATATGTTAAAGGGACGAGTTTGCCATATTGGGGAATGATTTGAGTCTTGGAAATAGCAAATAGTTTTCAGAAGTACTAGAAATATACGAAAAGCCCAAAAATCGCGTATCTGTCCCTTTAACAATGATCAATAGCCGTGATCAGAGGAGGAAAAAGTCTTGTCCTTTTGCCATAAAAAGACATTGCTATAAATCAGTTGAATAAAAACTAGAGATTTAGAGTTATATAATAAATTGTAACTGACATTAATGACTACTTTGTTCTATTTTATTCACTAAAATATAGTCTATAGGGAATAGTTTTATTCAATCGACAAAATCAATCAAAGTCGTAAATTCTATCTCTTCACTTATCATTTATAAAACCATATTTTAAGCTGTAATATTTAGCTTTTCTATAGAAGGATTCAAGAACAAAATGGTGAAGAACTCAAAAAAGGCATAGTAAAAAACGAAATCAACATTTCCATCCTGCAACCCCAATTAATAGTATCTGAAAATCAATAAAATTCTGTTATGATGTGAAATAAATAATCTGTATTGCTTAAAGGTATGATAAAGTACATAATATTCGGTTTGTCTAGCCAGATACAGAATAATCGAACCTTACAGCCACAGGTTAATTAAATATTCATTAAATGGTTTAAATTCAGCGCTTATATCGAAGCAATTACCAATATTATACACAATTATTTCGATCAAACTGGATGGTCGTAGATTCGCTCAAATCGACAACTTATTATTGCTAGAATGTAAAATATAAGCAGCTGGTAACAAACGTGGGCAACTGCACTGTGCTGAACTGTGGTTTTATAGTTGAGCTCTCAACGATTGATCAAATTCTCCTGCCAGATGCCGCATGTGTTGTTAGTCATCGCAAGGTTGATCTGGTCTCATCTTTATCGCAGGTCGATGGTCGACTCGGTAATTGGTTGCGTTAATTACTTGTTGCAACATTTTCCATCAACTGGAATAGTTTCACGAACAAAATCCTCAGACCGGTGTCCAATTTTTTTGTGTCGTTTCCAGACTACTTGAAATATAATCCAACATAAATTCGGAGTAATGATACAAAATTGTGCCACTGTTACTTAGCCTACTGCGTGGACATATCATACGTATATAGTCAATGTTATAATTAGCCCTACCGGTTCCTCGGACGGGATAAAGGCCACCGGATGCCGATTTCCGATCCTTATATCACGTCCGAAAGGGTAGGGACAGATTTGTCGGCATGGTATAAGTCTTGAGCGGTAGCTTAGAGACAACAAAACATATCTATAGACATGCCGGTCTCTCAACTTGACACCATAGCCTTTATAGGAATTCCACACTCGTCAGGGTAACAAATATATATTTTGGGGAAAAAAATAGTTTGATATCTAGATGTTCATGTTTTAATAGCTAATTTCTCACAAACACTTGACAATGATAATACTTGACAATGATAATACTTGACAATGATAATACATGAGGTATAATGGCATAAAATTGAACACAATAAATTATCAACAATAACAAATAAATAAGATCACAGCCTTAACAATAATCACTTTCTTCATGAATAATTATAAGATCATTATATATGACTTAATTCATAAATTATTAAGTCTTTAAATGGCATTTAGTAATTGTGAATATGATATATAGACACAGCTTTATTGAACAACAATCACTGGTTAAAGTTTTAGGCAACGTTCCAACGTGTTTCCCTGTCATCTTTGAGGACGGCAGGGGGAACACGACGAAACGTTGCATAAAACTTTAATCGGTGATTGTTGTTCAATAAAGCTGTGTCTATATATAATAAATTATAGTGTTTGCACATGTATTAATATTGGTGATTCCTGTAATTCCAGACATTTTAGACATGAATCATATTGCTAGTCTAAGACAGTCCCTTTGGAATCCTTTTAAGGTCGTTAAAGGGCTTATTATCTCTTAACCACTAACAACCAAAATCCTATGATCACAAGGCATGTACCCTCAAATGAGTATCAACTATTTTTATGATTTTTAACTTGATTTATTCATTTCATCTTAAATAACTATTTATCAATTAAAGATATCTTGAGAATCAATAAATAAATAATAACAATTATTAACATTTTCTTTAACAAATATACAAATCAAGGCCCAGTTTCAATCATTACCAATCAATACTTGTGATTAGAGTTAAATATCATAAAGAAACAGGCCCAGACCAAATCTGTAACCTGAAACATTCATCAAATCATTTCTAATTTAAAAACTTAACAGAAAGACAAACTGGAACACTCATGGCCATTTACATGAAGACTGAAATGTTCTCAAGACATAAAGCCTTGAAATGAATTAATTTGTCATGTCTCTCTTTTCCTGAAAAATCAGATCCATGCTTTTATAGGAATACTGGTTCTTTTTTTGTCTTCACCAACAAATAAGCTACACATAAATATCATTTGTTTAACTTATTTTCACTTTAAAGCATTCATATGGTTTTCATCAATACATCCCACATTCATATCTTCTATTGGTGATCTATGATGGTGCTTATATAAAGATCTCATCACTACCTTACACAATCTGAACCAGTTTGAGAAATATCATTTAGCAACACACATCCTCATTTTACTGTTACTCATTCAACATCAGTTACTCCACATTCATCATATCTTTGCTTTGTTAACTGTTCCAAAGGACTCTGTGCTCAGTATCACACACCTTGCAACTCTGCAGAAAGCTTTTCACTATAGAAATCATTTTCCTGACACATTCTATTATTTTGAGTATTATCTAGATGTATATCAAACAAAGTTTTCATCACTATGTGAACACATTAAGAAAGAATCCATTAATCTAGGTTCTATAAGTTGTTGAACATCTAATGATTTTATACCTTCTTTACCACAACTAGTACACACTTTACGTAATGCTGCCTACAATATAGAAAAAAAGAACATGATTATTTATGGCACCTGTAATTTTTTTTTATAGTGAAAGGCAACTGAACTGATGAAATAAGTTCTAGGTCCAACTTTTCTGGGCATTGAACTTTTGAGATAAGCAATGTCATGGAAGGCTACTCTGCTCCAGCGATTGAAAGATCTTTAACATGTCATTGGGCCTCTACAAATTTGAAGAAAATCTGATCCTAGCTGAGAGACTTCACCTTTCAGGGCATCAGCTTAATGTATCAAACTAATATTTAACATCTACAAGTAATTTGATTAAGAACTTACCAAACTAGCTACTAACACAGCATCACTACCACAACGTTCATCTGGTTGACGACATAGTTCAACTAATCTAGGAATACCTGTAACAATATTGATGATAAAGTCATAAAAATACTATTGCATGCAATATCTAACAGACAATTGGCAAGAATGGATAGAAAAATTGTGCCGTAAACTTTGACAGTAGGTGAATGTCAATAAATATACACAATATCCTAGTGTTTTAGGCTCAATATGCAGGCAGGCAATCCAACAATCAAGGCCAATGGTCAAGGACAATTTGGTACACTTAAATAATAGATGTTTCATCTATAACTATTTAATATTTGTTGTTACAAATCGATATGATCTTACCATTACTATCAGCTATAGCTTGAGCATTCTTCTCTTCTCTACATAACCTAGTGAGAGCTATAGCAGCTTTCTGTAGAACTCTCTCACATGCTGCTAGTTCTGCTTCAGTATGATAGTTAGTAGGGGATATAGATAATAAATCAACCAATAAACATACACCACCAGGTTCACTAATACAACCATGATACTCATCAATAGCTGCCATATTGGCTAGAATAGTAGCAATCTATAATAGAAGATAATAAAAAATAAAACCTTTAACACCACAAGCTCCATAAGAAAAGTAATAACCAATATTCTTTGTAACTTCACCTAAAGATTCTTCTAAAAAAATCTTTCCAATAAATATCACGCCTTTGTATCTTTCAAGAATCATCTGATAAAATTTATTTTCAAATAATAGATATATCTATGCTCACGGGCAACAAAATATAAAAGATTAATTACCTGGTCCTTGGCAAACAATGTTTGAGCTTTATCAGTTGAGGTAGATAAAATAAATATTTCAGCAGCACTAATACTGGCTAGAACATCACAAGCCATAGAATCTATAAATGTTAAATTAGCAATGGCTGCCGAGGCCAGCAGAAACATTTCTTGACTCTCTGTTTCACAACATAATCCTAAAATAACAACAGTCATATTTTAGCGAAACAATCTTATATCCAACTATGTATTTGCTAATTTAGTTTTTTTTTTGTTTTCAAGGGATATATTAATAAATCACTGAAATGTGAAACGTGATAGTTATTTTCTAGATGGTTATACATTTAAATTGAAAAGTTGTGGTTTATTGTGGTCACATATTGAAGGTGACTGCTTAGTAAAGATGTTCGTCTGAGCAGGATTCACTGTATATATTCATGGTAATAAAACTTATGTACTTATTTCATTCTTCTAGTATACAGTGATATTAAAGGCATGGTAACTCTTAGCTAAACATTAAATGGATGTAGTCTAACTCCATGGCTGCCTGGCTACCATCAAATCCATCAATGTTCTAATAATAATAATAAAATCAACTTACTAATAAGAGAGTGTATTAAATGTTGTAAATTATCAATTAATTCACCAATAAAATAATTATGTTCTATAGCAGGGGAGGTAATCTGAGCTAAAACACCTGCAGCTTCTCCTTTTAAATTTTCTGATGCTGTTTCATCACATAATATATCTAATAATAAACTTAACCCTTTCTCCTGAAATATACAAAAATAACAAATAATGAAACCAATATTTAAGATTATCTTGAACGATGCATGTAAATAGAAGAGGAATACAATGTGGGAACTTCAATGCAAAATATCTATTTCAAACACTCAAACAGCTCTCTTTTTTATCAATTTAATTACAACTCTTGCAAATTCCCTACTACCATTCAGCTATACCCAAACAAATAACTGACAACTGGTGCATTAGATATTTAGTTATAGCATTAAATACTGGAAACATACAAATTTTGAATTTAAATACAACACCAATAAACAATTCAAGTGGATGGCCCATTCAGCAATGGCAACATGATGGGAAAAAAATAAAGATTTAATTTTGTGTACCTTTTCTAGTTCAGCTATAACATCTGGTAAACAGCTTAATGAAGATAAAGCTCGTAAGGCCTGTATATGGGCAAACTTGACTGGATTACTACGACAAATAGTTAATAATGACTTCACACCACCAGCCTATATAAATCAGAAAGTAGAAAAATATATAATACTTTACTAAGTATACAATTGATCAGACAACTTGATGACCAAATTTGGCATTATTGCCACCATAATTGTAAGACCACAAATAGTTCTTGAATCTAAGTATAACAAACTGATAAACTTTAATAAATGAAAAGAATAACATTAAATTGTGTTAAATTGAGTCAGAAGAGTGATCACAACTAACAAATTTCACACATTTTTGGCCTTCAGAATTAGTGTTTGATAGAATACAATTTCTTTTCCAAGATTTTTTAACTTTTTGTTTTTGTAATATCGTCCATTAAGAAAAATTTAACAGGAAGAATTGTAAAAGATAAAGAATGTATACTGACCTGTGTTATTAACAAACACCAATGTTCACCCTCTACAGCTAAATTAATAATATTAGTTATAGAATTCTGTATATATACTGCACTATTGTCTTCTACTTGTAAATCTTCTATCATTAACTATAATATAAGATCAATGTATGACAATATTACTATTGTATTGATGTGTATACCAGTAAGTTAGTATACAGCATAGCCAATTTGCATAATAATTCTATTGCTATATATAGCTGTGATGTAGACAAGGTAGCAATTGTTGATGTAGTTTCAGACGTATATTAAAATAGGTAGACTTCTTGTTCAGGCTTTAAAAATGGCTACAGTCAGCATAAATATCTATTTGATTATCTATACATGAACTATATTATAATTTAATTAGATATCATTACTCATAAAAGAACACATTCAATCTCAAACATAAGCAGACTATATGAGGTCTTAAACAAGGTCAGCATCCTCAGGCAAGCCAGAACTACTCAATTTGTGGGCTTGCCAATGTAAGAGTTAAGTCGGAATGTGTACAGTTGTCCTATATTAAATATTTTTCACAGTATATGTCAAATCAGCCCAGAGAAAAACATCATTAGATAGTCAATACAGACATCATTATAACAAACAAACTATATACTTCAACATACCTGTATTAAATGTGTAATAATTAAATCAATAAGATGGGTGAATGATTCTTCTAAACAGGTCAACTGATTGGTAAAAGGAGCCTTGGAATGTTTGGAACTGAAACTATCACAAAAATAATAATGTCAAGAAAAATCAATTTGAATATTTGCATAAACAATGTGCCAAATACAGCTCATTAAGTAAGTGATTTCAAAGTATGCTAATCAATACCACTGTGTTATAAATAAAGTTTTGTTATTATCAAATAATTTGTTTCAGATCTGCAAACAAAACATAGAGATATAAAGTATATAAAGAGTATATCACATACTAATCAATAATTATAACTGTTATCATCATTCTTACCTTTCAACTTTCTGAGCTAATTTAGCACATTCACCTATCACTTGCTCTTGTTGCTGCAATAAAATAACAAAAATGTTTGCTTTTTTATGAGAAAACTATCATTCTTATTTGTAGTAGTTGTCTATATTTGAGATTATTGCAATGGACAACAAGCAAAAATGGACTGCCACAATAATATATAATGTGACATGGTCCAGCAGAGTATTTAACAACTCAATGGTCAGCAATAGATAGATAGCAAGTAATTTTACTCACCTGTATAACACATAGTGGACATTGTGGAATATTCTCATTTATAGAATGTATTAATGTTCTTATCTGACAGGTCACATGACTTCCCGAACTTTTTAATTCTTCCCATTTCTCTTCTTCAATACACCTTAAAAATTGAAAAATCAGCAATCTTATTGGTATAAAGGTACATAGTAAAAATACAGCTTATAATTTTTCCTCAAAAGGTAGTAATAAACTCTTTATTAAACATATGAAATTATATGGAACCATGAAAGACTTTTTGAATAGACAATTAGACAACATATGTCCACATAATACACAATTGACAATTAATACTCTATTCAACATAATCATCTTCAACGAGATTAACGCACATAGTGGTCAAATATTTTCATAAACCAACAAGAGTTATTTGTTGAAAAAACACTAAATATATGAAGGTAGAAATACTTACTTAAATAAATTTTCAAACTGGTTGGAGACTGTAATGGCTTGTGTCTGTATGTTTAATAAACCATCTGAAATATCAATAATACATGATATCAAATTCTGTAATTTTTCATGTTAGCTTATTGATCAAAACTAGAATTTCATTAAAATGTCAAAATCGCACACTTATATATCATTTCCTCTGGTAGGAAACTTTCTTTGGTCTATAGAAATCCTGCCCACCATGTGTAATAAAATACATAATATGGAATTTCAATGATGGCATTTCTAGCACAAGCCTTCATTTAATTTATATCTTATTCCTCTGGCTACAAATGTTAGTAAATTTTATTGTTGCATTAATAGGATAGCCCATATCATGATTGAAGAATAACATTTTCTAGAGGGGAGGTAAAACTAGCTTAAACTATTTTGAAATTAAGACATGCAACTGAGAATATTTGAATTTATAAAAAAGATTAACAGACTGCGACTAAAACACTTAATCTTAATCCCAGATTATCTGTAATCTATCAATAATCCTGTCTATATCATTAAACAGTTAGTAACTAATCTCTTTAACTATTTAGATATATAAACCACAAAAATGATGGCAATGTTTTGGACTGCATCATTTAGTTATAAAACATCATGTTTAATATTTGATATTCTCTGCTGTAAATCATATAACTATATGATATTCCATTGCTGATCATTTTCACAATACAAATATCCTAATGTAGATATTGTAAAATTCATTCCTTGTTATGTATGTACGTCAAGTAGGCCTACATTGTTTATTTCTGTACATTAAGTATATACATTATTTTTATTTATAGTCGTGCGGAACCGGAAAACGGAGTACCGGCGTACCGGATGAACGGTTACTCTTACATAAAAATTCTGTTACCAGTAAAAAGCGTGCGAATATCAGGGTTTCCAGATTATCGGCAACTGGATAAATGCAGCTCCACTGTATCTTGGTGACAGTAAAATCTAAAATATTAAATAAAAGTAATACCTTTCCAGTTGACTGTAGGAGATTTAGTAGGTCTATCATCATTATTTTTATTTGTTAAAGGTTTTCCTTGTAAAACACTCATACATTCTGTTTCAGTTCTATCTTCTAGATCAAATAACCACTGTTGAACTGAATCAAACTCCATCATTATCAAAACAAATAGTCTAGTTTAATATCTGAAAATATCACAAACATAACATTTGTGTAAATCATTATGTCTTCTTCTACAAGCTATTTTTTTTAAAAACTCTATCCAGACAATATTTTCCAAAATATACTTAACAGTTGCAAGATGAAGAGTCAGTGATATTGACACAACAAAATCTTTTTATCTAAATCAAGATTTTTTTTTTATCTGTATGAAAACTTATTTTTGAATAAAGCAAAATCGAAATTCAGTAATCAAACTTACTGATAAGTAATTATTCATTATGAAAATGTTTTCAACAAAGCTTCCAGAGGAGGAATTTGCTATCCTTTTCACAAATGCTGTAGTTCTGATTAAATGTTAAAAATAACTTTCCCTTATTGCAGTAACTTATATTCCTTTTACAGAAGTTTAATGAATATAAAAATTCCTATTTACCTTTATAGGTATGATAGTTGATATATATTATTCCCTATTCCATATTTTGGTAGTTAACTAGTCCTCATTTGTTAATAGTAGAAAGCTGTCTGTAACTGTACATGGGCTTCTGATAAATACCAAGTTAATGTAGAGTTAAGAATATGTAAGAGCCAATTATGAAGTTTGTAGTTCAATGTGTACTGTGTTAAACTGTTGACAATAAATCCATACTTAATCCTTAATCAATCTAACATGGCAACTCTAGTTTAATCTAAATCAATGTCTAGTTTAAATATAAAGAATTTCTATTGGACACTTGCCATTTATTTGTTTAATTTTTAAATCCTCTCAGTACTAATCCAGGAGTAAATAACTTGGCCAACAATACCAGTATTGATCTGTTTAAAACTTTCTATCCTTCAATAAAATGTCTACCCTACTTTCATTAGTGTTTGACAAACATTTTACCAAAGAAAAATGGATAAATTTAGATTTAATGCTTACTCTTGTTTCGATATAATATAGATCTCTGATACACTACATTACAACTCAGCTCTATTAATCTGCAAGATCACTCAACAATTGTTGTTATTTATATCAATTTTGAGAATTATGTAGTGTTGTTTGTCAGATATATTATTCTCTTCTGAGGGATTATCTTTTTCTCTGCATAGCAGTAATATCTAGGGTATATGCATCACACCAAATTTCACCTTTTATTTTGGTAATCAAATTAATTAAGTGCAACAATAAAAATCTTACTGATTCTTGGTGTAAGATGGTGTGATTTGCCTTCAGAGTATATTGTAGGCCTACAAATATCATCACCATGGATATGGTCATTAATATTGTCATTTGTACCAATATGCCTATGCCTTTAATTTTTATATCCTTCCTGTGCGTTAATAATGGTGTTTACACCATAGTGTATGTGTATGCAGTATACAGATACTGAGATAAGACAACTAAAATGTCTGACATATCATTACATCTGTATTTGTTAAATTGACCGTGATTACTTACTGTTCGGAGGTGAATTTGCATGAGGATCATGTTTAATCCAACATCATTTTTGTTTTAGAGATTTAAACTGTTATGTTTTTATTGATGATTGAGGGAGCTTTACCGGAAGTAACATTGTACTAAATAAGTATCGTACAATATTATAAATTTCTTTAAAAAGAAAACAAAGTAATGTAATAACAAGAGTTCTTTCCCTTGAATCTGAATATTGATGATTTCCTTAACCATGCAGTATAAAGCTTTAGAAAGCACATAATTAAAAAAACCAAATCATGTTCCTTTAGCAAGGGTAAATATTTTCCTTATTTAACATGAACAATATTTGCTAAAGGAACATGAAACCACATTCTCCAAAAAAGGGACTCTTTTAGTTGACAAGCCCAACTGCAGAAAGAAGGGAGTTAGGTTCAAGAGGGATGAACTTTGGTTACCAAAATAATGATGATTTGTTCTAAGATATCTCCAACTGTTGTTTCATTCATGAATATTCTAATATTTGATTTAGATGATTGCAGTTTGCTGACTGTTTTTTTTTATTTGCTGAGGTTTTTTAACAGGTTTACAGAAGTCATTTTCTGGCTATGTTATCTTCTACAAGCAAAGCATCATCTGACTTGCTATCCACTAAGCATCCCAATCATTTTGATTCTGCTCTAAATCAATATATTCTGTTCATTTCATAACACCCTATATAGATAATATATATTTATTTTTTGCAGCTGTTACAGTTACAGATATTGCATAACAGTTAACAGCAATCAAACAGCCTATAAGTTCATTTGAAAGCATCTAAATCTTTCAAAAAATCACCTTTGAATAATCTATTCTCCCATTTTAAGGCCATAGTGAACCCACAACCAATTTAAGGAAAGATAAAGACAAGCAAAAATTAATGAATATATTACAAGTCTCTCTTAGCCCTATACAGGCATTAACATACAATGGTTTAAGAAATTTCAAAACAAGCTTTGAAATAAAACTGTTTTAAAATATTCTTAACTAATATCTGGTGTCCATGACAACAGTTATGAATATAATACTCTCTATGTACAATATGATAATAATAATTATAATAGAGTGACTAGGCAATGGTAGGTTGATTGCTATTTTTTTCTGATCATAATTTTTTCAAATTCAAACCTATCCTATAAATAAATTAGAAGTTTACCATAATAAAATAACATAAAATCTTATATTTGATATTTAACTTTAAATATTACCAATGCTCTGCATTGATTAATCATTTTATATTAAATTTCATTAGAAATACATAAATAAATAAATAAAAGATTACGTGATTAATGATGTGACATTTTCAAGAAAAAGATGTTACGTCATTAGGACATAAAATTGCAAAAATGCTGAATTGTATTTTCAAATTAGGAGCAACCTTGGAATTGCCTTGTCAAACTGTGATTAAAAACTAGTGGAAAGTGATCAAACAATAACAAACAAGTTATATCTAATTTAACAGAAGAAAATAAGGTTTGAACATAAGTAGATCATTACATAAAATGGTTTTCGCCACATTAATGTCACAATGAAAATTCTCATAAAATGACCATTTCCATATTCAGAAATTGGTTTGCGAGAACGAACAAGTTCAATTAACATATAGGTAGTCATGCATAGATATATATATATATATATATATATTAAAATACGACCTTGACAAGTTATTTCCCATTTCCCAGAATAATGTGGGAGAGAAAACTATATACAAAAGCAGGACATAAAATCATATAGACAAAACCAAATCCTTGGAGCCAAACTAAAAACGGATTTTCTTTTTCAACTAGAATTTTGTCAAAACAAGAAATTCCGAAATTTAAGGAAACTGTAAGCAATTAAACTTTGCTCACCAACAAAAGGCACCTGCATCACATTAGAATATAGTCTCTATTTAAAGCACATATCATATCTTCTTAACAAAACAAAACAAGTTGAAAATGTAAATTGACGAGGTTTCTAGATAATGATATGAAATGTTTATAATTGCGTAGGTGATAATGTATTTTTATTATGACATCACATGAAATTCAGATTTCATTATAAATTTCAGTCTAAGTTTAAAAATTTTCTTTGGTTAATAAAGAAATCTGGCCACATAGTATTATAATAATGCCTATGGTTATTTTGCCTATAAATATTTGAAATATATAAGTAAGATAAATATAAATGACCACATTAAGTTCAAGTACACAATAGTACATCTGAACTTATAAACAGTTTTATAATTAATTATTCAGTCCAATCTCATCAAATTACATGAGCAAAATATGAATATTTGGTCCACAATAAATTAAATCAAATTTCTGATGAAAAAGACATTGATGATGGTATAGATATTGTATGTAAGATTTTAAAAATGACAATGTAACCACCACCAATGAGACAAGGTAGAAATGTGTCAGTAAATGCACTATTTCTGTTGACTGCTAAATCTATAAAATTAGGCAGTTTCAATATCTACGGTCATATTTCCCGATTTTACTCCGAGGAATTCACCAGGCGACACAGCAATATCTGGATGCATTGTAGCCTGGTATTCCGCGTTCTGGACGGCTGTTTCATTCTTTTTGGCTAAATTTGCATCTCTGCTCATGGTTATAACCTCTGGGGTGGTGGGTTCCACATTAGCACTATCCATTGGCTCTGATGCAGCCTGGTTTTTGCTGCAGGCTTCGTTTGGTAGGTCTCGATCAGCCATTCTTTTATTAATTTCATCATTTGCAGCACACCACATTTGTCTTTCCCAGAGAACAGATGGTATCATCTCATCCACCCCTTCCTCATATTCATCTTTTAATGACATTAATACCCTGGATTTCACTACAAAATCAAAATAATAAAATTAAAAATCAAAATACAACTTTCATTTTACATCTACGTTACATCTGGAGTCATAATCCAATTATACTATATTATAAATATTTCATCATTAATTTTCATATTTTCCAAAGTAAACTAAAAATTTACAACATCAATTACTACTCTTCAGGTGTCTTGTGATGTGAATTTTCAGAAAAAAATAAAACCGTCTAAGATTATAAACACCAATAATCTAATTCTACTTGCATGAAGCACACGATCATTTCTATGGTTCTTTATGAAGCACAGCACATTTCTAGTGGTGGTAGAAATGATTTATTGTCAAATTTGAGTTCATGTTTATATTACATGTCCAACTTTTACCCAGTCTTGAACTCAAAATGTTGCACCACAAAAGGTGGAATTTAACTACATAATACTAGATATTTACTGGTCTTAGTGAATTTTTGTTAGGTCAGATATTGCACAATGCAAATTGTTTTCATAACAAAATACTTCATATAAGATAGAAATGATTATGTTATATCCTGTAACAGTGCCCATAACTTACAATTTGGTGTAGAATAGTCATCTACTTCCACCTTAGCTACTGAAGGTTTTAAGGCTGGTGATGGAACAACTATACTTGGTTTAGCCAAAAACGATGGAACATTTGGACCGAGTGAGTACCCCACATTCAAAGATGTTGATGACCAACCGCCAAGGAAGACGGCAAAACACAAAACAAGGACCTGCAGCATATGAAAATATCTACCTTATATTTTGTCTCATAACATTTATGTTAACTAAATTACACCCTTTTCAAAATTTTTTTTTTGTAATATTCTTACATACTTAGAAATATTGGTTTAGAAAAAAAAACCTAATGAAACATAAAAAAAAACTCCCCTATCTGAATTTACAAATAAAAACAATTTGGCGCTTAAATTTCACTGTAGGCTGAACCTTAGTATTGGCTCTTAAATAAGGAGACTATGTCTATTGTCTAGCCTATTCTTGACATGCAGATGATGATGATGTTAATGATGATAATAATTTGGTTTAAATTATTTTGAAATTAGGTCAGAGAAGGGGTACCATGGTAAAATGGACTAACGGTTTGTGTGTTTCATAAGCTGCAGTTCCAAGGCTGATTAAAAACCCTTCACCATCAAACAAATTAAAAATTATATGAAATGTTAGGGATTAATATATGTTGTCAAGTATAAACTGGAGATGAAGTGTTTCTAATTGAATTTAAACATTGATTTTGCATGAAATCCTATTTCACACAAACCAATGGTTTTACAGTTTAAACTTGATGAAATTAGGTGGGAAAATTTCAACATTTTGTATGTCATATTTTCATAATATATATCTATAAGTATTTTGTTTACTTTCATCAAATGCTTTCAAAGTCTGGTTGATTTTTGGGAGTGCATGCAGAACAAATGAGGAGCAAATTTTGAAGTTGCATTGCCTTACCAGCTCCATGGAAAGAAGTGCTTCCCCATAATATATGATAATAATATAAAAACATGACATACTATGTTAGGGAAACAAAACAGGTGAAGTTTGGTGATAAGAAATGATGTAATAGTGAAATGTTGTTAAATGTTAGTACAATATCTCACAGAAATTATTGCCATTATATTGTATTTTATAAATTTCATTATCAAAATGGACAAGATGAAGGAACAACCCAATACACTCCTCCATAATTTCAATTTCATTTTTATTCCACAATAAATACAGCCATAAGTATAAAATCACACAATTCAGTATAAGGCAATAATTTCAAAGATATTTAATGATTTAAGTGCCAAATTGTTACCATTTCATAATAAAATATAGCAATGATTAAACTATTAAACCAATATCCCATAAAAAATATCTCAGATACCTACCATTAGCACTGTTCCTGTTTGTGTGGCAGAGGTTTTACCAACTAAAGCTTGTAATTTATGTAATTGACTTAATAAAGAACGGTTATTATTTTCTAAAGAATCCATCTTTCTTTTTAATTCTGTGTTCTCTTGGTTATAAGCTTCAACTCTGGAATTGAAATTATTTCCCATCAAATACCAATCAATTTTGGATTGACATAGCATTTTCTCCACATGCATACATTAGTTAAGCATAGTGCCATCACTTTTCAGACATTGGTCTACTAAAGCACTCTACTTTCTGAAACTGTGGCCTACTTTTAGTGCCCTTTCCAATATTTTCCTACTTTCCAACATTTGCCTATAAACAGTACCCTATTTCAAACCTTTGGTCTACTTAAAGTACCCTACTTTCAGACACTGGCCTACTTTCAAACCTTGATCTATTTTCAGATACTGGTTTACTTTTAGAAAACATCCAACTTTCAGACACTGTCCACTGTTTTATTTCAGATAGTGTCCTACTTTGAGGCTTTAGTCTACTTTGCCCTACTTTCAGACACTAGATTTAGCAGTATCCACTGATCCATAGTGCTCTAAAATATACTAACCTCTTTTCTAAAGTTTCTAAATATTCTTTCTTTTTCCTTCTGCTTTCTTGTGCAGAAATCTAGAATAAAAGGTCAAGGTCTCAAAATCTAAAATCTTTTAAGAATTAGACTTTTATCTTTTCTTAAACTTTACTTTTATAAATAACTTTATCCTTTGAACTTCTTCAAAATGTCTAAAAGTTCTTGTATTTCAAAAGTAACATAGTTATTGTATTCACCTTGTTTTTTATTTTTCGACGGATTTTCTTCAGATTCTTTTCCTCTTGTTTTGTAAGCGGTAATTTACCAGGTATAGGATAACCCTCCGATATTAATGTTCTCTTTTCCTCCTCAGATAATAATAGCACTCCAGACTGAGGAATCTGTAAGAATTCAAGATTCTTTATGAATCAAAAATAAAAAAAATTAAGTTAGTATAGGAATATATATTGAAATGCAGGGAAGGGGTAGGGGTGGATGTGCAAAGGAAACAAAGTAAAATTGTTACCAGTGATATGTAAACAAGGCTTAGTATGTTAAAAGCTGAATTTGAAACTATAGTTATGAGTATTTCGATAGACATACACGCCTTAGGCTCAAGCAAAGAATATAAATTACATTTTCAGGTTGGTCATGCAGTGCTATAAGTTTGTTTACTAATTTCACAGAATATTTTGACTCAGATAATCATAATAAGGTCAAGTTTGATTGACAGTAAAAGCATGTTTTAATGACCATAATATCTCATATGTCAATACAGCCTTCAGGCTAAAGGGAGATAATTCTATTCCTTCGGTTCAACTGTGAAGTTTTTCAACAGATAAAAAAAAAGTTATGACATAAGCCTAAGGGGATGTTCTTATCCATCAAATCAGCTCAAATACAAACAATATAAAGATAAATGTTTTAGATTCATGTCAGTTTACATTATATTAGATAATATTGTATTTTGTTTATTTCTGTATCAAACCACAATTCACAAAATATACCCATGTATTGTATCTTATAATCATTAATATTTTCACTATCAAATATTGTCATTAAGATGAAATGGTGTAACCATTATTATGTTAATTGCATAATACAATATTATATCAGAAAGCCAAATAATATAAAATATCAAAAAGCTTAACATGAAATACTTATAGAATTATGCTAAGGTTCCAGCATGCTTAGCAAGGTGGGGTATATATTTCATCTCGTTCTATATCTTAATGATATACACCATTATTATTCAATGGTAAATTTCATATTCTTGTGACCCTAACATGTTCCATGCAACAAATAAAATTCTTTTTTATAAATTGTCAAATATCAAAAAAGGTTTAGCCAAATAGAAGGAAATAGCAATTTAAAGATAGAAAGTTGCCATGCTAATAATTCAATGTTAATATCTATATACTTACAGGGTTTAAAAAGAGTGGTTGTGTAAAAGATTTAGATGATGTTGATAAGTCTGTAGTTGTATGATGATGATGATGGCGAAGTGGTTGACGTATTGGACTTGAAGGTGCTGATCTGTTAGGACTCAGACTACCTTCACTGTCACTGCTAGCACTACTTGGGGGTGTTGGTGGTAAGATGACACTATCATAATTAACAACTGAAAAAAAAAAAGGAAAACTTTTGTCATTTTCAGACTTCATAGATGAAAAAACAGCCTGGACATGATTGATTCTTAACCACTGATCAAAATAGGGAAATCTGCAGACATACTCTTAATAATATAGGGTTTATCTTTCTTTTGAAGTTAAAATGAGAAAGGTTTTGCAGATTGTTGCTAATTGGAAAGCAAGGCAGCTCATTATCACTTTCTATCATTATCATTTTAATTACTCCTATTTCTCTACATCAAAGTATTGAATGTCTCGTTTGAAATTTTAACAACATAGAAGGAAGCAGGGTGGCTTTTTACACATTAAAACATAAAGCTGTTAACCACTCAATCAAAGACAGAAAGAAATAAGTGGAGTGTTTATTAGGTAACGTTAAATAGTGGGTAAATGAACTGTTTTATAATAAAGTCAATCTACTAATAAAAGACTATACATCAAACACTACTTTACTATCATAGTCTAATAAAAGTCTATTGTTTTATCCAACATTGTCATATGTCTTTCATGCTTATCACTTACAGCAATAGGGGGTAGTGTGCCATAAGGGACATTCCCCCTCCAGCTATTGGGTACATTATTATAAATTTCAAGCCATGATTTACACTCCTTGACATTTATGTTACAGTTTGCATCATAAAATTTTACAGTTCTAGACATTTTACACAGATTTCCTAATTTAACCAATTTTAATGATATTAAATTTTATGTCATTAATAAAATATATCACGTTATTTCTAAAACATTGTCATGAAATTACAACCAAAATAAAACATTTTAAACCATGGCAGACATATTTAATTAGTTACGAATAATAAAATCAACCAAAAACTTCAACAGAAGAATAATTTTTATTTGCTATATCCATAAAACAATGTGTTTACTAGTAAAACCTACCTATGACATGAATTTATATCAACTGTATCAATCATATACTATTATACAAAGTACATCATGATCATAATAGTTAAATAGTTTATGTTTTAAATGAGAATAAATAATACTTTCAAAAATTTCAACAAATTCATTGAGAACTAATTCAGACATGATATTAAATGAAATCAATTGTTAAATTAGATTATTTCATAGATTATAAACCTATTCTATTACCAATAATACTATATAGTACTATAATAAACATTAAATTTTATGACATTTTTCTTAAGCTGTTAAAATGTTCAACAATACTGAAATACTCCCTACTGGTCACACTTCATAGCATCCTAATAAACACATTAAAATACGGTCAGACTTTCATTTTAACAATATATCAGGATTTAAATACATTTGATACAGGCCGACATGCTTCAATAATAGACTATTTATTGTCAAAATGTCTTTTCATTAAAAGTATAAGGACAAGAGTAATTTTTATTTTTTAGTTAAGGTCTATTAAATTCATTGAAATATTAAAACTTTTCAGTTAGTCTAAAGTTCTCAAGTGGGCAGACAATACAACTTTCAGTACTGACATCAAACTTTTGAATGAATTGAAGACAATGTACAAGTAAGAAGTTATAATCCTATTTCATTGGGATGAAGATGCAAACCCATCATGAAATATGAGTTGAAAATGGTTTGACATTTTTCATGCATCTTGGTATTTGCTATTTGTGTGCTTTCTGAATATATAACGTAAATGAAATAGAGCATGAAAGTTTGGAGTGCATTAACTGCTCTTAAAGTAATAGAGATAGTTCAAATCAAACTTTGGTTTGACCTCTTCATTCAAAATTATTACCTAGAATACTGTAAGTGAAAAAAAAGCGGAGATAGGGTGTAAATTGAAGGGATTATTTAGTTTTCTGCATATTGAAGTCACTGACAGCATAATTTGCATCGTTTCAATTTTTGATCAGATGTCTGTTGGTCTTGCAATTCCACTTAAACTGAGTGTTTTATGATATAATAATCTCAAAAGCTTCTAATTGTCTGTTCATCTGAAGGAAAACTGGAATGATTCAGTTATAGAGAAGCCATAAATGGCGTCATTATACATAGTTCAGAAAACCTTTCCTAAAGTCCCTTTAAAGTGTAGAAAATAACTATACCTGTAGTCATGTCTGTTGAATCATCACAAACATCAATTGGTTCTTGTTTTATACTAAATTGTGAAAATGGTGATGATGATGTTGTTGATGACAAAGTATCGGCAGACGTCTGTTGAGTTTGGGGTGTCAATATTATGGTTGGTTGACATGTCACGGCGGCCATTGAAACCGGTGTGAGTAATGAGTCTTTGTCTTGAATTGGTTCCGATTTAAATGACAGTATGGAATCATCTGTATGTTTAAATGTGATTTCCGGTTGAGGTGCTGTAGTGGTACCAAATAAATCTGCATCAATGTCTGCAATAAGAAATTTGATCTCAGAAAATCAAAAAAAAACTTTACGCATAAAAACCTTTACACAATTCATATCACAATTGCCCTATTAGTCTTTTAAGCTGGTCTTTTTTATGAAAGTCAAATAAAGATGAGCCATACATCTTGATGATAAAGCTGAATAATAATATAAATTCGTCAAAGAAATTAAAGGGTTATCATAAACTTACCATCAGGAGAAGGTAACTCTGGATTTGAATTATCGTTAATGGAGTAACTATGTTCTGATTTGATACAAGGTGGTTGGGCAGCATCTGTTATCATACGATCATTTAATACAGGATCATCAAATAAACTATTAAACCAGTCATTATCCATATACGAGTCTGCTTCCTGTAAAATATACAATTTACACAGAATATTAGAATACAAATTACATGATGCATGTGTATCAGTCAGATCAACTGTTTAATTTTAACTATCGTAGGACTTTCAAGGTTGAATTTCATCTAAAATTAAATATTTATAGATAGATATTAGTACATAAAGTAACATTCTGTTATCTATATATATCCATCTATTTAGTTTAATCAGATAATTAGGCAAAATATTAAGAAAACTGTCACCATATTTCATATAATAAAATTGTTGGTTCGCTTGTTTACGTGCAAAAACATTTTCGTGATTGAGCAATATCATACTACTGTATGAACCAAGTTCAATATATTGCAGATATTAGCCAATTCAAGAATTGACATACAAAGTAGAGGTATTGAGCAATATAAATGCAAGTAGGATATAGTGTCATTACTGAGCACAATTATGTATACAAAGGGTCCAAATATGATATAAAAGGGGCCTGTTCAAAATCATAGGGTCCTATTTATAATAAACCTGACAAAAAAACAAAATCAGATTTCGTGATATATCATATAATGTGAGAATCCTATTCACAAACTAAAGAAACTTAAACCAGCTTTTGTAGCTGTGGTGAAGCTCTCTTATCTACAGAAAAAGAATGAGCAGAAAGCTAACATGTATATAAAATTTAGGTTAATTTTTTAGAAAAAAAGTGAAAAATGAGTATAATTTCACCATAATAAGTAAAATATTGAAGTAAGACAGTAGTAAAATATGAACATAATATAGATAAGATAATGTAAATGTTATAGATATAGGACATGTGACTACTTGAACCAATTTTCTCACACTTGTTGACTACATCTGTGATATCAATTTCAACACTTTCACATCACAGCTCCTGACAACCGTTCTAATAAATCAAAATACTTTAAATATTTTTAAACTTCTTGTCAGCTCTTCAGCTTAAAACAGGAGAATGGTACCAAATTCTACACTATACAAAATTAGAAACAACTTTTTTAAAAAAATTTTTTTTTTTTTTACTTATATGTCTTGTTATGTAATTTTTTTACT